CTTCACCAAACTTGTCGGGTGTGCCTATAGATAACCATCATAAGTAAACCTTCTTCCAACGGTCCTTGCAACGATACTATAGTTACATGACAATGATGTAGTGGTCCGCTCCATTGAGAGTGCCGTATTTGTATGATAAATTGCTTTGTTGCAGGAATGTTGTTGTTGCCAATGATATGCTCGGTGACTCTTTAGGTATGCTTTTGTGATGTGCTTGTGTGATGTGCTTTTGTGATGTGCTTGTGTGATGTGCTTTTGTGATGTGCTTTTGTGATGTGCTTGTGTGATGTGCTTTTCTGATACTCTTTTGATACGCTTTTCTGATTCTTCTTTTGATATTCTTTTCTGATCCTCTTTTTGATATGCTTTTCTGATTCTCTTTTTTGATACGCTTTTCTGATTCTTCTTTTGATCTGCTTTTCTGATTCTGATTCTCTTTTTGATATGCTTTTCTGATTCTTCTTGTGATATCCTTTTCTGATTCTTCTTTTGATCTGCTTTTCTGATTCTGATTTCTTCTTTTGATCTGCTTTTCTGATTCTGATTCTCTTTTCTGATTCTGATTCTCTTTTCTGATTCTGATTCTCTTTTCTGATTCTCTTCTCTGATTCTCGTTTCTGATTCTTTTCTGATTCTTCTTTTCTGATTCGCTTTTCTGATATGCTTTTCTGATTCTTCTTTTGATTTGCTTTTCTGATTCTTCTTTTGATCCTTTTTTTGATATGCTTTTCTGATCCCGTTTTTCATCCTTTTCTGATCCCTTTTCGCATCCTTTTTTGATATGCTTTTCTGATCGTTTTCCCTATGAAACAAAGGCTGGTTAGTTCCGTGGATGTATACTACTTGATCACTCACATACCATTTTGTCTTCGGTTTTGTTGTATAACAGAATTACACTGGTGGTGTTGACGTGCGTGTGCTTTCCTATGATTGCGTTCCTGACAAGGCGGTGGCTCCATACTGTAACTTGATAGTTGTGACAATTGCTCGATGCTTGTGATGATTGCTCCCAGTATAGAGCTCCTCCAGCTGCCATGCCTCTTCCAAAGCCGTGCCTCTCATTGCATCCGTTTGGTTGCTTTGTGTAGTTCTCCTTGGTAAGACTGATTGCCGCCAATTTGCTTGCACCCATAAATAGATTGTCCCATGAATAGCTTCAAAAGGGAGAACTCATGCCATCGTCGATAGTCTTTGTCATCCGCATTGGCTCCACCACCAAAAGAAAGTATACAGAGTTCTTGCCAATAAAGAGAACTTGTGTCAAAATGGTAACCTTGTTGCCAGCATCGGATTCACCACCAATAAAAAGAAAAGAGAGCTCTTGCCAAGAGAGAAAGGACTTGTGCCAAATGATAATCTTGTGATCCGCATCGGCTCCACCACCAACAAATTGAAGAGAGGACTTGTGCCAAATGATAGCCTTGTCATCTGCATCGGCTTCACCACCAATAAAATGAAGAGAGCTCATGCCAATAGAGAAAGGACTTGCGCCATTGATAGTCTTTGTCATCCGCATCGGCTTCACCACCAATAAAATGAAGAGAGGACTTGTGCCAAATGATAGCCTTTTGATCCGCATCGGCTTCACCACCAACAAATTGAAGAGAGGACTTGTGCCAAATGATAGTCTTGTCATCCGCATCGGCTTCACCACCAATAAAATGAAGAGAGGACTTGTGCCAAATGATAGCCTTGTCATCTGCATCGGCTTCACCACCAATAACATGAAGAGAGCTCATGCCAAGAGAGAAAGGACTTGTGAAGAACTTGTGCCAGTTGATTGTCTTGTCATCCACATCGGCTTCACCACCAATAAAATGAAGAGAGCTCATGCCAATAGAGAAAGGACTTGCGCCATTGATAGTCTTTGTCATCCACATCGGTTCCACCATCAACAAAATGAAGAGAGGACTTGTGCCAACGTTGGTAATCTTGTCATCCGCCACCAATAGAATGAAGAGAGGTCTCATGGCAATAGAGAGGCGTATCCCAAATTGATAGTCCTTGTCATCCACATCGGCTCCACCACCGATAAAAAGAAAAGAGAACTCTTCCTCAAAAGAGCACGAGCTCAAACTCTGGCTTCAGGAAGAACCCACAACACCAGAACAGAACGTGACATCCCAGTACACCAGTGCATCTATAAATGAAGGAATCAAACATGCAGGATTTACACCCTTCGAGAGAATCCTGCACACAACGCCTACCACTTCGAGAGCGCTACCATGACAACCACGTACCATTCCAGGCCCCAAGCCCCCAAACTACGATGCCCGTGCAAGTCGATGTCTTGATGCTTTTGTTTTTTCCAAGTATCCACTTCAAAGATGATTACCGCTTGTGCCCAAACACCATCATCCAAAATGTAAGGGCGGCCACACTATGTAGGGATGTACCATGGCATATATATACACATACACCATGACCCACCCCCACATAAAAAGACAATGGATGATTAGTATAAATGGTATCCAAGCAATGTCACTGATTCAACTTGCCTTTTCAAGTCCAATCCCATGCCCCAGTGGGTAACATGATGATGAGTGAATCGCCCTTTAGCTCTTGATCCACGAGTAGAAGGACACCGCAAATGCTTTGTGACTTAATCGTAGCAGGAGAACAAGGGATCCTTGGAACGATACGTCATCGCCATGACAACGCCCTAAAAGTGACAGGCATTGACGTGCAAGAAACTCCCGTCGGGATACCTTCATGCTGATCCTTCCGTATGTGCAAGCAACTGGCATAGCTGAAACGCACGCCTGAATCTGGGCCGGGGTTTTCCATCCACCAAGCTCTCTCGCAATTCTTGCAGGGATCCTCATGCCACAGGAATGGACATCTACGTAATATGCATGTGAGTAATGTTGCCGTTGGATCATTGTGCACGTGATCTTATATGTAACTTACTGCTTGATGTCTTAATCAAAGACTAATGCATCGTATGGGTCTTCGTCAAAGCCCAAGATCTCTCCGAGGATATCATCCCCACCAATGACTAAAGCATCAGAGATTAGTATCATATCGAGTCACATCTCCATACTGAGTAAGTATACTTACAGGCATCAACTTCAGCCGCGTATTCGTTCAATATGGATGATGGTGGTGCTGGCTGATCTTCTGCCGATGACGGCAATGCGGATGATGATGGTGATGGTGGTGGTAGTAGTGGCGGTGGTAATGATGATAATAATGGTGGCGGTGGTGATGATGATGATGATGGTAAGTATGATGGCGGTATTGATGGTGATAACAAAAAGTCCAAAAATGACGATGGCAGTGGTGATGATGATGGTGGCGGTGATGATGATGTCGGCGGTGATGATGATGGTGGCGGTGATGATGATGATGATGATGCTAATGCTGATAATGATGATAGTAATGATGATGGTGTTGGTGTTGGTGACGATGATGATGGTTGTGGTGGTGGTGGTGGTGGCGGTATTAATGGTGGTGATATTAACGGTGATGGTGGTGGTCTTGGAAGTGGTGGTGGTGGCTCCCCACTTGTTCTCTGCGTCCTTAGACGACTTCGAGGCCGAAATGCCGGTCTTCGGAACTGTAACCGTTGGCGGTTGTTGTTGTTGCTGCTACCTGTGCTAGATGCAACAGGTATTGCTGATGCCGCTGGTGCTGATGATGCTGCTACGACTATTGCTGCTACTACTACTTCCGGTGTTGCTTCCGGATAAATGATGGGTGGTGGTGGTGGTGGTGGCAATGGTGGTGGTGGGATCGCCTGGGTATAAAAAAGCGGTGGTGGTGGTGGTGGTGGTGGTGGTGGCGATGGCGATTGTGGTGGTGGTGAAGGTGATGGCGATCCCATCGTGACATCTTCCAAGTCTTGCACTTGTGGTTCCGAGGCACTTACGTCCTCTATAAAGGTGAAAAAAATGAGTTATTAATATAAAATCATGTCATTCGGTATCAATCCCAATATGCTATGCACTTACCATTCTCTCCAACTTCTCGTGGTTCAGGAGTTCCAGGAACAGCATCCGGCAGAACGGTGTCTGGCTCGTAAATGTCGAGCTTGTCGAGAGCTTCGCCTGTAAAAATGGATCAATTAGTATCAATGTATTGTTGAAATAACGATCCTTTCATAAAGAATACTTACAAAGCTCGTCAATGGATGATGATGATGATGATGATGATGATGATGATGATGATGCGGATGATGATGATGATGAAGATGATGAAGATGATGAAGATGCAGATGATGTGGATGATGATGATGATGATACAGATGCCAATGATGAAGATGCAGATGAAGAAGATGTAGATGTTGATGATGATGACGATGATGCAGATGTTGTTGATGATGATGTTGTTGCTGCTGCTGTAGTAGTAGTAGACGTTGGTGACGGTAAGCCGTACACATGCTGCATGGCTTTATGCATAGCCATTCCTCGAAGCAACTTTGGTGGTGACCGTGTGCTTGTAACTTGCTTGGATGGCTTAAAAAGATCCACAGCTGATGATGGGTTGATAACCGCATCACCCTCCAAGGCCGACATGTTGCCATGACGACGCACTTGTGCTACTGGTCGTGAAGAAAACAACATACCAGGATACTCGCAGGCTTGCGCCTTGCATGGAACCACTGGAGCTACCCAGGGTTGACGATTAGCCAAGACAACAGGGCTAGGAGGCACCTGTGTCGAATCACTTACCTTCTCTCGAGCCGCCCGCAACGGCACGCCGGCCGAGCAGTCAGCAATGCTAGCAATCGGGACGTGAGTCGACCGATTGTTGGGACGCGAAAGCCCCCACCGAACCAAAGGGAAAACGACACCGAAAAAGAAAGCAATTGGAATCACCCACATGAAGTGTACTTGTTCGAAAACGTTCCACTTCAATGCGGTGACCACGAGCACAAGAGGGAAAAAGCGAGCCGGTTCTTGATGAACTTGAGTTGGCATTGCGGAAAGAGGAGGAACTATTGCCATGGAAACAAGGCCAACTTAAGTACACTCCCGCCCACACAGTCCCATTTCACGCCCTCTCGATCTCACTTTACAAATGGCGCGTTACCAAACCAACTTACGTGTAGAATTGCGTGTAGATTACGGTAGAGTAGTTTATTTGAATAAAAAGTCTGATTGGGAAGGAAATGGACCCGTCTAGATTTCATAGCAACCATAGTGCAGATCGCCCGTCTTCTTGATTCCTCTTGACACTTGGCGTGTTATTAAGTCTTTTCACATGGATAGTGATTCATTCGTTCTGAAAGTATAATTACTCTGATGAAAAAGGCTGTTTGGGATGTAAATGAGCGCGTTGAAGCTGTATAACTACCACGCTATGTAGGCAAAAACCTCTAGAATCAAGATACAGGATTTGATATGTTACCAGGAGGTGCATTCGGATGCAGTGATCATTTTCGTTCCCACAAAGGCAGGATGGTTGCCTATTAAAATTTCGAGTAATCATTGATTCAATGACCATTGTTCATGTACCAGAGGTCTGTTGTGGGCCTGTGTTCCATCAAAATCATACGCCGACATCCAGGGAGCCCCTTATTTGAAAAGCACTTGTCGGTAGCCAGCATCCACTACAAGCAAACAGGACTTTTGATATAGCAATAATCGCCATCACAGCCAAAGCTTGAGACAAATCGTAACACTACCCATATCCCCAAACCTGCGTGATCAAGTGGTACGCCTTTGTGAGGAAAAAAGGGCGACCAACGTGCCTGAAAGTATTCATTGGAAAACTTCAGCCCAAAAGGTAACTACAATATCAATATCACTCATACCTTGACAGGACACAGTTTCATATGCACGCTCCATTTTTGTTCTCATAAAGGCATTATGTTTACTCGTAGAATTACCCATACGGGCTATCACAGGCGGACCTGTCTATAGTTGTACAGGCTATTATTATGCGTCCTCCACCAATTGGATTGTCCCTTAAAGCTCGGACTTTTGGTATACAAAGACGCCCCTCTGCATCTGTTGCTCAATCGGGGTCTATCTATTTGACAATGTCGCCACCAGCCAAAGTGGATCGACCTCTTGAAATTTTTTCGACGACGACGAAAATATTTTTTTGGCTGGCAGCGACATTGGGTGAATCTGGGATCGGCCACGATCGACTTCATTGTTTGACACAAGATCGCTTTCACCCCGCCGAGCAGCTTTGTTCTATTAAAGACCCCAGCTTCATTGTAAAGTTATGAGATATGGATGTCTTTATGTTTTACATATGCCGTAATCGTGATGCTGTATGGGAGGTGTTCATTTTCATCGTCAAGTTGTATGACCCTGATAGAGCCAAATATGCAGACGGGCGTGTTACGCAAAACCAGCTGGTTGAGTAGATCTGGAAGGGTCGATGCTATTGGTGGACAAATGCATAATGATCCTGCCCCTGCCTGCCTATAGAAAGGTGCGCCATGGTAGACAGATGGAATGGTTCATTCTTGTATAAGATAGTTTTAGTCGAAAATTGGCATAGGTAAACATGGTATGTCTATGTACTCGTGCCACATTGTATCACAGCTCACTCCTTGAACATAATGAATTAAGCTTACAATGTGCCGAATGATTTACAAGCTCTATGTTGGGATCATCACCCTCGACATTACTATCTTTGCAATACATGCGTTCTAGAGCCCTCATTATCTCTCAACTATAAGTTTGTGAACTAGGAAGTGTTAGTGAATGTAACAATGCCGTGACAAGATAACAAAGCACCTTTGATACGATGATGTAAATGATCCAATCTCGCTTCCCGACCTTTACACTTCTATTCCCCCTTTTGACCCAGAACCAACCAAGTGATCCACACCCTGAATATATTTTATAGCTGATAGTACAATAGCCTTCTACATGTTACGTTGAATCCACTTTTCATTCAATTCGAAGAATAGCACATGGTAGTGGGATGTTTATCAAGCAAGTACGATAAGGGAACAGCATTGGGTTGAAAATTGAGTAAGAAACGGGTGCATCGAATAAAGGCAATGGGGATAATTGTGTCATTGTATACTTGGTTGCTGCTGCCATAATCATCCTTTATCCATGTTTGCAAAATAGCTGCTGCATGCATTGAATCGAGTACTCCGATATCATCCATCCATGGCTGTACAGCACCATTCGTCAAAGATACAGGCCCTTGAGTCAATTCCATCCAATCCCTCATCATCCTCAGCCGTATACAATTGACAGATCCATCGTTCCTGAACGACGCGCCAAGTAACCAAAGCAACGTTCCAGGGTTCTCTTTCCCGTCACTGCACTTGATAGCATTCATCCATCCATCCATCCATAACCATTGTAAGTCCATTAGAAAAGAGCCTCTTTGACCGCTGCTGATATGCTTCCTTTTCCATCCGCCTGTTTGTGTATCTCGTTCTTGGTCATCTTCTATCGCAGCTCAACCAGGCAAAGATTGCTTGTATTGCCGTGTACTTGATAGCTGATATGGCACCTTATCCGTTGGAATCCGTATGCACCAAAGCAAGTTGATGCAAGTAACTTGAGACAACCGAGTAAAGACCTTGCTGATGGCAACTGTGTAAAGAATGCTGTTACGTTTGGTCGTGGTAGAGGAGTGTACAAGAGAAGGTGTTGTAGTAGAGTGACAGGGTTGTGAACGCTCTTGAAGCAATGGTATAAACACCTCGCTAATGGCAACTGCTGCAATGAATGCTGTTACGATTGATGCCGTAGAAGAATGTGCAGGAGAGCGTGTAGTATTAAGAAAGGGCGTGTGCTGTAGAAGAGTGACAAGAAGAAGGCTGTTTACACGCCATGGACTTTCCATTGAGTCAAAGACAATCGGATCAAGAGAGTTGTAGGATTGACATGATGAGTTGAAGCAGCACCATCGTTTGCAGGTGGTAGTTGTATACTTGAATGGGGCAACAGTTGAGAATGGGGAGGAAGAGAAGATAACGTGGGAGTGGAAGAGCTGGAAATTTAAGTTGGTTGACCTGTGAGACACCTGTCATACAACTGCATGAACATTGTACATCAATCCTTGATATTGAGATTGCTCATCTCGACCCTCAAACTTTCACACAAGATGTTCCTGGACATGCTGATAAAGTTGTTCTAATAAAAAACCTATACTTCATTATAAAAGTTGAATTAACATGGATAAAGCAGAGGGTAAGCTTATTGTAAGATCATTACTCCATAGGTAATGTTGTCCCATTCAAGGAGAAACCACAAGTTTACAGCTGAAACGAGCACCTTGGACCGCTAGTCATTGGTTATTAGAAAGCAATACCTAGCATTAACTTGCATGTCTTGAGTGACCTGCTGATTCAACTATCGTGTACTCCTCAACATTGCGGATCACATGTATCTAAGGATACACCCTTCCATTGTTGTTCTTCCTCACATGACTTGATATCGAATTGTCGTACCAACTGTGCACAAACATGGTCAGTGCACAGGAAATGGCTTATGAATAAAGAAGACGTTGCTCGCTTTACGTATGAGCCTCTCTTCAAGTATACCCTCCCTTATCATGCATGGATGATATACCCTAAAAGCGGCTTCATTGTTTGTATTTGATAAAGCTAAAAAGGATGATGATGCAAGTAGATTTGATGATAACTTCACTACGCAACCTGCGGGTTAATGTAACACATCACATGGCTGCTAGTGTAGGTCATAAGCAGACTATAATTAGTAAAATAGCAGAATTAACAATGAGAATTTATTATAAGATAATGAGAATAGGTTATTCACATGAATGCATGCAATCCGTTTACAAGAGAGATTATAGGCTCTTTTGGTTAATGGGTTTGTGTTGTGATGGGGGATGGTGGTGATCATACAAGAAGTGAGATCTTCAAACATAGAGGAGATGTATAATTTTGGGGGAGGGGCGTGAACAACCGTAAAAAGAGGCTGAAGATGAGGCTTATGCAAAAGAGGCTTGAAAGTCATTCGTCAATAGTGAAGAATGGGCGTAAAAAGCGTATGAATGTGCATGGTGGTGGTGGTGGGGTATATGGTGTATATATAATATCAATGTGTTGGTTGGTTGGTTGGTAGACCTGGAAGAGACCTCCTCCTTTATGCAGGTGGCAGGACGTGGTTGACAAAGCGAGCTGTCTCGATAGTGCTGGCACAATTCAAGAGGCGGCTTTGAACATGGGCATCAATTTCAGCGAGGACTTCCTTGGCTGAAGGACGTGTTTGTGGTGCTTCATCAAGTAACCAGGCGACGAGGCCACGCATGTACATGGTTGGATAGCTGTAAGTGAATGTTGGGCTAGGCTCACTGAGGATGGTGGCGAATAACTCAATCTCATCCTTGATAAGGTAGTTGGGAGGGACCCGATCCATCATTTCGATGATTGTGATACCCAAAGACCACATGTCAATCTTTTCATCGTAGTACTGCTCACGAATAACTTCAGGTGCCATCCACTTGCTGGTACCAAGACGATCACGGTTGCGCTTGTTGGTGCGAGTCGCAAGACCAAAATCAGCTACATTATTGCATGATAATTAGTTTCATGTTGTCATCGTTACGGTTGTTGTTGCTATGCTATGGACTTACCAAGCTTAACTTCGCCATTCCAACCAAGCAATAGATTTTCACACTTGACATCTCGATGGATAAAGCCCTTGCTGTGTAAGTAGATCAAAGCCTTGAGAGTCTCGCATGTGATGTTGATAGCGTATTCCTCTGGAATGCCACGTTGGCAAAGAACGGCGAAAACAGAGCAACGTTGCAAATCCATGGCGATCCAGACATCATCTCTCCATAGTGTCACTTCACGCAAGCGGATAAGGTTGGAATGACCGGATGCCATGATACGAAGCTCTCGCACAATAGCGGCTCGATACTCGCGATCAGGGTCCAATCGACAACGTTTGATAGCCAAGAACGTATTCTTCTTGTATCTGTGGCTGGCTCGTACAACAGATCCATTGACACTATTCATACATGTGAGTATTACGTTTGCTTTTGCTTCCAATGACAAGGTACTTACCCTGTGCCGATTTCCTTAAAGCTGCTATACTTGTTGCGAGGATCGAGAGACGAGACTTGTGTCTTTGGCAATGCTTTACGAATGCGACGTTCAAATTCGTTTTCGGTACGCACAAGAGGTGGAAGTTGTGGAATTTCAGAGTGAGGGCCTACAGGCAACCAAGGCTTCTTTGAAATGTGCTTATTGGGCGTATACGGACGTAGGCTGTATGTCTTTTCATTGGAAGGTTCAGGCTTCAAAAAGGCGTTGCCGAGGATGTCGGGGATTTCGTAAAATCCTGGTGGTCGCCACGCCTCCTATTACAAAGGGTTTAGTTTTTCCTATCATCAACATCCTCAAGTAACCCCCTTCATCCCTCACAACCCCTCTCTTTTTTTTTAGTTGTACAAGCATCTACACGCACCTTGCCAGATCCACCACTACCAACAGATGATTTAGTGGACAAAAAGGAGGACCGACGTAAACATCCAGTCGAACGGCGTTTCATTGTCATATCCACGGTCATCAAGTCGGATGGCTTTCGAGGTGCTGATGCAGAACGTGGTCGATTGTTGGGAAGGCTGCTCGTGGCTGATTTCGATTTTCTAAGATTGCCCAACGACGATCGCTTGCTGCCAAACAATCCAGGTGTACGCTATAAAGATGTTTATGTAAGATGGATGTCGTGATGGCAAATAATAAATGTTTTCTTTATATGACATACTCTGCCAGTGTCAGCTTTGAAGCCGTATTGCTGGGCATTGTTGGTTTGATAGGCTGTCATGCAATGCAGCATTGTGGATGATTGACGAGAAAAGGAAAAGGACCAAATCTACTGGGGAAAAAGAGGAGAAGAGAAAAGAAAAAAGAAAAGAGGATAGCGATTTTATATAAACCTTTTTGCAGCTGTGTGGTGCAACGGTTGGGAGAATGCATAGATGAGCTGTCTTTTGGGATACCGACATGTGTGCAATGGCCCCATTTGGCCAGACGTCTGTTCGAGCTATTCATCTTTTTCTATCCTTTCATGTTCAATTCCTCCTTGCCCTTTCCACACTTGTTCTCCCTTTCTCTATAAAGGGGGGCATAGGCGGAACATACCTTTCCATCATAGGCCTGTAGGAGCAAAAAGTCAAGTGTGGCAAATAACATGCGCTATGATGAAGATACTAGTACCTCGATATATAATAACAGTGCGGAGTGCATCGTAACGTGGCACATTTGTCCTACATGTCGTTCATCCATCTAATATACTAATACTTGTCTTGAGCCACATGTTGAATTCGTTTATTCAAATACAATGCGATACATTACATATTCATCCACAGATCCTGCAACACATGATGCATGATCGGAACGCAAAGGTGAGTAGTGGGTCAAAGGGAACAAAACGCCCCGCATCCCCTTGACAAACATGACGCGACCATTGACAAAGGAAAAGCAATTGTGGAAACGCTCATAGTTTCTTTTTCATGCTGAGACCAAAAGCAACACGTGGAATCCTCGTATTACCTGTACAAAAGAAAAATGATGAACAACGTGGTTCTGTGCCACTTGCAAGGTGCAAAAAGGAAATGGATATAAGACTCTCGAAGGAAAGATCGGCTTTTGGCCTTTCTAAAATATGCATAGCATGAGGATTTACCATTTGTGTTAGCCTCACCAGAAACCTATTGTGCATTTATCCACTTGCAGGGAGCTGCTGCTCATGATCTCATTATAGTGCACCAATGTGAACAATCAACATTATTTCCCCTTTATTCTCCTTGTCAATCAGCTGGTGTCATTCCACTATTACTAGCATATTACGCAATGTAACAGCATACCATAAAAGTACTCGTTCATTCATTCTTCCGTCACATCATGTTGTCTTTGAAGAAGATTGAGTGTCAAATAAGGAGAAAGGGAACAAGACAGGGAGCACTGCATCCTTTCTTCGTTGTTGCTAAAAACCAATGCAAGCTTGTAAAGCTTGGCCAATAAGGAAAAGTAATAGCTTACCAATGATGGAGATATCCAACATGATCTTGATACGCTGGAAAAGTGGTGTACGTATCCAAATCAAAGGTTGGTGGTATCCATGGTAACGGTTGAGCCAGCTATCGGCCGATAAAAAAACACGCACAGCCATATGAACGCACGTATCCTACTTTAGCGAAACGCACAATGCCATTCATGCACACTAATATACTACGTGGGCTGTTGCACACTGCTGCCTAGCAACATGTTTGATTGTCGTCAGCGCTTGTCGATCGACTGGTTACTGCTTGCAGCCCGCGTACAGTATCATGCCTTATGACATCACGGGGTATACCCACTGCATAGGTCGAGATCTTTCCATTAGCCTGCTGCTTGAGAAAATGCATTGCAGATGAATGTCGTCATGTGAGTACGCTTATATTGTGGTTGAATAGGAAAAAAGTAGTGTGACATGTTTAATGTGCAGATGATGATGAATAGGCGTTTATCCTCTCGCTGTTTTCCCTTTTATGGGTTAAGCTCTTTATGGGGTTGTATTAGAGATGATCAAGTATAATGAAATTTTACATGTGCACAAAGCAACAAACAAGGTATACGCAAGGCAATGAGCCATGACGACGATCATCATTGGCTGCGTTGCTATGCAACAAGGTGTGAGAGAGAAAAAGTGGCTGTGTGTGTAAGGCAGGATGTTTGTGACATTGGGATTCTAGTAGTAGTAGAGAAGAAGGGATCATGCACACAATAGTAGGCAACATTGGTCTACGTAGCTAACCAATGCGTTGGGATGATATGGGTATGGATGTTCATCGGCTGTTTCAAACAGACAATGGTACCAAGAAATCCTCTGTAGTACTATCATCATCGCCTATATACGTTGTCGACATGTTGGTAAAAATAAGCGGACCAGCGCAAAGACTTGTGTCGATAGAAAGTTTAGGCGGGGGAATACGAAATGAGGATGCATTGGGTGGTGTTTCAGGACTCGCACTGCTTGCAGGGCTGTCATCGCCATTGTTGAGGGTGGGCATGTGTGGTGGTGGTATTGATAGCGACAATGCAGGATTGGGACGATACAAGGTCAAAGGTCGACGAAGACTACCTCGATCGTATTCGGCTGAAGAGTAAGTGTATGCTACTTGACAATGCTCTAAATCAAATCGCACCGATTTCTTGTCCTTTAGGCCATAGATAGATAGCACTCTTTTACGTTTCAATCCTCGCTGAAGGTCTTGATCGCTAACTTTTGTGGATGCTAGCGAGTAAGTGTCCATGGCAAAAGGGTGTTGGGAAAAGAAAAAAGAAAACCAAAAGCTTTTTCAAGAACCAAAGTATTAATGTGTGTTTGTGCTGGAAATAGCAACGCTCCACAGAAATAGCTTTTCATGTTACACCAAACTTTGATAGACAAAGGTACACACTGCTCAACCGGATATGCATCATTGTAGTAGTAGTAGTAGTAGTAATATCCATCTGCAAGTAACAATCACGGCATCACAACGGCATGAACCACAGCCTTAAAGCACGTTGGTTATGGTTAACCATATAGTGCCTTTAGCGGTGGTATCATCATTGCAATATTGTCGGCGACCGACTACGGCCTTGTAATGTTGTTGACAAGACGACGTTTTATCGCCGACAAACTTCATTGTGCAATTCCAACTCTTTGGTACAGAGTATGTATATACACATTGCTCTTTTATGATATCGATTGAGGGTACAATGAAATGCTGGGTAGGGTCGTGCTTCATTGTGCTTAAAAAGGAGGGCACACAATTCCTGGCGATAGTATACTACTGCGAAGCATTCATCATAGGTAGATCTAGCGGCAATCATAGCATTGATGATCCCAACACAATAGCCTCTAAAAGTTTGGGGATGAGCAATCTTTTATCAGCTGTCGATGCATTTCAATAACCTGCTGCATTCGGGAATGACGAAGTCTTCCAGACAAATTCTAAAAGGGGCTCTTTATGTTTACTCTCATCAAGGTTTCTTTGTCAAGGTCATTGTGCATCATTACAAGCTCTTTTAACCCAAGCATTGTTTCCATGACCGTTGTCTACATGAACAAAGAGCCATTCGTTGTGTCCATGACAGGGACTAAAGCGGCGCATTGAATGTGTAATCATAGGGTTGCACGAAATGGAAAAACTATCACGCTTGTCACGTCTATAGCATAATGGATGTAATTGTATATTAGCAACAAGATATAGGTGAACATGGAGCTACATCATATAAATTAGGGAGGTGGTTATCGTTCTAGTTTCATTACACGGTAAGTGCAACGGCGGCAGCAACAGCACTACCAGCAACAACAGCCCATTGAGTGTGAGTGGTGGTAGCAGCAGCATTGGTATCGATATCCTGATTGGCTTGGCTTCCTGCAGAGGCCGAAGCTGATGCTGAAGAGGAAGCTTGCGAAGACTTGGCAGCAGCACCAGTGGATGAAGCCACGGATGAAGAGCCACTCACTTTGTTGTCAAAGGTAGCTATGTGCGCAAGTTGATGATCCATATTAGTCATGATGATGATAAAGGTCACTATTGAAGGAAAAAATGCTTACAGGCTTGATGCAAAGGAGTAGCAGATCCATTGCCCTTGAAATTAAAGACACCAGAATAGGCCCATGTGTCAGATTCGCGTTGTCCAATACGCACCCAGTATTTGCCGGATTCAAAATCGTTCAATGGATAAATCTACAATGGAGGTATAAGCGTTGTGCCATTGGACGTCGTATCATCTTTTTCACTCACGTCGAATCGATTGTCCGAACATTTGACAGGTGATGCAGGGCTATAGTAATCAACGTTTTAGTATTGTCGTATCATAGTAGTGCCTTCGTTGTTGTAATTGTACCTGGTGATGAATGCAACCATGCTATGATAAAGATTACCTTGATCAGCAAATGGATAACAAGCGAATGATGGTGTTTAGTGGGACTTACTTTGCATTGCTGGCATTGCCGTTCATCAATTGGATTTGGCATTCTTGAGAAGCATCTGATTTTTCAGAAGTCCAGGTGATGTTGCCATGGCCACCTGCCGTCTAGTTGCCATGTTACTATACAACATTCAAAGCTATATTGTGTTTTTTATTTACCCAAGTGGTCTCGGCCCAGGGAGTAACAATCTACAAAAGAATCGTCAATAAAAGATGGGATGGGATCATATGGATACACTACTTACGGTGATCTTGGCGGACACAGCAGACAAAAGGGCAGCAGTACATAAAAGAATGGACTTCATGTTTCGGCAATGATGATTGTTGTAGAAAGGAAAGTCAAAGATGGAGGTTGTACACAAACAATATGGGAGGCGACGCACATTTATATACCTCTTTGATGGCCTTGTTGCACAGAGCGGGGTCGGGCGTCAGTGGAGTTGTGTGCCAGTAAATGAAAAACCAAGGGAGATAAAGGAGAATGGGAGGAGTAGTAGTAAAAAGCAGATGTTCTTGCAATTGCCGCTTACCATAACGGTATTGTACATGAATCATGCGCAAGGATGCCTTATTTCGTGTTATGCCCCTTCCTCTCGCTGTATGATGTAGATTGCTTTTTCACAGTGATCCACCATGATGAAGATGCTGACAATTTAGATGGAAAAAAACATTGAGCACAGAAAACACAATCACGTTGCACGAGCGTGTTCAGCTTTCCTCCTTTTAAGGTAATATTTTTGATTCTTCGTGTTACATGAATAAAATGTTATGTTGTGTCGCTAAAGCACGGATGATGATACAAGATAAAAGAGATGTACAGCTTTTTGCAAGGGATGGAAAAAAGGGGATGGGGGTTGATATAATATAAACCATATGAGCTATAAAAGGGAATGGGAGGAGATGGGCATTGATTTAAAGAGAAAGGATTTCTGTTGAACGCAAAATGATATGGGAAAAAGTTGATCAGCGTATTGAAATGTCGTCGTCGATATTATCTACACTCAACATTGTCTGAGTAAAAGTGCAGGTAGGAGAGAACGTGCGTGTTGTGCATGTGTACAATGAAAACGATCAATGATGCCTAGGCCCACGAAATGCCAATGCCTTTGAAAACTTTGCAATTTCAGACCATTCTTGATTGGTGGGTCGTCCAATGCGTTCTAGCGTTTCATGCATGATGTTGATGTATTGCTCGGTATTCTCATTTGTCGGAAATGTGCCATTGGTGGTTGAAATGTTGAGTGACATGAATATCTTGGCGACCTTTTGCCGTAGCTGTTCATGTCGTTCCAGCTCTTCATTCAACCGTTTGATTTCCTTCTTTGCTTCCTCCAACTTTTTCTCTGCTAATAATACTTTTTCTTCTGATGATGATGATGATTGATGAGATGGAGTAGGCGTTGTTGCTGTTGTGTTGGCGAATGCTGAAGTACTCGATGGGGTGGTGGATGTTGTTGTTACGGATGGATGAATTGCGGAGGAGGAAGAGGTCTTCTTTTTCAATGCTGTAGTTGTTTGTGGTGATGGAGCTGATGGTTTTGAAGATGGCAAGGAAGGTCGATTGGGATTGTTGAGTGGTCGAGAGCGCTCTCGTTCATTGTCGTTCTTGGATACATGTTGTTTCTTTGCACCTTTGAGTCCCAATGCCATACCCATTGCATCATCCGAATCCTCGCTATCACCAAGAAAGGAGAAAACAGGTTCTTGTTTCTCGTGCAATGGTCGTTTCATAGGTACTGTTTTGGCCATGGGTGGTGGTGGTGGTGGTGGTAGAGTAGGTGTTGATGGTGGCAGCGTTTTCTTTATCCCGTTGGCAGGGTCATTTGGCAAGTGCTGAAGACAAAATTGCGGTTGATTGGCAGGCATTGAAGGTCGCAACGTAATTGCACCAGCATTGACACCACATGTTACATGGAAATACCTTTAAGAATAATCACGTCAGTTAAATCATAACACCCAAACGATTGGATAACGCTTGCTTGCTTACCTTGAGCACTCTTGATTCCCACATCCAATACATAGACCTTGTTTTCTATTACAGAAGCAGCATGTCTATAGACCATTGAGCATAAAAGAACCTTCAAATGTGGATATTGTACGTACATTTTGGTTGAGCGCGCTTCTCCTCAGGGTATACGGTCCATTTTGGTGGTGCACGTCTTTGTTGAGCATCGCGCAAGTAACATGGATATACTCGTTGGATTCTCTGCTTAATCGTTTCAGGGGACCCGTTTGCATAGGGCAGCAAATCACCACCTATAACCATAGGCCAATCAATCATCAGCACCCTTGTTAATACGATAACCATGCTCTCGTGTATACTACATACCACTCTTTTTCTGAATTTGGCAGCACGACATCGTTGGCACAACCAGTCGCCTTCTGGAATTTCCGCCACTCCGTAACAGCCTATGTATGTATGCATGATGTATTGGTGTGTGAGTCTGGTGCTATCCACAAGCTTCATTATTCTACTGTTTTCTTCTTACGTTGATGAACAGGCATGTTGCAATCTAAAATAAAAGTTGACATGAATACAAGCATCAAAGACATCATTTGATCTTAATACCTTTGCCATCACAGTAGATGATTTGGTTTGATGTTGTAGACACCGGGTCGTCACAGATTGCGCAGGTATCCTGTTGTGTTACATGGGTTGTATCAGGCACTCAAGCTCCATAACTTTTTTGCTTTTTCGTACCTCGTCAGCTATCATCATGTTTTTTCTCTTTCTTTTTCCTTTGTTCGGATATCACGGCAAGATAAGAGATGTTTTGACAGGCTTCAGCTGCCTTTTTAAACTTAAGCGAGGAAGGGAGGGGGGAAAAGGCGAGAGCAAACGCCGCCAGAGACACAACTTTTTTCTTTTTTATACAAAGGAAAAACCGCAAAGATTCGCTCTTTATATAGATTTCAAGCTCGTGACTGTTGGATGGGTTCATTGTCTCTCGCGAATCCTGTAACATGCATTTTTGTTTCGTATTAATTGATTGTTGTGATATAGCAGACGTAGCTTGGGTATGGGTTCACTCATTGCTGCCAATAGCTGGGTAGGCCGTCCTTGGCTGATGCCATTCAATACAAGTTGGACTCGCATACGTTTGCATTGCTGAACCATGCTGAACGACACATGGCGCGTAGACTCGATCACGTTGCTCGCATTGGGAATTGGTTGCTATGCGGCGATAAGAAAAAGGAGGAAGAGGACGACAACGTTCACCACCACCGGCAGCTGCTTGGTTATCAGTCACTCATGAACCGAAGCCGTTGATGCATGAATTTTTCACTGCTACCAGCACATTGGAATGGTCAACGTACGTCATCCAACTAGTACCATCATCAAAAGCATGATTCCATGGATACCAACACCAATGGACTTGAGGGTAAGGGGCATCAATGGAAACGCTGCTGGTATCCCATAGTTGGCGTTATCAATGGATCAATCGAATCGCTGGATCGGCTTTTAGAAGGTATTTTGAGGAATCCTTACCTTTGACACGGCCTTTGTTGCATATCGAGAAGTTTCCCTTTCGGATCCATTTCATGTACTTTGAAGTTTATACCTTTGGATTGATTAAAAAGAAAAGAACTACATAATGTAACTCTACATGGGATGGTGTGCGGGGTGTTTGGGATGGTAGGATGTACTTTGCTTGTATAAACTTTATACGATTGAGAAGGCCAACTTTCATTGTGGTGTTCGTGCATCTTTGTTTGTCAAAGAAAGGGTGATCCAATAGCGGGGTTCATTATGCATAGCGTGTCCCGGCCGTGTGGAACAGGAATCAGGGCAGGGTACATACATCCTCGACACAAGATAAATAATGCTTCCTTTGCATCATTAGCATTCCCCATTGCATTCTCACGAAGAAAACAGCGTCTTATAAAGGGATCTTCTCACTCATTTTTAATGAAACCGTCATCAGCCAATGGACAAAAAGATAATAGACTATAGAGCTTTGTTGATTTTGTATGGAACAAACATCCTCTGTGCTAAGAGACTACCATTAAGCATTGAAAACGCCACGTGGTCTGATAAGCTATGGACTGCATGACTTGGACCCATATCCCAAACCATTCCTCGTGTGTGATGAAACCCAGTTAGACCGATTTGCCGATAGTAGATTCTGTAAGTGGACAGCGCTAAACATGGTGGGAAATTATGTTCTTCTTGGATCGGTTTCGAGGACGACGTTTAATTATCACTGGTGCCCTTGTTTTCATCATTGCGGCCGTTGCTCTGATACTTACATCCCTTAAATTCGAGCCAAAGCCAATATGGGTACCCCACTACGAGTCAGCCGCTCTATCGTTGGATGAACAGACCATTGAATGCACATGCTCCAATCAAGGACCCCATTGGCATGCTGTGTCAGGGGCAACGAATGACGGTGATTCGACTCCTGTTATTGTGCCCGAGTCATTACCGAAGCCAGGTGCCGATGTGCTAGCCAAGATTGAAGCCAACCGACGAGAGGATAATGTACTGGTTATTGCAACAGCCAACTATGGTATGCGAGAGTACTTGTACAACTGGATCGAATCACTTGGTCGAACACAGCAAGATCAGCAATACTTGGTCTTTTGTTTGGATGATAAGCTGTACCAGCATATGGTGGCAGCTGGCTATCAAGACCATGCGACTCAGGTTCCAGAAAATTGGTTTCACGATCCATCGTCTTCCGAGTTTGAGGATTACTTTTCGCCACGCTATCGAGCCATCACTCACGCCAAAACGATCATTGTTCAACAATTACTCTATCTCAACACAACAGTGCTCTTCTCAGATGTGGATATCGTTTGGTTACGACCGGGGGCAGTGGATTATATCATGTCATTGGACCCATATCAGGAGTTGGATGCTCTCTTTCAATTGGAAGGCGCGTTTGATCACGAAGTCAACACGGGCTTTTATTTAATGCGACCCACCTATGCCATGAAACGATTCCTCGCTCAAGCAATCTATCTCCAAGACACCTCACCCGAAAAAATGACCCAGCAAGGCGCGATCAACAGGATTATCGATTCCATTGCAGATCAGATTGCTCTATTGGATGTTGCTTTCTTTCCAAACGGCTTGGTTTATTTCGATGCCAACATTGCTCGTGCTCGAGGTGTGAAACCTTACATCTTGCATGCTAATTATCGAGTACGTATATAGATGTGGATGCTGATAAGGTCATCTTGTCGACTAATAACTCTCTTCTTCTTTGTAGGTTGGTGCCGACAAGAAAAATGAACTTTCCAGCCGTGGTCTTTGGTATCTTGACGAGAAATGGTTGGCTGATTTGGATACACGGATCGATCCTCCTCCTTCTCCTCCTACTTGATCAATGCCATTATCCTTTGGCCTTAATAGAAGAGCGCTCTTGTATACCCTTTTAGACAATAATAGAGATATAGTATAGCATGCGACAACACAGAATGAATTACAAATTTAATCGCGCTTAATCAACGGGATGATAGCTACTATTTGCGGATTTGAATGCGGGGTGGATGTTTCACCGTCATCTTGCTCAAGTTAGCCATGTGCCTGAGAGATAAGGGAGAGAGATCCTCGGGATCGGACTTCTTAAAAAAGAACAATGGTAGTAGTCGATACAGTGCTTTGCGTTTGAAAATAAAAGTTGGGGGCCCATGAATACAGTTTTCATAATCCGTAATACGGGATTTAGGGTAGCTAGCTTAGTGAAATCTTTGATGGGCTCTCGATACAAATATTGGTCTAGCAGTACAACTCTTAAAACTAGCAATCTAATGGATAACATGGAGCCCAATGCAAAATGAAGTCATTTCATTGTTGAAAAGGTTTGTTGTAGTTTTATGAGCTTGTTGATACTTTGCGCTTGTAAGAGAGATCGCCAAAGTGAAGCCTGAAATCGATACACTTCCAACTATCGTGTTGTTGAGCGTTGTTGAACAAGCTTGCGTATCATCCGTTGCATATCGAGGACACGTTTTGCCATGTCAGACGTGGGGAATTAGATGTATGTAGAGCCTGGAGGCTTCGTTTTGGCACATGTTGCCATATCAACCCGGTGCGATGGAAAGGTTACCATGCGGGCTGTATATTAATATGCCATCTGATCCAACTTTTCAGGTGCATCTCGCGTGGTAGCTACATCAAAAGGGGCATGGTATGTATAAGCATACATGCTTCATCAAACGAGGTAATTAAGTTTTACCTTGGTAAAGAGTCAAATAGCACAATGACAACAATGACAATGCAAGTAGAATTACAACGAAAGGCTAAAGATCTTCACACATATGAGTACATGGATGGCTCACAAAAAGGGCTCCCAAGCATGATACTCACCAAGGACTCTTGAGGGTGTCAGCAATCAAAGGGTTATATCATGATGGGAAGAAGAAAGAGATGATGGGATGACAACATCCATCTTGTTTATATCTGTATGGTGGGCGTGGGTATTTCTGTGATCACAAAGAGTGATAAAATTTCTATTGAGAATGATGATGAGCTGATAGGTTGATACAGAGAGAACCTTGGTGTGATTGAATGTGGATGCATAAACCAGGATTTGAGATAGACAAGGTCATCCAACAATGGTATCACTCAAATTACTTGTTGTTGCTGTGCTCAGGTTCCACAAAATAATACGTTGCTCTAGGATGGATGCGTAAGTCTTCGTTTCGATAAGCATACTACACAAGCATGGGGATGATATACAACGGCTTCCACTGCTAGACCAAGGCTTGTATTATTGAGAGGCCCAAGATTTTACTAAGCTATCAGGACCTGCATTGCGGATCATGAAAAATGTATTCATGTTCCCCCCACAATTGCAATTCAGCAAATTGAGACAATGAAAAAGACAATGGGTGATGGGGCCTGGGCACTCTCTTTTGTCATGGCAACCAGGTGCATCCACTTTGGGAATGGTTGCCATGGTAACATTGAATGAGGATCCCTCCCAAAACCTTGTCATGGAATGAATGCTATTCTTTATCTTAGATAGCCTTGTGCAGCAGCAGCAGCAGCAAGGATGATGACAATGAAGCATGGATGTTTGACGTTTCTAATATTAGGTTTCAAGGGCATTTGGCGTGGTGTAACAATGATCGAGCGATCTTACAATAAAAACTCAGTGCGCTACTAAGATACGATTCTATTTATATGTCTGGACTCGCCTTGATTATCATTTCTTTCTCTCCCTCCTCCTCACAACGTCCTCCACCATACACCACCCACACGCCACAATGACAATCAGCATCGCAGCTTCTGATATACAAGCTCTCAAGGACCGATATGAGCAAGCGGGTCAAGGCCAAGTCTTTCGATTCTTTGACGATCTGTCAAACGATGAGCAACGCGATTTGTTTCAGCAACTGACGGATATCAATGTTGAACGAGTGAATGAGATTTATCAGTTGTCGGTGACAAGTGCAGCAGCAGCCAATGCTACGAGTCAAGAAGCATCTGTTGAACCCTTATCAGAGGACGTATTTGACTCTGTGATCAAAGCATCTGCCAAGACGCGTGCAGAATGGGAGACGGTTGGGTTACGCCAAATAGCAGAAGGCAAGGTGGCCGTGATCTTGATGGCAGGTGGACAAGGCACGCGTTTAGGATCCAGTGCACCCAAGGGATGCTATGATATCCATCTTCCATCAGGCAAGACGCTCTTCCAATTACAAGCCGAACGTATTTTACGTCTGCAAGATTTAGCACGTCAATATCGTAAGCCCAGCAGCAATGCAAATGCAGGCATCATCCCTTGGTATATCATGACATCCGGCCCTACCCACGACGCTACCTACAGCTTCTTCAAATCCAACCGCTTTTTTGGTCTCAATGAAGAAAACGTCATCTTTTTCCAACAAGGCACGTTGCCATGTTTGACCTTTGACGGCAAGATCATGCTCGAGAACAAGCACAAGGTGGCCATGGCTCCAGATGGTAACGGTGGTATTTATTCAGCTATCCAAACAAGAGGAGTGATCCAGTCATTGAAGGAACGTGGTATCGAATACAGCCATTGCTACTGTGTGGACAATTGTCTTGCACGTGTAGCGGATCCAGTATTTATCGGGTACTGTGTGAGCAAAGGGACCGATTGTGGTGTCAAGGTAGCAGCCAAAGCAGCTCCTGAGGAACCTGTGGGTGTCGTTTGTGTACGTGATGGTCGCTATGGTGTGGTTGAATACTCTGAAATCTCCAAAGAAGTCTCTGAAAAACGTCGAGAGGATGGTTCACTCGCCTTTGGTGCCGCCAACATTGCCAATCACTTTTTCTCCACTGCCTTTTTGGAACGTGTGCCTTCCTTTTCATCACAACTTGCTTATCACATTGCAAAAAAGAAGATCAAGCATGTCGATTTGGAAACCGGTGAACAAGTGGTGCCTAAGACCAACAGTGGAATGAAACTTGAATGCTTTGTATTTGACGTATTCCCTTTTGCCGAACAATTCTCCGTGCTTGAGATTGATCGAAAGGATGAATTCTCGCCACTCAAGAATGGCCCTGGTGCAGGTGTTGATTGTCCAGAGACTTCAAGACGTGATATCATTGCTCAACATGTACGCTTTATTGAAGCAGCGGGTGGTCGTGTGGAAGGTGATCCTGAACAATTTGAAATGTCTCCTTGGGTCACCTATGGCGGTGAAGGTTTACGAGAGATTGTCGAAGGCAAAACTATCCGTGCTCCTGTGGTGATTGAAACACGACAAGATCTCATCCATGCAGCAAAGTAAATAGCAACAACCACACTTCATTCATCCTATTTTATCATCTCCCCCTCCCCATTCGCATTGTCAATAGTCATCTTCCCCTTTGTTATCCATGTTGTTTTCTTTCTTTAATGATACCAAGCCATGGAATAAAAAATGAATTCATTGTACTTTTTGATGGTCTAGGCTTTCACCACTTGCTCCCTTGTGATTGGCTGCTGCTTTGGTCACTCTCTTATCCACTTTCGCTCAATGCGAAACACAGCGTGTGTGTGTGTGTGTGTGTGATACCCTTTTCCAAGTTAGATATAATGTAATGTATATAACCTTCTATTTGCTCACGAGCTTACGCTGACACGTCTTTTCAGGGCCAACCCATCCTCAAGTAGTAAGGATAACAGCTATGTATTCGAACAACAAAACGATGTGCGAATGGATGAGCTAGGCTCCAAACTCTCGGCTCTCAAGAATGTAAAAAGTCGTTGCCTTTATCATGGCGCCTCACCACCTTCCAACAACACTCATTTCCTTTCCGCTTCTAGATTACAATTGACATGCACAACGACGTGAACAACCAGGATAGCGTCTTGGAAGACTCGGTAAGTGAGAGTTGTCACTACGTGTGTTGTCCATACTCAGGGCTGACACTGCTCTATCAGCATCAAGCCTTTGGTGGTTTAGGAAACTCTATGCGACAATCGTATGGCCGGATGAATCGTATGATTTCGACACGACATAAGCGACAAATGTGCTTTTACGTAGCAATAGCAGTAACATTGTTCTTTGTATTTTATTGGGCATCAGGGTGGATTGGATCATCCGATGAAAAAGAGGTCCATGATGCGATATAAACGACCTTTCAACACCATTCATATATCATTGCTGTTGCTGGATAGTCATTGGGGTGGATGAAGAAAAGGAGGATGGCACACTCTGCTTGTATTTCACTGATTCTTACCAGAGAGTGGGGGTTGGGATGATAAAGCTTTATCGTCATGGATCCTCTCCAAGACCAGTGATCTCATTTATAGAATAGCTTCATCATTCAGAATCATTTTTATCTCTTTCAAACAATGAAGGGCCATGGGTTCCTTGCTATAAGCCTAGCATTATAGTGTGGTGCCAGAGCCAGGCTAAAGTGGGTGCATGGAATTTGACAGCTCAGCGGTTGCAGTCACGAGTAAACACATTTCAAAGTCGGTTCCTCTCTTCTCCACTCCTTCCATAAACACACATACTCTGATAACACCCCCATGTTGGGCTCATGGACTAGACGAACAGCTCTGCGTTGCAGCAATGCCAACCGCATGTTGCAGGTAATTCACTCGACGGACCCTTTATTGAAACGACACTAGCTCACCCCCACCCAACTCTATACAACAACAACAACAACAATAGACCGTCCGACACGCCTCCAGCAAACACACCGCTTATGAGGAGGCTTTGGCATTGATTCAGAAGGACAAACAGGAGCGATTAAAGATGCTTGATATGGTGGAGAAGGAGCTTGCTCGCTTGCAAAAGAGTAAATGTCCCACACACAACCAACGAAAAAGAAAAACAGGATCGGTTAACGTTTCTTCTTCCATGACAGCCACCCATTCACCAGCACAACTCGCTGCCCTCAATGCTCTCAAGTTCGATCTCCAGGTGAAATCAGAGTTGAACGATCCTGCTATTCGACGTCAGTTCAAAGAAGGCAATGGTATTATTGACAACAAAATAGGGGTGCTATTATGCGATCACTAACATACATACATGTATACGAATCGATAGTGGATATGTCACGCCCTGTCTTCCGATACATGACCCAGAAACAATTTGAAAAGGCACCTCTTTCTCAGCTCATGGAACGCATTACTCAAATGCGGGTGGTCCCTGATCTTTTACCATTGGATGTGGCACCTACAGTGCAAGTGAATATCAAGTTGGACAATGACACAATCGTTGAGCCTGGTGTGTTTATTAAACCAGAGCAGGTAAGAAGGATTGGATCAAAAAGGAGAGAGAGAGAGATGGATGTTGATCTTCGATTCATCTTTGTTAGAGCTTGCGTTTGCCCGAGATTGATGTGACCAACTTTCATACTGAGCAAAGGTTGTATACTTTGATGCTCGTTGATCCAGGCAAGTCAAAAAAGTGGCTATAACTCAATTTGGCCATTAACCATTCGATACATTAGATTCGCCTGATGTCGCCAACAAGACTTATCAACAACGTTGCCATTGGTTGATGTAAGCATTGCTCGATCCCTTTTCCATCAAATGGTTACTTATTGATGTTGTGCTTTTAGAACCAATGTGCCCCTTTCTGCAACAGAATCGATTGTCAAGGATGGCGAGACTGTACTCGACTATATTCCACCACATCCACAAAAAGGCACCAAATACCATCGCTACACCTTGATTGCATACGAACAACCTAATGCTGGAAAGGACAAGGTCGATATTAAGGTAGAGGGCCGTGATGCATTCGATGTCAAGGGTCTCGTCGAACGTCATGGTCTTCAGGCACGTGGTGTATCCTTCTTCCGCCAAGTATGGGATGAGACCGTCAGTCAAATTTACAGCGATATTCTCAGTAAGTGCATGGATTATGGATTATGGAGGAGGGGGGAAGAAGCAACCAGGGATTGACTCTTTTCTTCTATTAGACACCTCCGAGCCTATCTATGGCAAACCACCCAGAACCGATCGCTATATTCGTAGAGCTGTGTACTATTAGTAGATTTGCATTAAAATTCTTCATTCTTCATTGCCATTTAATGTATATCCATGGGTGTGCTTTTTATTTGTGGTTACAAAAGAGAGCTGTGGCAGCAATTCCATTTCTTCCCAGACAACAACAAATCTTGTCATGTTACGCGCTTTACGAAATACACAAACCCCCAATCTCTTCAAGCACTTTTCAACCATCGCTCGCGACGATCCCATTCACCGCATCAATTTGCGTGTCGGCAAAGTTGTCAATGTGGAAAAACATCCTGGAGGGGAACACCTCTTCATTGAGCAAGGTGCGATCACCATAGCCCATGGCACGCTATACACCATGTCACCAACTCTATATGCATTTAGTGGATTTGGCTGAGGAGTCGCCTCGAACCATCGTCAGTGGATTAGCGCCTTATATGGCCATGGAGAGCTTAATGGTAATCATGGTGTGGATGACACTTTAGATGCAATACTAATCACGTGATTTATGCAGAACAAAAAGGTGGTTGTCGTGAGCAACATGAAGCCAAGTCGATTTCGTGGTGTGCTATCCCAAGGCATGCTTCTCGCAGCAACATCCAACGACAACAGCCGAGTTGCTTTACTTGAACCAGCAGCCGATAGCCAAGTGGGTGAGCGCATCAAAGTGGATACCAGCAACGACGAGCAGCCTGAAGAAGAGATGATGGATTCACCTCCTATATTAAAACCCAAGCAACGTGTGTTCGAATCGGTGGCAGAATTTCTAAAGACTGATGAAAATGGAACGGCAACCTATAAAGGTCAACCACTAAAGACAAATGCGGGAGGATACGTTTCATGCCCAACAATTCCAAACGGCCAAATATCTTAAAATCATCCCATCTTCTTCACGTTGTTTATAAACATAATAAATTGTTATGCAACTATTCTTTCTCTTTATGCATCATGCAGCACCAGCAGCAGGACGACGCAGCACCATGTGATGGTGGTGGGTGGTAGCGGTAGATATTTCATGCATTGCGCTTTTTACATACCCAGACATCTACGAAATCATCCGAGATATTGCTATGACGCATCTTCTCTCAATGATATCTTTCTCCTCATCATCCACATCATCCTTCTCATCATCCTTATCCAATCGCCATGTGACATCTAATAGCTGTAGCTTACCTCTCCGAGATAATGGATATCACTGATGGACCACCCTTATTGTGCATGTTGGTCGATATAGATGAGTTAACGATTATCGTGACGTGGCTTGACACCGTGGGATTATCTCTTAACATAGATAATCTTTTTTATATCGCTTACACCATCTTACAGTGAGAATAAAACAAGAACTATAATATCGTAAGAGCCATTGTATACCCATGCCCTTAATGATGATGGGGGATACATCAAGCACTATAGAAAAAATAGTGATGCGACAAGTTTACAGGTGCGTGTGTGTGGTGTGGTGTGACATTAAGACCCCCTTTGCCACGGTGTGTCACCTATGATTGGGGGATGGAATAAGGAGACGGGCGAAGCAGGACCAATTGCATCTGATCAAATCTGAATCACACCAGCACAAAGAGCCTAATCGCCCGGGCCGAATGGGATGCTTCCATTCAAGGCTGAGTTAGCCCCAAAACCGGCACGACGACTGGTGAGTCACCATACTTCGATTTTTTCGTCTTGTTTCTTTTCTCAAAAGCTCTTTAAAAGACGCCAACACTTTTTGTTGCAGAGTTGCTCTTCCTGGATCTTTAATTAAATATCATATCCCTCTAACACCTTTTCATCTCTTTTACAACCTTTTAACTTTTATCTATCTCCCTCTTTATTGTTATCGTTTCTCTCTCTTTGTTTTTACTGCTATGGTTTCGTACTTTGTCGTTGTCCGTCGCTTCTAAAGGTTCAGCACCTCCAAGGCTTATCTTTATTCTTTTTTGATCTGGTCCCCACTTTGTATACACCACCATATCGATTGTCTTACTGAACCCTTCCTAAAAGAAGTGTTGTGCCGATAACACAGCATCTTGCCAAGCATTACATACAATGAATCCTTTCAACAACGCTCCTGCTGCTGCGCAGCCGCCAGTCACGTTCCCAGTTGCCGATGCTGCGCCGCATCCGATTGGTACAAGCTACGATCATAAATACCAGCTACTCTCTCTAAACAACGCCTCATCCATGTATCACACCTCCTCTTCTTTACTTGCTACGCCACGACGCACGCCACCACAAGAAGATACATGCAAAACTGATAACCATAACACCACCACCACTACCCATAAGCAACAACAACAACAACAACATCAGGAGAAGCAACGTGCCTATGTGAATGCCCTTGTTGGTAAATATCACGCTGTTACACACACACACACACACGGGTTTTTTTTGCATACAGTCAAAAGACTCACACACACAACCCTGTTGTTCTAGATGTCACGGTCCAAGCCATTGCTTCCATCTGGCCCAATGCTTGTAGCACTCCAAGCAATGGCAATGCCCAACGCCCCATTGCCAATCTCAACACGTTCCTGCACCACATCTTAAAGCACTCTCGCACGACTCATTCGACTTTGCAACTTGCAATCTTTTACTTGTTTCGTATTCGACCTCGAGTATTGGAGCAACGACACGATAATGTCTACATTGCTTGTGGACGACGTATGTTCCTTGCTGCATTAATTTGTGCCCACAAGTTCCTTCAAGACAAGACATACAAAAACTCGGCCTGGTCCAAGGTCAGCGGTTTAAGTGTAGCCGAAGTCAACCATGCAGAACGAGTCATGCTTCAGCTTTTGGATTGGTCTCTTTACGTCAAAAAGGACACCTATGACAAGTGGATCATGATGCTTCAAGGCCATCTCAAATATGCACCCTCCAAAAATCACACCACAACCACCACAACAACACACTCCTCTATCGATGCTGCTTTCCCTAATGATAACAACAACAACAACAACCTCCAAACGCCACCTCTCAAGATACCCGCACTTCATGCTCCCATCACCAGCCGTGCTTCTCTCGCTAATCAGCAAGCTAAAACCATTATCAACCTCGGTATGCCTACACCTGTGCAGGATAACCTTTGTTCCCCACCCCACAAGCGTAAGGCGGATGCTGATGATGATGATGATGTTCTTCTTGCTCATCCCTCAAAGAGAAGAGTTGGTGTCTTTGTACATTGAGAGAGAGGTTTGGCTTTTCACACACTTACTTTATCCATCCCCTTTCCACCCTTTCTTTGTGAATACTTTTTTTACCCACTCTGTGTATTTCTAACAATCCACACACACACACAACAATAAATCTAACATTTGCATTCATTATCATCTAAAATCTTTCTTCTACATACAACATACGACAAAGAATCAGATCATCTTTTTCCATACGATGGGATGTTGTTAGTCGAATCCACACTCAGCCCTCAGTCATCATGATGACAGCTCATTATGACTTGTGCCTCACAAACACTATCCCTTTTTTGGTTCAGTCTCAGCAAGCATCCATCGACCGACGTTCTGGGAAGGCTCCTCCTCCATATTGCAAATGAACCTCGCTGCTATTGAGTGACAAAGTGACATTGGAAAAAAGGTCATTGGAACATGTGGTTGTGGGCTTGACAACTTTTTTCTTTTGAAGGTCCACCACGTTACAAGGATCGTCGACAACGTCAACATCATAAACGGAGCTTCGCCATATACACCATGTGCCTTTGTTGATGATTGCTGATATCAACGTAACCGGATCATTGCTGCGTATAGTACTCAAACGATCAAAGCTCTTTAAATCAAAGCTGACCTTTGTTGTGGTCATAGGCTTTCTTCTTTGTTATCCTACTTTGATGGTCGTGGTCGTCATTATGACATTTGTCTCTTGTATCCTGTAATCCATTTACAAAGGTTGGCTTCGGTGACATGGTCTACATGCTCATTGTGTTCGACTTGCCGACTCTTGATCGGCACATATGGTTACTATTGCTGTGCTTAATGACCACCCGCTTGGACACAAGAACGATGGTAACAACAAGACAATACTGCAAGACCAATCGTTGATGTACATTTTGGAGGCATCTAGTACTTACAAAGCACATACCTCGATCCACTTTCGAATACAAGGTAAGCCAAAGCACATCATGTCAAGAACACTTGCAAACGTTCAAAAGCAACCCCATCATCGGGCATTTCATTCGTTGACGCATTCCGATTGGTATTGCTTCTCACACAAAAAGTGATAATTCCATAAAAGTGATAGTCCTTTGAGTGGGTCAAAGTACAATAAAACATGATCCATGTACATGGAAAACGTCGAGAACCATCTCCAGTATGCACACAATTACACCTGTACGACCTCAATTGCTGCAGTGAGCTGCAGGTACAAGTCATCGTGGCACGCTTTATGATTTGGATACAAAGCGATGATGGATCACAAACACATGTAGCAGTAGCAGCAGTTGTTGGTATACACATACACATACACCATCGTATGACCGACACCCCACTTCATCCCCCTTCATAATAACGCGCGTCAATTCCCCCATTCTAGCAAACCTCTCCATGGAAAAGTTACACAATGCATGAATGCGGACTTCACTTTGGGAAATGAAAAATGTGGGATCATGTCTTTGACAAGTTGTCTTGTACTTTACGTGGGAGAAAAAGGGGGGTAAAAGCATATATTGACCGACGTTACTAGGAAATGCTACAAAGGTTGTGTGAAGGGGGCATATACAAAGAAACACATGAAAAGGTTACAAAAGATACAGGAACGTGGAAAGAGACACACACATGTAAGGATACGGAGTTGTTGTTGTTGTTACTGGTGTTGGTGAGGGGGGAGAAGAGGGGCATATTATCATCATCGCATTATTAGAAAAAGGATTGGATTAGGGTTGTTGCAGTAGTAGAAGAGAAGAAGAGTGAGATAAAGAAGGCTGGCAAATAGAAGAAGGCGTGTGTATGTGCAAAAAGGTTGTTGAATTATTGTGAAGTGATGGTCGTGATAGTAGGATGATGATGATGATCATCCAAAGCGGGAGGGTCGAGACTTGGAAATGAGACATAGTCATCCTTGAATGACCAATTTTCTTTCTCATCATGCCAATCATCGATATCCACTGGCCATGAATCGAGTGATGACGACGATGACACTGAACGCACCATGGGTGGTTTCTCTTCAAATGTTGTAACGTCGTCATCAGCAGCAGTAGTGGCGGATGGTTGCTGATTTGGTTGTTTAGTACGTGTCAATAGCAAGAATTGGAACATCGTGTATTGGCAGGGTTGTTGAGAAAGAGGTAGATGGAATCCGATGGTAGTAAAATATACGCTTGAAGGAGACGAAGGGGTAAAAAGATAAAAAGATCACGGGCTTTTATATGTCTGTGAGTAAAAAAGATTAAGGGAGGGGCCCATTGTTCTGTAACGAAAAAAGAAACGCACATGCCGCCTCCGGTGTTGGTGGTCCAAAGCATTAGCAGCGACGATCCCTGCTGCTGCTGCTACCAACAATGGGGATACCTACCATGATGAGTGAGTGGGAAGCGGAGTCGCTGCTATGTTTATCATCATCCTTCACGGTGTGAGTAGCAGTTTTTGGGTCTAGACAGAGAAGCGCGGTCGTTATTTTTAGAAGATCCACCACACTGACAGCTCTCAGCCTTTTGGTTCCATGTGTCCATCCCACGTTGACACATGCCACTGTTTCGCTTTTGGACTATATTTGCTTGCCACTCAAACCACCCACAGCGGAGGAATGCGAGGAAATCATGTTGAAAGTTTTACATGTGAGTGGGTGAGTGCGTGTCCAGAACCTTTTGTTTCTGTCACATCATCCGAGAAAAACGAAAAACGGTATCCATGGATACTTGTAGATGACTTGTGATCACGGTTGGCTCGTTTTGTGCACCGCCATGTTGATTTGTTGCCAAAGTCAAGCTTGCATGAATACTTTGTAGACGTTCATTGTACGTTGCAAGAATCTAAAATCATTTTCTTATACACAAAAAGTGGTTTGTGGAAGTAGAATGCCATCGTGAGGAGCAGCGTTGTGATGTTGCTTATGGGTTATTGCCTTTCCTTGGGCGGCATGCGAAAGAGCCTGCATGCGGAAATAGCAAAGAGTGGTGCATGAGCAGCACACAATGCAACAAGTTACTTTTCTTGACAATGAGGGGCTATTTGTGATATGGGCACACGCTCGATGCCGTTCATTAATATCATCAATGAAAGATGCTTCTGCCTAGCCATAATAATAGCTGGCCGCTGTTCTATTACTGTAACACTGCAGCAAGACACACTTTTTTCTTTTGCAGATCATCGTTTTACATACGTGGATCCTTTACATCCATCGTTCATGATAACCCAGCTTCCCTTCCCCGACAACCCCCCCCCCTTGATCCTATAATGGGATATTAAACAATCAGCCAAGGATGCTAATTGCGTGCGTTAAAAGTCTCGACAATAGTAATACATGTGGTATGACTTGGGTGATGACCATTGGCCAAAATGAACAAGCGAAGCCATCGACGATAATAGCAATACGATAGTTTACTATAATAATAATGATGTTGTCTACATGGGGCAATGGATTGACTACGTTGAAAAGTATTGTAGATGGTGGGTGGAAGCCTACACACATCAATGATAATGCGATGCCTCCTGTAGCCGGCTGGTAATGTACATCCCCCGGCATCCATGTATAGGATACAACTTGCAATAATATCGATAGTTGCGTAGGAGCCATCACACGATGATATACATGCTTGTTGACAATCAAGTTTTATTTGCTGAGGACATGTCGGATAACTAAGACTCGGGCGCGCGTTGCACGAGTGCATACATTTTCTCTTTCTCCAACCAAAAATCAAATGGGTGCCCAAGCGTCAAAACAAGCTGTGCGACGATTGCCGAAAGAAGTTCGACGCGATCCTGCTGCTATCCATGAATATCCCACAGAGACACCTTCTTCATTACGAGAGTCAGCTGCTGGTATGTGTTGCCCATGGGTTGTGGTGGGTGTATTGTACATGCGATGCATTGGGGAAGGTCGTCCTCATTGTGGGGTTCTTTTTTGCTACGATAGATCTTTTGGAAGAGTTTCCCGAGCAAGAGACACGCGATCCACAACTTGACAAGAATCTACGAGAACTTGGCCCTGTCAAAGTCGAGCAAACAATGACAAAAATGCGAACAGTGAGTATATCTCTTTTGACGAGAGCGTGTGTTATCAGAATACGTCGTTTATTAACGATCCATCGAGTCCGATCCTATGCTGCATATCATGCGTGAACGACAACGTATCGAGGATGAGGAAGAGCGACGACCCGGCACTAGCATTGACGTGATTTTCTCTGTTTTGGAAAGACGTAAACGCTTTGCGCCTGGCGATCTCGATAAACCGGATACATGGAATGAACTTGAAAAGAGCTATCAACTTGATCAACCTACGCTCAAAACGCTCTACAAGTATTACAACACGATGGCTGTACTTCCCGCACATCCCGAAGATCAAAAGAAACGACGACATGGTATTTGGGTGAATGACAAGCAGGAATGGAAAGCGGCCTTGGATAAAGCCAATACACGCATTGAAGAATACAAAAAGCAACAACAAAGGGAATCTACCATGGACACTTCATCATCATCGACACCACCCCCATCATCATCATCATCCTCTACAAGTCCCAAATCCGCTCGAGAAAAGAAGTTAGAAGAATTGTTTGAAGATTAAATCATCATCATCATCATCATCAATACACACAAAATGTATTTTTAAAGTTGGGGTACGAGAAGAAGGAGGTGGAGGAGGAGGAAGGATATTTTCTATGGTTCAAAGGATGGGAAACGGGATTCAAAACTAGGGTCTACATCAGGTGCTTTAGCTGTAGCTACTTCAAATGCCAATTGCTGAATAAAGTCTTTGAGATCCATGGCCACACCATCGCCTTTTTCAAACCGTTGTCGTTCATCGATCTTTTTCTGATCTTGCTCATGCTTTCTTATATCAAGACCAAGTAGGCTTGTCTCCATCCTTACAGAGTTGACTTGATCTTCGACATCTTGGATCATGGCTGATACCGAGTCTGCATGACCAATAAACGCCATTTTTTCTTGATCAATTGCATCCAATTCTGCTGTGACATCAATGGTACTACTTTTGCCAGTGATCTTGCCCATACGTGCCGCCACCATTGCTTTTGCCTTTGCACGAATACGATCACTCTCTGTGATTTCACCATTGGGGCCTGTACCAACAATATCCAATCCAGCGGCACTGTTGCTACTCTCCTTTGATGCCTTCAGCTTGGTCAATTGCTTCTTTTTCTCTGCCAAGTCCTCTTCTGTTTCTTGCAATTGTTGAACAAGCTTCCGCAACGACGTCTCAATCAGATAATTGGATTTCAGATTCGAGCGACTTCTCTTGTTCGGTGATATCAGCCAATTCGGTCGTTTGTTTGCTGTATTTGTCCCATGCATTGCTTCCTCCTTCATCATCACCCCCTGATCGAACGATCTCAGACTGCAATTCTCGAATCTTTTCCTTGACTTCATCGATATCTTTGCGATCCGTGTATGAAAGCTCATTGTAAGGTGTCGCTTTTCTAGAAATGGCTTCTTGTTCCAATTGCTTGAGACGTTCTTTTTGTTGAGCAATCTCCTTTCGCATATCCGAAATTCGAGTTGCTTTGCCACGATAGCCGTAGCTGGATGTTGTTGTACCCGAAGATTTGGAGGCAGTAGGTGAAGGTGAGCCATCGCGTGATTGTCCCCATCGACTACGATCAGGCCCCATACGTCGCGCACTCGATACATAAACAGGCTCTGAATCATCATTATCCACATACTTTTCCCGTCGTCGACTACTACTGCTGCTGCTTGTAGGTCCAGGACTAACACTTCGAGCCCGTGATGGACTGCCACGGGTGGTGGGTGGTGAAAGTGAAGGCGATGAGCTAAAGTTGGTCAAATGGCGTTTCTTCGCGATATCTTGTAAAATGGAGTTTTTCAGCTCACTGACAGTCTCGTTGAGTTGACGTGTCGAAGGTGGAACCAATTCGGCTGGTAGAGATGTAGGTACGTCGTATCCATTGAGCTTGCGGTAAATCAAATGCATGGCAACACAAAATTCATCCACATTAAGTTTGCCTTGGTTGTTGGGATCTGATAAATTCCTATTATATATCCATTCAAATGGGTCAATCTACCTTATCTTCCATGCCTTGATATATATACCACTTACCATATTTGCATAAGAATGTTTTGTGCCAATCCCGATTGTGTAAAGATTTCTTTGGCCTTGTCTCCAGAGATATAGCCTTTGTTGTCAGCATCCCATGATTTGAACACCTTGGAATAGCGTTGCTTTTCTTCAGTCGTTACTGCCCATGGAATCTTCACCTTCCCCGTGATGGCTTGGAATTGATGATTTCCTCCCATTTGAGCATTAGGCATCATTTGATTGGTGAAATCCATATTGTTGCCTGCCATCCCTGTAGGCATAGCCACTTGGATATTGTTGCCCATCATGGGTGTGACGCCTGTAATCATTGGCACTTGGAGTCCAGTGGGCTGTTGTTGTTGTTGTAACATCCCTGTGGGTTGTGATGCAAGACCGGTCATGGATGGTTGTTGAAGACCTGTTGGCATAGGTTGTACTCCTGTCATTTGTGCCTGCAATCCAGTAAATGATGGTTGTTGCATTCCAGTGGGTTGAGATTGTTGATATCCAGTAGGTTGCGATTGAATCGTTTGGCCTTTTGCAAGCGATTGTAACATGGATGTTGAATTAGAACGTTGAGGCATGGGTTGAACGCCAAGTAAAGAAGGTGATGATGATGAGCGTAATCCCGTTGGCTGAGGAGGCACAGTGTCTGTAGTTGAGCGTATCATGGCTGTTGCTGTTTGGATCTCGTTTCGTATAGCATCGGGTAATGTGGATGGAATATCACGACCGGTCATTCGCATTGATGTCAAATACATGGCAACAGCAAATTCAGGAAAGGTGAGCTGTGGTTCCTGCGTCACATTGGATAAATCCCTATTGATACATAGAATTGCCATGTCAACTCTTCACTCCTTCCTTCATTTAACCTATTACTCACCATATCCTGGCCAACGTTTCAGAATCCAATCCTGATCGAGAAAGCACCTCCCTTGCTTGTGCAGCTATTACGCGTGTGTACATAGATACATGTCAATCAAATCATCCAAGGTTGCCTTTCGTTGAAGGTATCTTACCAGACATGAACTTGCTGCTAGGAGCTGCTTGTGCAAAAAGAGACTCGTACTTGGACTGATCGCCTGGAGCAAGGAAGCTAAGTCGAATACCTGTAAAGCATGGAGCAACCTTCCATCAGTACAACCCATGGAAACAAGACAAAGAAACAAGCGCATTGAGCGACATGCAGCTTCTATTCGCGCCCATTTCAAGATGACAAGAGAATTCAAGCGAGACTTACTGGGTGATGCAGCTGCCATTGCGAGGAGGGAGGAAATAGAGTAGAAACGACCAAGATAGGTGATTGGCCAGCTATCTCCACTTCCTCAATCGCTTTTCCAACATTGCCAGATTCGGAAACTAGCCATGCACCGATACAAGCTCATTATGACGGTAATATTCTTCTTACACGGTTCATCAAAGTGATCATACCAATGGGTAGCATGTGGATTGCAAGGCGTAAAATTGTATCCTTGACGCAAATGATTTCCTTGGAATCATGCAGAAGACACCTGGTTATTATAGCTGACCACAGCAAGGCACGTGACACTACCACTTTGATGGTACATCAGCATTGTAGCTCCCTATCAAACTTTAGCAAAAGAGATCCACCAACAAAATAAAAAGGTGTCACACGCTTTATGTGTTTCCTGCTATTCTTTTCATGCAACAAAAAGCAATTACAAGTCTTAATGAACCTAATCACATCCAATAAAGATGCTACAGCAGCTCGCTTAATTAAGCCTAGATGAAGAACGTACAGGGAATCCAATAGATAGTACGGATACAGATTTGGGGAAGATGGTTTTAGAATGCTATTAATCACAAGGTAAGATAAGAAAGGGATCATCTATTCTCGGCTTTCTTCATCGACACAATGATCAACATCAGAATTACTCAGACAAAGAGTTCATTGATGCGACCATGAGTCGCCAAGAATAAACCGCATCATACAGCATACAAGTTCTTGAAATCCTAAGCCTTCCCTCGTATCACATTCTTCACCACGTGGCTGAGTCAATGCAACATGTTGCCTTATTATTATATAATAATGATTGTTCACGAGGACAATATAGAGGATGATGGAGAGCATGAACTGCACACGATTGCATGATACATATTATGTAACCCTCCCACTACCAAGGGAAAGATTCCCTTATGATATCTTTGGACATCACTATGACGAGCATAGACATGGCGGGATTAATTATTGTTGCCATTGGCAACTAGTTTGTAGATTTTAGAGTCGTAACACAGCAGCAGCAGCAACGTAAGCGAGCAAGATCTTTTACAAACATTGCCGTTTCAAAAGGTCCACAACATCCCAAATTTACCATCCTTAAAGTTTCAAGAAGGAACAAATGCATGAAAAGAGGATGCATTCCATCGTCAATTGCTATTTCAAACGACCATTTGATACTTTTTATAGCTTTTTGTTGAGTAGCACAGGCCATTGTGTACACAGCCATATTTCTTCCAGAATACCTCGCGCGCATGAGATTACCTTCTCCGCCTCACCGTTCTCTTTCCCACCAACATTCACAATGCGAGAGACATCCATGAAGTACATTGACATTGCGTTCGATACGCAAAGGCAATATTGCCCTGGTGATTTATTGAAAGGTTGGTATGACAACGAGCTGCATTTTCCATCCCTCCCCCTTCCGACAACTCATTCATTATTGATATTCATCATCATCATCAGGTCACGTCATTATCCATCCTCATCAACGTATTGAGACGCACAATATCGAGATTCGATTCACCGGCGAGATTGGATTTCATGTGCATGACGCTGCAGAGCATGTTACTCTTTTCCAAATGACAAAGTATTTACGATTGTCTACCACCGGGAGTCGATTCTTTATGCTGGAAGCCAAACCATACGCATTCCCTTTTTCGTTTCAAATCCCCGATGACATTGACATACCCAGCACAATGCATGTAAGAGAAGAGGACAAAATGAGAGACATTGTTACAATCATCTCATTCACCAATCATCAATAGAACAATGACGACCTTGCCAAAGTCCAATATCTATTGACGGCTATTCACCGACGACCCGCCCTTGTATCTGAAAGCAACAATGATAATAATCCAAAAGCTGAAAGACAAGTTCCGGTCATTGCCACCCAAATGGATATTGATACTCCACGCCTTCAACGCTCTCAAACCAAGACCACCACGATCGTTATCAACAACAGTACTCAAAACTTTGCCTTACTCGAAGCAACAATGGCTCGTTCAGGGTATTCGCCAGGTTTGTTTTAGAAACTGCTACTGGCATTGTTGATCGTTTCATTAACTCTTCCTTTTTTCAGGTGATGCTATCAGTGTTAATATAGCTTTATCATGCGAAGAGCAACTTCAAATACCCAAAGGAGTTTGTGTACAACTATTGCGAATCACAAGCATAAGAAAAGGAAGGCAAGAGACAATAATGATGAGCTTTATTTGTATATCAAGCCTCTAAAGATGATTCTTTTTTTTTTTTACAACAGTCAACGATGTTATGCCAAGGAGAGTATTCAACAAACCAGTACACATGACATTATGATCGACAAAGCAAACGGCTTCAAGCAAAACGTCACCTCAAATTTGGCCATTCCTCCTCGTACTCCACCCACTGTGCAAGGTGCCAACGCATTGCTCCAAGTAGAATATCAAATTTGTGTATCGGCTGTTACCACAATCAGCGAAGAGGTGAATCGATCCATCACATTTCCCATCATCATTGGTGCATCGTCACGTGTGCAGGAGGATGAAAGCGCTTTTGCTACTACTACTGCCACCACTACCATGAGGAGGGAGAATGATATCGCCATCAATTGTACACCTATGAGTTTCTCGATGCTCACCGTTTTTCCACCGGTACCTTGGGAGCCATCCACCTTTGTTGACGATAATGACAACAGCAACACCACCACACCTGCTCCACTTTCTCCCAGCGATACAGAGATCACGGTGGTGAACAACGTTTCAACACAAGCCAATGAGACAATTCGATCGCCTTTGTTGACACCCACCGGTGGAGCGACAGCTGCTTTATTTGGATCCATATTCCGTATGGATCGTGGAGGTTCTTATGAACTCGATCCAAGTGATGATGATGTGACTGAATCTGGCATGAATACCTCGGATGATGAAGAAGACGCGGACGATATCGATTTACTCAGTATCATGCATCGAAGCCAACAACAACAACGACCCACCTATGTTGATGATAGAGGCACTTATCTAGTTGCATTATAGTGATAGTATACAATCGAAAAACGAGTTCTTTATTTGCTAATCTATGTACACATGGAGGGTAGTAGTGTGGTATCATCATCATCAACTAGTATTGTTGTTGTCCTGGCTATTGTTGTTTTGTGGTCGTTCTTCTTCTTGTTGTTGTTGTTCCTCATCTTCGTCGCTCATGTTGATTAATGCACTGAAATCAGTATCTTCTTCGATGGCAGTGGGCTGTTTCCTTTCTTGTAACCTTGCAAGTAAAAGCTTGTTGGTGTTGATTTGATTAACACGTTCACTCAATTCAGCTGCGCTTTGAATGAAAAAGTCGGTAGTGTCACTCGTAATAAGTAGATCGCACATTTCAGTGTATCCGTGATTGGCAGCATACATCAGGGGCATATTGGTATTATCCACAACACAAGGATTGGCTCCATGATCCATTAAATAGCGCACCATATCGATTTTGCGTTGTTGTACTGCCAGCATGAGTGGTGTTTCTTCCATAGCATTGAGGACATTGACATTGCCACCAGCATCCACGACGGCTTTGACAGCTTCGATACGATTCCATGTGACAGCATGATGCAAGATAGTGTTTCCCAAGCGTGTTGTTCCATTCACATCGGCGCCTCGAGCGAGTAAGCGTTGCATGGTTTCAACATGACCGAGACCGATAGCGACTGCCAATGGGGATAAACCACGTGCATTGCGTTCGTCCACAGGTATCTTATCCAATCGATCCACCGCAGCTGCAAAGCCATTGATAGCCGCCAAATGCAACAAGGTGTTCCCTTGTTCATCCTTCACATGCATATCGGCACCCGCATCCAGTAATAAACCAAGGCATTCGATGGATTGAGAGAATAAGCAACTCGTCAAAGGCGTATGTCCCAAAGCGTCGCGTATATGATGAGGCGATCCATGTTCCAGTAACAACTCGACAGCATCCACATGGCCAGCCGTAGCAGATGCATGCAACGCTAACTCACGGTTGGGTCCGTGCACAGCCTCCACAGCAACACCCGGTTGCAATAGCAACATGCGCATAGCTTCAGTGCTCTCATTGCGTGCCGCCAAATATAAAAGTCCATACCCATCCGCATTCGCAATGTTGACATCGCCTCCTGAACGTATATACTGAAAGAGCGCTTTCACACTAAAGTCGTCCAACGTAATGGAATTCCAAATCTCGGCATCGGCGCACGTCGTTAGTCTATCCGTAGCGTGTTTGGATCGTTTGCTGCTGGTTGCATTGTCATGATCGCTCTCTGGTTGCTGACCGCGTTTGGACATGAGCACAAAAGAAGAAAGAGAAGGCCCAACCCACACACACACACACACACCGATTTAGGCCACATCCTCATGCAGATTTATGCACTTTGGCTCCTTAGTTGTTAGTAGCGTAGAATGATCCATAGAACATTTGCACCAAAATAGATCCTTCTCTTGGTTGAAGTTAATAAACCTTTCATTGTTCTTGAAAGCATGTCTTTGTGCGATTTGTGATTGATGATGATGTGAGCGAACAATTAGCTTATCGACTCATGCTCTTGGCATCCCACAAGTAAACAACTTCATATACCTGGATCATGTTCCTTCAAGGAGCGAGTTGCATGTATCAGTGCTGCGGTATTTGGATGCTGTCACGATGATAGTACATTACGTGCTATTCTAATACTTGTTTTTTCATGGCATATCAAGTGATCCGAATGCCACACCATGAAGCTGATGGACAAATGCCACTTTACCTTGGCATGTTGCTAGGATACTAAATTGTATCCTTTTTTCTTGTATTTAAACTAAATTGTATCCAATGACTACATTATTTCATGCAGTCGGTTGTTCGGCTATTCAGAATGCACAAGCTGACTATGAACTTTCTCGAATAGAGTTTATGCAAGCACTGCTTCTTTAACCCTTTGAAATCTCATGGATAATCTTGACCCACCGATAACACCCATTCAGCACCATCATAGCTTTCTCAGTGGTACATAGATCATTGTATGTGGCATTAGCTGTGTATGCTATACTCTGACAACATTGTACTCAATACCCCATATGTGCAACGAGAAGTCGTACTACCAGCTTCTTTTTATATGATGAATTCTATTACTATACAATAATGACCCTTCTAAAACTTCATATCTTGTCCACCTCTCATCCATTCAATGACCTTGTGAGCCATATAAATATTTGCATTGGTATCTACAGGAGGAGTCACCATCCATGATGTTAATGAAAAAAGTTACAACGCATCCACCACGACAACTTACCTAATGAGAAGTCGTGTTGCAAACCTTTTTCGCAAAGATAGAAATGTTCTAGAGAAAAGATGATCAGTGGTTGCACATCCCTTCATTCAAATACAAACTTACTGTGATTGGGATAAGCTGCTTTTAGAGTACGATAATGTTCAAGGGGTGCCCATCCATCGGTAGGTGAATAGTACAAGACAAACTTGTCCATATGTGCCGAGTAGAAATGATGATCCAGTTGCTTTACAAGTCGCATCTCCTGATGTGCCATTCTTATTACGGTGCGGATGGTAGATCGGTTGCACAGCGAAGCGGTCACCTTGAGGATATGGCCTTTGTGGTGGGTCACCGCACCGACTAACCCTTCAAGTAGTGGCGGAGGTAAATAGGATAACACCGTTCCAAGACCTGTAAGCACCCATTGCGGTAACTTTAGCAGATAGCGCTATTTCCTTTACCATTTAGCATTGGATGGATCCTAAGTTGTGTGTTTGTGTGTATGTGTACCTGAATTCGAATTCCTTTTGGGGTCTTGCCGATATCGTACAAGCATGGAAACAACCCAAAGACACGTGATACAGCTGTGGGACGTTGCTTGACTACTTCAGCTGCAAGGTAAGCACCAATCGAATGACCCATGATAATAATACGTGCATCAGGATTTGCTTTCTGTAGCATGTCAAAGCAAAACACCTTGTGGTCGATTTGTTCCTGGAACGTATACTCCTTGTCAGGTGGACTTGAAGCCGACATGCCGACTTGAGACACTACGATCGTCGCCATTCAATCCAATTTGCTCATGGGCCCCTTCATGCCTTGTCATTTACCTCCAAAGATCTCCACATTGGGCGATGCTTGTTGATAAACGTTCTCGAGAAATTCAGTATAGTAGTCAATAAGACCAGGATTGCCGGGAATAAAAAGGATGATGGTCTCAGCCTTTTGAGAACGAGCTGGCCACCATAAAGTACATGTAGGATGACCGGCTACATCCCAATCGCTACGAAGAGGGGTATTGATAGCGTCTGGACGCATGTCACAAAAAAAAAAGTCTTGCAGTGTGTGGTGGTGGGATATACCAAGACTTCTTTTATACTATGCACTCGTTGCTCGGTTACACGAGAACGCAACCAGGGGAACGGAGCTTCTTGATGCTTGCACAACCTTACTCAAGGAGTCGAATACAGCAGCACATCTTGTCCCATCATCATACTCAAGGTATACTGTTGGCGTTGTATTGAAACGTGTGGTAAAACCAATGATTGGATCATTAAGGGTAAAGTACAATACAAGGTGAAATAGTAGGTGCTCTTGATTCACTATTGCTACTACCTACTAAAGTTGCGGATGCAGCCGACAAGGAAAATACAGAAAAGGAAAGGAGAGGAAAGTAACAGTGCGTGCGTGCTTTATATCAAATTGCATTTGTCAATGATACATAATCGGGTGCTGGATTCTCGTATTCGGTTGTAAAGATTTGCTTTTGAACCCTTTGCATGTACCTAATATATGCCAACTAAGCAACAAACCCCCACTACTAGCAACTCTCCTTGATAAAAACGTACCGTAGAATGTCTGATAGATAGTCGGTGAGGGTCTTGATGGCTTCAACGCCCATGTCAGTGTGTGCTAATAGAGACGGCATTTGAACTACAAACATAGTTTGGTGAGCATCACCCGTAATTCAACCCTCTATGCCAGTTTAGCTCTTACCAAAGAGACGCAAAAGGTGTTCCGCACCATATATATCCACCATCTCTCGATTATACTTTTTCCTTGCCTCTGCATATTGATGCCGTTCAAACCGATAGAGCAGCAAGGATCCAAGAGCATTGTTGAAGTATTCCTTGATACCATGGATGACCTCGTCCAGCGTCTCTTGGCTATAGTATGATCCATCTTAATCAAATGCTCACTTCCATTCCTTGTTGATCCTACGTACTTTGTTCCTTTTTTCCCAAGCTTGTAAGCCTTGTATTGTTCCAATAAATCTGACACTGTGGGTGTGCGTGGCAACACAATGAGCTAAAAATCATGCATCAATGACAATCCTCATGATCTCAATTGCATTCACAGTACCTGCTGGTTCTTTGTCACATTTTCCCAATCATCCACCAATTGAGCTTTTAGACCGTTGGGGATATCAATCCTTATCTCTGGTGTGTTCAAGTATTCATCCTCCTACAAGCTGCTGCATTGGCATCCTCTCATTCATCCGCGCCACTCGCCCATTCCCCCTTTTTTACCTTTTCAGTGCTGGAATCTCGTGGTCGCTTCTTGCCTGCTTGCTATCACGTAAGATAGGATTAGAATCACATACTTGGGGTTGGATAACATACGTAGATCATACCGTGTATAAATCTTTTAACTTTGATTGCATCGCGATATTGGTATCATTTAAACGTAGCACGCGTGATTCGGGTACCCATTCATCCCATCTTTTAAATAAGCAGTAGTAGCCCGTTAGCACATCCACATAGAGATAGCAGTGGTTTACGTACGTGTTTTTCCAGCCCTTGTAGTGAACATAATAACCAGCCCCTACAATGTCGGGATCGTCGTCGAACCATTCGCGGCTCAAGATCTAGATCGTTACTGTCAAAATGGACTTCTTGTTGCTGCTGTTGCTGTTGAAATCAACCTGCCTGCCACTTGCCTTTGCTTCGTATATAAGAGGACCATGAAAACATAATACTCGCTCGTCGACGCTGTAGAGGTAATGCTCGTGTGCTGGCAAATCGCCTTCGGACATTGTCAAAAGTTAAAGAAAGAGAAAGAGAAAGTGAAGTATCGCGCCCTCCCACTTGTTTCGAAATTAAGGGCATCTACCCTCTATCACCTCTCCCCTTTAATTTGCCAACCCATCTACATGTTCCATATCTAAGCAATCGAGATTTGATGATACATGTGTTGTATATCTTATCGACCCACTTTTATAATCTTTATACAATGCTGCATACGTATACATGTCTTTGTTTGCCTTTACATTCATTAAATAATGTATCCATTATTGAACAATGAAATGCAATGATTGTATGAGACGTTTTGCTATATAATGCATACACGTACATGCTATTGTGCTAAGTGAGTTTCTCAGACAAGGAGCACCTGGGTTTCAATTATCAGACCCAACCACCTCTTTGCACATTTTCAACATAAAATTACACGCTCCTCATCTCCCACACCTATCAATGCGTTTCACCATCTGATTCGGAAGAGGATGGGCTCTCGAATGCTATCAAACACGCCATGCCGAACTATCGAATTGAGCGAGTTGGTCTATTCCATTTATGGAAATTTTGCCCTATATTATGCGCCGACCCAGCTGTTATAACAAGTGTCTCCCAACTCCTCTATGGTCCAGTGGTCAGGATCCCTGTCTTTCACACAGGTGGCCCGGGTTCGATTCCCGGTGGGGGAAATTTTTGCATTTTTTGAGTCAATTTGCTATCACAACGTACTTTTTGCATTAAATACCTTCGAAAGAGCTCCTTGCGACGAATCTTTTGATACCAATCTTGTGGGGAAGCAACAACAGCTTGACGATCGACAGCGGCTCCATTGCAACGTTCGGCATTTCTTGCACGACCTGTACATCTCCAGACGCTCATCTCTCTTCTTGTGTCAAAGGAAAGGTGTACTTGTTCAGTTGCATAAGAATCAGCTTCTCCGCCTCTCTCACCTGATCTCTTTTCGACGCCATTAACACGCCTTTTGTCAACTTGACAATTCGCCATTACGAGCAGCATTCCACAGCGTTCTATACACATATATATACTCACACACACCACCCTCGTGCAACGCCTCCTCGTGCAACATGACACCACCCAATCTCGGAATCATCATCCGAGCTCAAATTGATACGGCTATCTTTTCATGCAGGCTATGTGATCCAGCTGAAGACGAGATAAAGTTTTATTATACAAGTCGAGCACTTTCTCAACACAGCACTAAGGCACACAAACAGCCGACCACTGTCATCTTTGAATGCCATATTTGCGATGACACCTTTAAATCTCGTCCTCAGTTGCTATCACACAAGTGCATCAAGGAATTCGTAGCTGATGACCATGCTCGAGTACCGCCCCTTGTAGATGCTGCACCAAGTGGAACACAAATTGTTGACTTTTCCATCATTTCTACGACCAAGTCTTTTGTTTGTCCACGGTGTGTTACGGCACGCTTCAATGACCTAACGCATCTACAAGATCACCACGTCAAGCAGCATCTGCAACACTTACGCCCTATTTGGTGTTGTCCAAGGCAATGTGGTTATAGAGACATCGAAAAGCGTACAATAACAGAGCATCTAAAGTACGCATGCAATGCTGATGAGGAACCAGAAAATGAGTTTGCACAAGAGTTCTGCTTTGGCTGTGATCGGCTCCTACCTTCCAACGACATGGCTGCACATCAACGCACACACCCTGGCCTTGTGGATGCACTAGCAACGAATTCTTGGAAGTTGCCATTTGCTGGTCGTGAGCTTGATGTTTTGAAGGATATCGTTGGTGTTGTTGGATGGGATGTTAATGATGTGAAGCAACAATTACGACAGCGTCATGTTTGGAAGCATAACAACATCATTCATACTGCAGTCTCCAACTTACGCACTCGTCAGACTCAAACTGCCACCACACATCCTGTCAACATTGCATCACCTACATCATCACCAGACACCACGCCATATGCAACACCACGCTTAGCACCATTTCGGGATTTGCAGCAACCTCCATCACCATCACAGCACATCATTGGCATTAAACGTACTATGGCGGATAGATCACCACAACCTGATCATCATGGGAGATCTCGTCGCAATTTTAATGCCAACAGTAGCAGCAGCTCATCAACATCTCAATCCACTCGGCCATCAACCAACACTCGCTCACAACAAAGACGCCATAGAATATCTCGAGATGATGAAGATAGCCACATTACACCACCACCAATTATCTCGGCTGATACAGCTTCACAATCTCTCGACTTTTTGCGTTCTTTGGATTTGCATCCATCATCAGGTCGAATTTCACCATTAACGCTTGACAATGATAATCATGATGCATCACCTGATGAGCCTGGGGATAATGACAATGGTAATGATGAGCATGTGCAAGTAGCAACAAATGATGGGGAGGATACTGGAGCGCCAGCATTGGATATCAGCAACGACAGCACCACAGCAGCAGCAACAACAACGGCACACAGCAGCAACGACGATCGACAATTACAGCATTCGACTATAGCAGCACATCCAGCACGTGATCATGACAACGACAACAATAGTGTGGATTCATGGCTTCTTTCAGATCGCCCTGTGACATCATTGGCAAATGAACGAGCTGCAGCAATCAATGAGCAGGTTAATAGGGAATGGGATCAACTTTTTGAGGATCCTCTTTCACCAGAGCAACCAGTCAACGATGGTGCATCACTATCTCTCTCATCACCACCACGTCGACAACGCTCAACCTCGTTTGATGCCACATTTGAACAAGCGATCTCGGATTACAACATCCAACATTCATCATCACCCACACGCTCACATCGCCGCACACGCTCTGTTTCACCTTCTCGCAACTCGCCATCACCATCCTTGGATGTCACACACACACAATCACCACCACCAATTGATGCGAGTAATACGGCAATGGAAGTTGATGAGCCAATTGTGCCATGGCGACCAACACAACAACCTCGTGAATACACGCCTATTACAACATTGATGCATTCACGACAATCACGACGCTATCTACGTGTGCCACTATTTAACAACAAGCACCAGCGACTATGTTTTGAAGCAGCTATCAATGAGCTTGTGGAACGGCATCTTGTTGTTGAGGGTGATGACCACACTATTGTGACACAAAAGAACAACGACTTTCACGACGCACTGTACACGTTGATTGCCGAGTTCACTAGGCCACGACCACGTGTTGACAATCAAGGTCGAATTGAATGGAATGGATTGCAGCATATGGATGATGAAGCTGAAATCACCGATCGATTAAACAACAGCAGCAATCTTTCAGCCCATGATCGTAGACGTCTACTTCGCCGTCGCACCGCTATTAGAGAAGGAAGAGATGCCACATCCCTGTTTCATCGCTATCGCCATCGTTCAAAGTTGACGTTTGACTCTCTCGTCAACCCAAGTGAACGAACAACATGCACCATCCCTGCCAACCGATTGTACACGCACTTTGATAATAGCTATGGTGCTAGATCAGTTACATCGGATGCAATACCCACACCACGCCCTGATTTCCATCCAACTTGCTCACTTGGGGATTTCACAGACGATGATGTGGATGAAGTCATCAAAAGGTTCAACAAATCATCATCACCTGGCTTCGATGGTATTCCATATAAGATCTGGTGCATGTTTGGTGGGCTGCGTCGTTGGCTTAAAGCCATTTATCAACGTTGTTACTCGTTGGCATGGATACCGGAACATTGGCGTATGTCACGCACCATTCTTATTTTCAAAAAAGGTGACATGCAGGATCCTGGCAATTGGCGTCCGATCGCGTTACAGAATTCGACCAGCAAACTATATTCAGCTGTTCTCGACAGGATGTTACGTCGCACATTAACAAATCGCATCCCTCACAACCAAAAAGGATTCATGCCAACGCCTGGATGCATTGAACACGACTTTTACATCCATGCAGCAATACGCAAAAGTCGACGTAGAAACCTGCCACTATACATTTGCTCGTACGACCTTCGTGATGCTTTTGGAAGTGTCACTCATGATCGGATTCGCCATGCGCTGGTATATGCTGGATTGGATGATTCATCAATACAACGTGTGATGAGCATGTACAACAATGTGAGCTGCTTTGTGGGCACTGATGCTGGATCCACTGATATCATTCAACTACATCGTGGCACCAAACAAGGCGACCCAGCATCACCATTCATCTTCACTCTATGCATGCTGGAACTGAGTCATCGCCTCAACAACGCTCAGCCTACAACACAGCAAGCTTACCACAATCATTTGCTACTTGCCGATGACCTCACCATCTTATCACACGATCCAGAACATTTTCGACGTCTTCATCGCATAGTCACTGGATTTATGGATACACATGACTTGAAGATCAATGCAAACAAGACATGTTTTTCGGCAACCATCGCGCACAGTAATCAACAAAGGCGCACGGATGAGCGTATTGAGCTACGTTACCATGGCACGCGGATACCACGCATTGATTTGAAGGATTCATGGAAATATCTTGGCAACAGTGTGGGTCAACAAAGGAATGCGATTTGGGCTGACTTTCATCGTTTACATGCACACATCAAAAGACAGCTCAACATCATCGCCAATTCCGGTTTACGTATCTTTCAAAAGCATCATGCTATCAAGACTTTCATCCTGCCGCAGCTCGAATATTATATACGTTTGAATGGCCTTGGACCATGGCAAGCAAACCGATTGGGGCGCACCATACGTACATCCATCCGCAAATACCTTCAGCTACCATCATCGACCAGCTTAGCTGTGTATCATTTACCTATTGACAATGGTGGTCTTGGGTTCTATGAACCTCTTGATTGGGCTAGCAGCACACAAGTTGTCCATATTCTTGGTTTGCTCAATTCATCAGATCCTGCTGTTCAATTTATGATCCGTGAAGAAATTGGTACACTTTTGCAACAACGCTATCATCGTCCAGAAGATGGCTCGACATTGGATTTTCCGCCTACCGCTGAAGGATGCACCGATCAACACATTTTGCAATATCTTCATGGTAAATACGAGCATCTTAAAAAGAAGCGGTACAAGGACACAGCGGATCCATCAGCAAACATGCCACGTTGCCTACAACATGTTGGATGTGAAGTCATTCTTGAGGAGGATTTGGATGGTGCCACGACATTCAGCTTGCGAAGAGATGATAATGCAAATAATGGGTCCAACACTCGGCGTCGTATCACTGCCATCGGAAGACTCAAGCGTATTTGTCAACAAAAGCTTCTCGCAAAATGGCAAAGTCAATCATTGCAAGGCCAAGCTGCTAGTACCTTGCAGCACTATCTCAGCAACAGATGGATTCGTAATGATTCATTGCATGCAGCTGCGTATCGTTTTGCCATCAAGAGTCGCTTCGATATGCTGCCTACCAATGCAAACAAGGCTCGATGGGGTTTATCCAATGATTCGAACTGCACACATTGCCATCAACGTGAAGACATCCACCATGTTCTCTGCTTTTGTACATCACAACAATCCAAAGTCCTACAATCGGAACGCCACAATCAAATACTCAATCGACTTGTAAAAGCTGCTCGCTATAATCACCCCACTGCCCAAATCTCGGTCAATGAATCACCACCACTTATCAACAGCGATCGACAACGACCCGATTTGGTAGTGCTTGATGAGGAACGGCGTACAGTTTTTATCACCGATGTCACCGTCACCGCCCAATCCACCTCAAACAACAATCAAGCAACTTCTGGTACCTGCATTGATCACGCACGCCAAAGGAAGGTGAATCGTTATGGTGATATTAAGAGGCAATATGAGGAGATGGGCTACACCGTGGATTTGACAGCTTTTGTTATTGGAGATGTGGGTGGCACGGATTCAGAAAATGTTCGACAGCTCAACTATCTTATTCGTCGACGAGGTCATGCTCAACGTGTACATGGATGGATCATTTGTGACGTATATCGATTCGGTCATCGCTTATGGATCAAACGCTGTGGACATACACATGGTTGGGATACATCATCAACGCGCCATAATGCAAGAGAAAGATCAACATCACGTGCACCATCCACCACTTCACCACCACGCAACACTCGCCAACACAACAATAGCGATCATCGCTCACATCGCAACATTCGCAGATCTCATGCACCAACTACCGGCAGCAACAGCGTTCCACTTTCTCGTCAACGACATTCAACACAACCACCACCAGCAACAAGCGCCAATACTGTTCCGATCAACAATCTTCGCCGCCGAGGTCGCACAATGCACTGACCACCTACTTTATCCACAATACAACAACACTTTACATCCATCTTGTATCACAATGCTCTTTCAAATTTCCCCTGACACGCTCGATCCTTTACATTACAACGCCACCGTCATCATCTTGTTTATTATCCAGTCATCGCCAGATGTTAGGATGTCATCCATAGGCTACACTACCAGTAATGTCTAGAACATTTTCTTTTTCTCCCTTTGCGAGTTTTTTCTTTTCTCACAACATGCCTTATATTGAATATCAATTACCCCCAAATCAAAATAAATATTATATGGTTCGATTCCCGGTGGGGGAATTTTTGCATTTTTGCAAAAAAAAACTCTCTATCACGTGATCAAAATGAATGCAAGACCAAGGGCAGAACAACAAATGATAGAAGACCTTTTACAAGAGGTGAAGATGATGATTTGTTTTGAACTTTACTTGAGGCACTACTTTCCTAGCCATTGTAATATTGAAAAGCACCGCAGCCAATAATATACCAATGTGTCATGTCGTTTAAGATCATCCATGGCATATGTATAATCGTGTAGCCAGCACCCAGCAGTGTATATCATCAGGTAGCATCATAGTATAGAGCATAGAAGAGTCACTTATTAAAGGCTGATTCTTTGCATGCACGAGACGCGGTGCATTTTTCAATCAAAGTGCTACACGTTTCAACCAAACGTTCTACACTTTCTTCGACGAGAGGATGTACGAGTAATGTAATCATCATCTCATTTACTAGTATAAGCTGGTGAGATACATGGTCTATTGAGTGCTTGTGTGGGTTGAATTAATGAGAGGCACTACATTTTCAGATACGGCACTCAAATCATTGAGGGGATTTCAATAAGACGAGAGGCGCTACACTCTTCAATCAAAAGTGCTACACTTTTTTGACGAGAGGATGCACGAGTAATTTAATTACCTTATGACCTAGTGTTAGCTACTTGCATACTTGATCTATTGAGTGTTTTGCTTTTGTGGGTTCAAGTTGAAAAGTGTAGCGCTTTGGTCTAATTGAATTGCTACTCCATGATTCGAGTGCCTGAGGTGGACACTTAAAAAGAATGTAAAAAGGGAACAATAAAAGAGTCAGTGAGACTATTAACTACTGATTTATTATATGAATGGGTGTCCTTATATACATGTTACGAGGAATGAGAATGGGAATGAGAATGAATGGTATGTACAAGTGTTATGATTATAGCGGGACCAGCCCTTGCTATGATGATGATGATTTGTTATGCATGAATGTCACAATGCCGTGTCCGAAAGTGTAGCACATCTCATTAATTCAACCCACACGAGCACTCAATAGACCATGTATTATGTCAGCAGCTTATACTAGTAAACGAGATGATTACGTTACTCGAACATTCTCTCATCGAAAGAAGCGTAGAACTTTTGATTGAGAAGTGTAGCACCTTTTGGTTGAAGAGTATAACGCCTCTCGTCAACAACTGCAGCGTCCCTCATCACATGGTTGTCTCTGTCTACCGTAAAGGTAAGCTTTATTTGCTTTAAACATCCCTTGATAGCGTGTTTTGCCTTTATACATAGAACCATTGTATAGGGATAGTGGTATGCAAGGACATGGATCGTATGGGGGATTTATACTCAGCATTATAATTGAGTAGGAAAGTGTAGCGCAGTAATGCTCATAAATCGATCTCTTTATTCTCTTTGTATTTGCCTGTGTGGCTATCTTATCCTTCGTGGTCTATCTATCCTTCGCGGTCATATATTATCCTTTGTGGACGTCGTCTATATCGCCTGTGTGGATCCAAACAGAAAGACGACACGTGCTTTTTGCATAAGTACCTTTGAAGAGCTTCTTGAGACGCGTCGATTGATACCAATCTCGTGGGGAACAATCAACTTCTTGCCATTTGTCAACGGCTCCATTGCGACACGCAACACTTTTTGCACAACCTTGCGATTGTTGAGTGCTCATCTCTTCGACTTGCTGCTAAGTGAACGCATCATCGCTTAGCTGCATAACATTCAGTTACCTCGCGACTCTCACCTGCTCTCTTTTCAACGCAATTGACACACGTCTTGCCACCTCGCCATTTCGACATTGTGAACGATTACGCAGCGTCCAACCTATATATACGTCTCCAACAGTAGCACCAACCTTGTTTCGTGCAACATGACACCTCCAAATCTCGGAATCATCATCCGAGCTCAAGTTGACACAGCCATCTTTTCATGCAGACTATGTGATCCAGCAGAAGACGAGATCAAGTTTTATTATACAAGTCGCGCTCTTTCTCAACACAGCACCAAGTATCATCGACAACCAACAACTGTCATATTTACTTGTCACGATTGCGATGATACTTTCAAATCTCGTGCATCCTTATTGTCGCACAAATGCATTAAGGAATTCATGCCAGATGACCAAGCTCGTGTGCCTCCCATCACAGAAGATGCACCTGATGGGAATTCTATTGTCGACTTTATGGTGATATCCACTACCAAGTCCTTCGTGTGTCCAAGCTGTGTCATTGCACGCTTCAATGACCTCACGCATCTGCAAGATCACCACGTCAAGCAGCATTACCGATACTTGCGACCTATTTGGAGCTGCCCTAGACAATGTGGATATCGCGACATTGAAAGGCGTACAATCACGGAGCACTTAAAGTATTCCTGCGGCATGCCACACAATAAGCAAAAGACTCTTCTTTTCTTCTTTCCTGCTCTCTTGTCGTTCGGCACGGTTCTGCCACGGATACTCGCTTGATTGCAGCTTATTGTACGTTGAGATTGTTCGTTGTTTCTATGCTACGGATCGATAAGGCTAAGACCTCAAGTTGTATCTATGTAGTTTTTCTTATGTTTTTCTTGGTCGCCGCTGTCCCATAAGTCTCTATACACACTCCTTGTTCTCTTTGATTCCTTTCGGTATGTAGAGTCCCCCTATCATGTTGCATCCCCCATTGTATTATCATTTTCTTTATACTGATTCGGTACGCTTGCTTGTGTGCAGATTGCGAATCACAGCAGTCAAATAAAGATCCGCGACACATCGCATAACAGCTATCGGACGCCTCAAGCGCATTTGTCAAGCCAAGCTATTGGAAAAATGGAAAGCACAACCTCTGCAAGGCCAATCAGCATCAACACTACAACACTATATGAGCAATCGGTGGATTCGTAATGATTCCCTCCATGCTGCAGCATATCGTTTCGCTATGAAGGCTCGATTTGATATGCTGCCAACACACGCCAACAAATACCGGTGGAGATTGGGTGACTCTGAAAATTGCACGCATTGTCGACAGCGTGAAGACATCCACCGCGTCCTCTGTTTTTGTACTTCCCAAGCTTCGAAAGGCATGCAGTCTGATCGCCATAATCAGCTGCTCAATCGTCTCATCAAGGCCGCACGATATAATCATCCTCATGCAAGAATCACTACAAATCAAGTGCCCCCTCATATTACTGATACACGGCAACGTCCAGATTTGGTGATCGTGGATGAAGATCGGCACCAGGTTTTCATCACCGATGTCACTGTTACGGCACAATCGACCTCGAACAACAATCAAGCAACGAATGGTGGTACTTGTCTTGACCATGCAAGGCAGAGGAAAGTGGATCGTTATGCTGATATCAAGAGGCAATATGAAGAGATGGGATACAGCGTTGACTTTGACAGCATTTGTACTTGGCAATGTTGGTGGTACGGATGGTGAAAACACACGACAGCTTCGACAAATCATTGGCAATCGCTCTCATCCCGATCGAGTACATGGATGGCTCATTTGTAATGTATTACGATTTGGTCATCGCTTGTGGATTAAACGTGATGGACACGTGCACATGGTTGGGATCCATCATCTACGAGTCATCATGCAAGAGAAAGATCAACATCACCACGTAATACTCGCCACCATAGCAACACCAACAATCGCTCACGCCATACCAATCGACGATCTTACACACCATCGTCACGAGCTACTGGCAGTAACAGCATTCCACTTTCTCAACGACAACGAACATCACAACCGCCAGCCACAAATGCTGATACTGTTGCAATCAACACTCAACGTCGCAACCGTCGCACAATGCACTGACCACCTATCAACACAATCACCCTTTACAGCCATCTCGTATCACAATACTCTTTCTTGTTTCCCTTCACATGCAACTTTCTCTACGTCACTTTGCCACTCTCATGTTCTCTTGTATGCCATCCACTCATCGCCAGATGTTAGGATGTGATCCATAGGCCACACACCCCGTAACGTATAGCACTTTTTGCTTTTAGCATGTATCGAGTTTTCTTTTCACCACTACATGCCTGATATTGGATACCCATCCCCCATTGAAAATAAATACAATAAGGTTCGATTTCCGGAGGGAGAAGCGCGACATTATATCGCATTTAAGTTTTCGCGTCGTTTTCTTCATTACCTACTATGTCATAATCCTTGTCTTTTGGGGGCACACGAATACCTTGGGTCGATGTAATTGCTAAGATAAAAGTAGGTGATACCACAATGCAATCACTTTTTGGTGCGTTGAGCCTCATTGTTAGGCGTGATGGGCTAGTAGATGTACACGTTTGATTGCTACTTTACAGCAATGATGATGGTGCGATTACATAGCAAGCATTGTTGACAAGTGGTGCGTCATTAGGGGGTCTGAGTAAGACGTGATGATGATAAAAGTCATAGAACACGCTTTATGTGATAATAATGTATTATTAGATTGCTGTTTATTTGGTATAAAAGGCGTCCCATTAGGTTTTATGCATTGATTGATCTTACTACTTTGGCGAAATGACCGAAGAAAATCACCACTTTTTGTCTCCGGGATGCATCATCATACTAGGGAGGTTGAAGCTAAGCTCGACTTTGGAATTACTTGTCTTGGCTGATATGGATCCAGCGGCCTCCTTCTTGTGTCGGTATCCCATCTTATGATTCTCCTTGTCGATTTCAAAGTGTAGACTAGAAGGGTACATGTTGTCTTCTACAATGGCCTTACTCGATGAGGTCTTGACATCAAATACACCAACGAAATCTTTGCTCTACATAAAGGATCATGTTAACAATGGGCTTGTCACAATGGTTGTTGATTGTTCTTATTACCATGTTGAGATTAATCTTGGAATTGGATGTGACACAGCGTACTTGAAGACGAGAGGCATCACCTGCAACGTCCATATTGATACGAGAATTGCTTGTATATGCAACCACCAAGCCGTCGGAATACACATGATCTAGATTGATGCTTCCATTGGATGTTTTGGCGGTAATGTTGTGAGCATGCACGCTATTCATTTTAATGCTGCTGTTGCTGGTGTCGGCTGTAACGTGGGTGGCGCGTACATTGCCAGCAGAGATGCTTCCATTGCTTGTTTCAATATCCACGGTAGATCCACTTTGCATGTCGCCATCGATATCGATGGAACCATTGGTCGTACGGACGCTGATTAAATCCTTGGCTTGCAAACCACCATCTACCTTGATAGCCGCGTTTTTTGTTCTCAGGATCATTTCGTTGCCGATCCATCCTTGCTTTAAATGAATCTTGGCATTGGTCGTCTTGAGCTCCAAACGATCCACATTCAACGAGCGATCCACACGAATAGGGATATTGCTCACAGAAACCCATACTGAACGAGCATCCGATGGTACATAAATTCTCATCTTGACATCAATACAACGCCATGACAACGAGGGAAAGTTGATATTGAGCGCTCCTGTTCGATCATCCACCGAGTATCGAAAATCTTTCAAATCCTTAAAGGGTGTAATTTCTATGTCGGTGTCGATAGCACCTCCTTTCTCTACTGGTACAATCTCAACGTATCCGGTGGATATGTGGCCCTGAATACTGACATGCACATCTTGTGAAATTGGAATGTGCCTTGGGAAATCTGCCCAACGTGTACCACCACCACCACCGTTACACGTTGATGGCAAATTGCTGCATCCATTGTTGTCGCATCCCAAAAAGAGTTGTGAGAATAAGCGTGATACTACAATAGCAATGCCAAGCAGTATGCATAAGTGGGGCATTATCTTGCAACGTCCTCTTTTTCTACTATCACTCTGCTCAGCTGATTGCATACCACTTGATTCTTGTTGTTGTGGTCTCCTTGGAAAGGTGGCATATTGTTGTTGTGGAGATTGGGGTACTGGAATGTATTGTTGCTGTTGTTGCTGTTGTCGACTCGACCCTTTTCGTTGTAAAAGCTGATGAATAGGCCTATTCATTATTGAACATGCGCATGTATTCATTCACCTGCTACTGATGCATCGGATGTATTAAGATAGTTGTTTGGTGCCGTTTGAGGTGGTGATGATTTACTGATATCAGCGGATGATGGTGCCGATGGCAATGGATCTTGTGGTGTGTATGGCGGTGGTGGTACATCAAATGTATCTAATAGAGGTTCAGCTTCCCGCTGTCGTCATGGAAATTTATGCTATGGTGGCATACCAGGATCGGATTTGTTGGGTGATTTCGACATGGCTCAACTCTGCTTACAAGAGAAATTGAAAAGTGCCAAAAACGCGTCCCAAAAGTCTCCTTTTTATGCTTTGTACGAGGAGAATGCCAAGCCCTTGGCCTTTTAGCCACTGTGTCACCAGGTTCATAGGACAAGCTCTTGGTACAAGTGGCGTCAATGTTGAAATTTGCCTCTTTCGTCTTATGCTGCTCAGCAAGGAAAACACACCGATCACGCATGGTAATAGCATACTTGGCGAATGGAGAAAAGTCCTTCTTCCTTGACATTGAGCCATGCCTGATATCATAGCAAGACACATTATGATGCTGAAAATGCATGATAGTGAGAATACAGCCATTAGCATCGATCATCATCCTCATACTGCGTCAAGGAGGTAGCCTTTGTTGATGGATCAAGTACAGCAAAGGAAGCCCTCACGCTGAAGATTTATTGAACTAGCGTCATTGTCGTCTCTAAGCTACTCGTAAAGAGGATCCAATATGATTGAGCGATAAAAACAATGTTTTCTTTGTTAGCCTAAAGCCTCTAGCTAAGCAAATGTATTCTGGTTTATCATGATTGATAGGTGATTAAGTTGATGTATATCTCGATAGCATGAAAAGGGTCCACAGCAATGGTTGTCATGGGATGAGGGCGGTAAATTGTTGCTGGAGGGGAGCTGTGCAGTGCTCTTCTTCTCCACAACCCATCTCTCTCACAACGTCGACATGGCTTTACCGAATCTATGGAAGATCTACGCCTCGTTCAGGACGCCTGAAGAAGAAAGACACTTTTCACGATCGGCCTTTTTCAAATTTAGCGGCTACATTCTTTCTTGTATTGTGATGACCATTCTAGCCTCTCGATCGAGCAACACCAAACCAAAGTTGACCTATTAGCAGCAGCTTTACTTGTATCCACCATCATCTCCACCACTAATACCCCCCTCTCTCCCTATCCTTTCATTGTCTTCTTTTTTTCTATGTACAAATACACGTTGTTTTCAACCGATTAAGCTTTTTGGATGGAATGATATGGATGATTGGGAAATCGAGTGTGACACAGAGGAGAAGGGCATCGGCGGGGATCATTGAATTGTTGTTGACAACATGGCAAATGACACACATGTACCCGCATCAATCGAACGCTTTACCAGATTAGTCGATGGAAGAATCTCGATATTGGAAAAAAAACGTGCAGTCGGATACACAGCTATTGACGCCGAGGTGCAAAAAGAGTGCGGGATATCATTCCAAGAACGAATCGATGACCAGCGTAAACATTGGCTGGTGGCGTACTATATTTAGTGACACAGCGCAATGATTCAAGAAGTGAGTGAGTGAGTGTTGTTCGACCCTTTGATGTAAGTATGCAAAAGTAAATGAGCTTCATTGGCAGCTAATGTAGATGCATGGTGGAGAGTGACGAATTTACTAAAGTGAGGAAGCCAGTGGATCGACAATGCAGCAATGGTGAGTGAATCCTTAAATGACAATGCTTTAAAGATGATTCAACTTATTGGATTCTGAACCCAGATAGAAAAAAGACTAAACTTACCAAGGCATGCCACCATATGCAGCATCGTCCAAGATTTGAGTGTATAGTGTATCGTTTCACACTTGGTCATTCACACACACGACAACGAGGTATGGAGAAAGGTGGTTGCTGGTATCACAAGGCGGATTGTTTTCATATGCTGTTAACTATATAGTATTGTTGCGGAGGTTCATTGCTGTCTTTGTGTTTCTTACAAAGTTATATGCTTACTCTCAAGCGGAATCCAGTTCTTTGTTCTTTCACTTCCCTTCCTTTCTTTCCGACTTTTTCGTCCTTCTGCTACTGGGAACCATGGCTGTCGACTTGAAATACACGTCGTGCGATTCCATCCCTGGTTTGGTCCAGGAACTGCGTCAAAGCTTTTCTATGGGTACATCATCATCATGCATTTGTGGTGTGGAGCTTTTGCTGATCCTCCTATGTGATCTTTATGTAGGTCTTACAAAGGATGTATCTTTTCGCAAGCAGCAGTTGCGTAATCTACAGCGATTTTGCGAGGAACATACCGAGACGATCCAAAAGGCTCTTTATGCTGATTTGCGAAAGCACACCATCGAAACCGGTGTTGGTGAAATCTCTTTGGTGGTTGAAGAATGCCGTTATATGATTAAGGTACATACATACATCAAAATAGGATTCGTGTGGTGGGAGGATGGGAGCCATAACTTACACACAACCATTTAGAATTTGGATCGTTTGGTCAAACCCACTTCCACCAAGAAACGATTCTTGATGAATGCAATGGATAAGACTTACATCCGCAAGGAGCCCAAAGGCGTAGTCGCCGTCTTGGGTAAGCACATGCAAATCTTCATTAAACCTTATAATTCTTGTACGAGTAACAATCATTTTCGTTTATAGGCGCTTGGAACTACCCTGTAAGTTAAAAACTAGGGCGTATAGAGTCAACAAGGAATTGCCCACGCTGATCAATGTTAATAGGTGAATCTCCTTCTTATGCCAGTGGTGGGTGCCATTGCTGCTGGTTGCTGCGTTGTCATCAAGGTATACAATAATGACCCATGATATTCAATGACTTTTTGTATTCATTGATGATTCTCTTTTCATAGCCATCCGAAGTTGCTGCCAATACTGCTGAAATTATGGGTCGCTTGCTTCCTCAGTATTTGGATAAACGTACCTACACGGTTGTCAATGGTGCTATTCCCGAGACGACGACGTTGCTTGGTAAGAAGAAACATGCGCACGCATTTTATTAAACATACCAACATGCCATATGTGCTTTTAGAGCAAAAGTTGGATCACATCTTCTATACTGGTAACGGTGCAGTGGGTAAAATTGTCATGACAGCTGCTGCCAAACATCTGACACCCGTGACGCTTGAGCTTGGAGGCAAATCGTAAGTAGAAGAAGCCATCATTCATCATTCACAACCAGCTGTGCCACAGTGTTACTCATTTTAACTATCTTTTAGGCCTGCCATTGTCGCACCAGATGCTGATTTCAACATTACCGCCCATCGTCTATTGTGGGGCAAGTTTTACAATTGTGGTCAGGTTTGTGTTTTTTGCTTTCATTTCACTTTCTTCTATAGATCACAAAACAAGCTCTTTGTGTAACCATATTCATCACTCATAGACATGTGTTGCGCCCGATTATGTTATGGTGGACAAGGACCAAATGGAGCGTTTGATTGTTGCCTTCCGCCGCACCATCCGTGAATACTACACCGATAACCCACAAAAGAGCAATTCCTATGGTCGTATCATCAACACTCGCCAATTTGATCGCCTTAAACGCTTACTCGACGCCTGTGATCCATCATCCATTGTCGTTGGCGGTGACACGGATCGTGATGACTTGTACATTTCACCCACTATCGTCAGCAACGTTCAACCCAATGATGGCAATCTTATGGCAGATGAAATCTTTGGTATGTTATATACCATCAACAACAATCGCATTGCCCATAGCTAATAATGGTTCTCTTAGGCCCTATCTTGCCCATTGTGCCTGTAAAGGATATGAAGGAAGCTATCCAGGTGGTCAATTCTCGGTAATTATCTTTGATCAACATGTAGGCTCTTTGCTTATCATTCATTGCACATTGTGTAGCGATCATCCTTTGGCATTGTACGTGTTTACCAGCAGTGCTCGCACTTACAATGAGAGTAAGTAATATTCCATCGCATGCTAAGGATAGATTCTAACCGTTTTGATAGTCCTTGATCAAACCAATTCTGGTGGTGCCCTTGTCAACGACACTTTGATGCATTTGGTAATATATACAATGATACATGTAAGCGAATGGTTACTGATTCTCGTGTTTTATAGCAAGAGCTTTCCTTGCCATTTGGTGGTGTTGGACCTTCTGGTATGGGATCGTACCACGGTGACAAGTCCTTTGACACTTTTACCCACGAACGCTCTACCATGATCAAGTCGACCCATTTTGAGAGCTTGATCGCTGCGAAATACCCTCCTTATACCGTCGACAAAGAAACCGTAATGAACCTTCTCGTGTATGGTTTGCCATCTTCAGTTGCCGGCAAGGTACAATCCATCGTTCGTGCATGCTCGGCTACTTTCCGTATCTTGTTTGGTAAACAGCAGCCCACGGCTTGATGATGATGAAATGGGCCCCCCTTTCAAACAAATCTATATGCTTCATGTTGCTCTTAGAGCCCACCATCTTATCTTCTCTTCTCCCTTCCTTTCCTTTCAGCTCAATTTTCTTTTTAATCAACCTCCTATTATTTTACGTGTAGTTTTATAGCTCATGAACACTATTACTATAATACATGTCATATTGCTCCTTTATAACATTGATGGCTAAAGTCAACTAGGTAATGTAATGCATCGTGTTTTTAATATTATAAAGGTGAATGACTGTGATGATAAGGTATACTAATATCTTGTTTATGACATCATTGGCGATGGTGAAGAGCCGAACATGAGGTTGTTTGGATCCACATTGGGTGCTGGGCTAGGTGGCAAAGGGGTGTTGGCAGCCATAGAAAGGATCATGTCGGGAGATGTGCTGGCGTTGTGGGTAGGAGATTGGCCATAAGAGTGTTGTTGCTGTTCCCAATGATCGGGCTCGTTCCACAAGTCATCTTTGCTCGGTTGAGCGTTGTTATTGTTGTATCCAGTTTGTAGCTGTTGTGAGGATCCAGAATTAGAAGGGGCAACAGGGGCAGTAATAAAAACATCAGGTGTTGTGGCATTGGTGGTTGACATGCCAGGGACAAGATCATCCACGGGCACGCCTTGACGATCGGCTAGCTGCTTGAGCAAGAATTGTTGTTGCATTTGCATTTTACGTGTTTCCTCAAACCCTTGTAGTAAATTGGAAAAGCTGGTCTGTAGTGCTTGGAATTGCCTTTGCAAATCAGCTTGAGATACTTGCAACATTGAAAAAAACATGTGCATGTCACCGGTTTCACGTCTTAAGACTTCTGAATCCATTGCCTTGCGTCGGATCTCCTTCAAGAGGTCTGGTCTTTGTTGTTGAAATTGAGGATGGGAGAACTCCCAAATTTCATTTTCATTGCCTCGTTGTCCTCGTGGTGATTTGTTGATTTTGTGAAACCCATACCTGCCATACATGCAGAACGTCAATACCATATTTATCAATTTAGATTACTCTCGATGGTTGCTTTTACTTACATATTGAGTAGGCGTACAAAGCTGGAAAAATTACCATGCTTGAAGTACTCAGGAAGCACTTGCTGTGCGAATCTCTTGACGTTGCAAATAAGAAAGGATGTACCAGTTGGGTTCCAAGATATCAAATCTTGATGGCGTGTATCATTAACTAGGCTATTAAAAAAGGTAGAATAATAAGTACACTTTTGAAAACGATCATCTTGCTAATTGCAATTACCTATAGAGCTTGGTGATAAAGGAGCTCGCATTACTCTTGCTCTTGCTTTTACCACCACCGTTATAACGAGGAGCTGTGACAGGTGTGTTACGGCCAACGGAAGGAGGAATGTACTCTGCTGAAGACCCGCTGGAAGAAAAGCTGCTACTCCTCCGTGGATCATAATCAGACTCACCACCCACGTCGAGGTAGTCTATATTCGACATCGATAGTGGGCTACAGTAAGACATGGAAGGATGAAAAAGAGAGGGAGAAGGAGAAAAGAATGCACCGTTGTGGATCAATGGCAAGGATAGCATGATGTCTCAAATGGGTTTCACTTCAAGACCCTTCCGTTTTTGGAGGTAATGCCGAGAATGCTATGTGCCGTATAGCTTTTTATACCCCTTTGTTGTCTGCCATTCAAATCAATAGCATTCTGGAGCCCATTGGTCAACGTTACTAAGACTTCTGTATCACAGCTCTGGACCCTGATTGTAGGGTCTTTTCCAGAAGAAGCCTGTTTTTTGGCTATAATGCATGATTTTCCTATTGATGCTTACTCACCCCTAATGGCTAAATGTGTGTACGTGTTTTAGATATCGGTATCAAAAAGTAATTGAGAAAATGAGGCCATGATACGCTCAAGATTGCTTTGATGACAGGTGATGGAGCTATGTGTTCCGTAACGAAGATAGGAAGAATCACGGAAAATATGTCTAATCATGCCTCCATCGCTACATGTGTACGTGTAACGTAGACTTTTCTGGTTAGCATGTTATACTTTGCGCATGACGCGAGATGTCAACACAACCTATAATACAAAGGAGTGTTTGCTCCTTAAGACTTTTAGTAGTCTTGGCTCTTCATTGAACGTCTCATGTTTGTTGCTGCATAGCATCTAAAAGTCACCTGTTAATGGCTGATCTCTTGGCATGTGTGGAGATGACCGAGAAGCTGGTACCCAAAAAGATGTTTCAGATGGATAAGGTGATGTGTGATACAAAGGTCGTGCTGTCAATTAGATAACGACAGCTTTTGGGTGGTATGGGAAATGTATGATTCACGCCATGATGAGAAAATAGGATCCTATGGAAGCATGGTTTGCTGATAGAAAATGTTCACCCGCCACAGCACACACCTTGGTCAATGGACGATTGAAAAAAGGCATACATTGATAGATGTAAACAGCCATGGCGGTTGTCTTTTAGCTGCTGTAATGTCTTTAGTAGCCGTTTGTTGCTGGTTGCAAATTTTGTTCGACTCTGATAAAAGTGGCACACGAGCTAGGATTGGTGTACTTTCTCTCCACGTGGTGTACTTTAGGAACCAAGTGAGTCCGACACAACCTGACGTTTGGAACGATGTCTATAGGATAAGGTAGTAGGGTGGTGGATGCGTTTGATAACAACTCCATTAACGGAAAGAAAGGAAATATTATGCCAATATGGAGCTCATCCATGAGGACGTGTACCAAATGCGTTGTAAGCTATGGTACCAAATAACTGGATCGCATGGATGGTCTAGGCATGCTACAAAATACATGATCCTTCTCGTCGCTACCGAATTTCTTATTTCTCATACCCAAGAACGTTTATAACTCTCGTTACTCTAACTTGGCAACTGTTGGTTCCTTCGTAAAACCGACACGTTCCTTGACCAAAAGCGGCGCTTGATGCTGCATCATTTGACTCGCTTTCTTGGGAACATTATCAATTGCATCATAGTATCCAAGCACGCACACCAAACCAATGATGTTACGCCTTGCCATGTAGCACTCTGTATAAGACATTCAAAAACCTATCATCAAAGCTTGTTTTTAGGTTGGCATGGAGACGCCACACGACATCCAAATTCATGTACCAGTAACATGGAGATGCTCTTTGTAACATTCATCCTGCTTGTAGCGAGCAAGATGAAGGTAGCAGTGTTAAGACACCTCTTCTTTTGCTATGATATGGGGAGATGTATAAGGTATGTTGTAGTGGCTGATGCAGTGACTTCAACTATTGACCACATGCTCAATGATGCACTTTGTAGTCAATGGATGTAGCATTTATTGCCAAAACTGCATCCACGACGTTATCACATGACACGTAGTACACGATACGTTTTACTACAACATGTTGCCAGGTTACATCGTAGCAAGCATACTCTAAACCAAATTTGAATTGTGGATGTTCTCTCAATAGCTCAAGAGCGAGCGATCATACTTAAGCTTATGTTGGCTAAAGTTGTGTTTAGCTTGAATGTGGGGACTACGTCTATATTTAAGGCAGACTGCTTTAATTGTCGTGTTACCTCATGTCGACTAGCCGTATAAAGTATGGAGCCTAAGCGATATCCTGGTGACCATTTACATATCAAAGACATGGCTGCATTGCATGTCCCCACAGGCCCTGTGCGTGGAACCAAGCGCTCGGATTAAGGTTGCATCCACCCAACAATTGCGAGCGCTTTGACCTATTTTCTGCAACATGACGCAGAACTTGGATAATAATAGAGGATTATCTTTATATGATGATCTACAATATTGGGGAGGCTATTTGCACATGTGTTGACGAGACGATCAATAAAACGCACTAGACTAATGTATCTGTAATCAATCAATCATAATAAACTAGGTAGCTTGCACAGCCAGAGATTGCATTTGGACCCTTTGACGCTGAGCATGCGGATGATTTCTCCGCTTTGTGATCATGTCAAGTATAGGTCCCACGTTGTATTTCTTATATTCTTGTTCTTCTTTGTATTTCCTTTCCTCATCAGTCATGGCATCCACACAGCGTCATGGCACTATCTCATCGACCTCTTCAGGATCAGAACCCATTCCTGTTGCCACTGAACCAACCATGGTTGACAGCAATTCGAGTGGATCTAGCATTCAAGTTCATCCAGTGACATCGACACCACCACCATCTATTATTGCCGGTCCACCACCCGAACCACCAAAGCATATGCATATGAGACCTCCTCCTCCTCCTCCAACATCAATGGCTGGTTATTCTCTTGTTCCACCTATACAACAACAACAACAACAACCACTACCACCACCTACTACTACTACTACTAGTATGGCTATGACGAGTGCAGCACCAGTACCACCACCATTGGCAGCACCAATTCCTCATCATCCAGGAGTACCATCACCTCGACCTCCACCACAGCAACGTTTTTCTGTATATGAACAAGGACCCTATCCACCTCATCCTGGTGCTGGCTATGCTGTACCTGGTGGAGTCGTACGACCCGATGGTTATTTTTATCCCCCGCAACAACCACCACAGCAACCCATGATGCGACCTCCTATGGATAATCCTTGGCGTCATAGCTTTCATGCCGGTATAGCAGCCGACAATCCAGCCTATATGCCTGATAGTTCTCTCTTGGCTGCAAGTCAAGCGGGTGTTCGTCGCAAGCAAAGTCCTTATCCTCCTCCCACTTTGGAGAACTTGAGCAAGTTTCGTGACGAAGCGCATGCAAGCAATGATCCTCAACAGCTACTCGCTCTTGCAAAGTATATGCTCCACACCATCCCCCATCTCAAGATCCAGGATCGTCAACGAGCAGCCAAGGTGCGTGAAGCTTTAACGACTGAGGCATACAAGACCGTCAAGAAATTGGCAAAGTTTTATCCTGAAGCCATGTACTTTTTAGCCCACAGCTACAGCACGGGTACCACTGGACTTGTACAAGAAAAGGATCCAGGCAAGGCATTCAGCTTATACGTACAAGGTGCCAAGCAAAATCATGCAGCGTGTAATTACCGTGTGGCTGTTTGTTACGAATTGGGAGCAGGCACCAAAAAGGACAAGGCGCATGCATTGCAGTTTTATCGCAAGGCAGCCAATTTGGGAGACACATCGGCAATGTACAAGCTTGGTATGATCTTGTTGAAAGGATTGTTGGGCCAAAGCAAAAACCCGCGAGAAGGCATCTCTTGGCTTAAGCGTGCAACCCAGTCTGGTGATGAAGAACATCCTCAAGCCATGTACGAATTGGGTCTGGCATATGAAAAAGAAGGCATCCCATCCGTCATTCCTGATATCGAGTATTCACGTGAGCTCTTCACCCAATCGGCCCTTTGTGGATATGCACCTTCCCAATTCAAACTTGGTCTTGCGTATGAGAATGGTTTCCTCAACTGCCCCATCGATCCACGTCGTTCAATCGCATGGTACTCCAAAGCAGCAGAGCAAGGCCATCTGGAAGCTGAGTTGGCACTATCAGGATGGTATTTGACAGGTGCTGAAGGCATCTTGCAACAAAACGATCAGGAGGCTTACTTATGGGCACTCAAGGCGGCTGAACGTGGTTATGCAAAGGCCGAATACGCTGTTGGATATTACACAGAGACTGGTATTGGTATACGACAAAACCTTGAGGAAGCACGGAAGTGGTATATGCGAGCAGCAGCACAAAACAATCAACGTGCCATCCATCGTCTCGCACAACTCAAGAAATCAGGTCCACAAAAACGACGCAAGCATACCAGACCAAAGAACGCTGCACCCGATAGTAAAGATGGAGATTGTATTGTCATGTAATAGCTCATCCCACTTTATACTTTATATTCCTTAATCCTTCCCCTCGCATCATCATTATCGCTCTATCATCCTTCTTCACCGCATCCCAATTATCATGACTAGACTAGATATGTGTATAAATTTGATACCATTTTGCTTCTTTGTTGATCTTCCTTAAAGTATGCCTTTACTTATAAATAATAAAAGGGTCTGTCTGAGTATTGCTGTACAAAAAAGAAAGCTAAAGCTGCTCCTTGCATTTATTAATCATCGTCCTTCATCAAAACCTCATCGATGCCTTCATTTACGGGCTTGACATCACCAACACCAGAGTCGCCAAGGTTCATGGAAGGGACGTGCTTGTGACCAAGATGATAGGATAAACGTACCATATCCACTGCACGCTTGAATGTACGACGAGCATTAAAGTTACCACGAACGTTTGGCAACAAGTCACGGGCTTCATCCACAGGCGAAGTAGGTTGTGTATGCTCGGCTGTAAGCCATGGGTGCTCCAAAGCTTCACGTGCTGTCATGCGTTTGGCGGGATCAATGGTTAAACAGCGGCTCACAAAGTCCTTGGCTAAACGACGTTGTCCCATGTTAGCATACCGTTTGATCGATGTAGCATCCCCTTTTTTCTTCTTTACCTTCATCACTGATGGTAGACCAATATTGCTCATCAAAGGTATAATCGGCATGCATGATGGCGTTCATTTCATCCACGTTGTTTTCTCGTTCAAAAGGCGTATAACCACAAAGCAAGAAATAGCTGATCACACCAATAGCCCACATGTCACTAAAGGTCCATTGTTAGATAAGCGGTCGTTTGATACTTATATCCCACTGATATACGTACACTGGTTTGCCGTGTCCAGTCTTTTTGAAGATTTCAGGAGCCTATAAACACATCCATAAGCTCATTGAATACCTCATATCAAGTAAAGAAAAGCAACTTGCCATGTAGCCGGGTGTACCACAGGTGGTTGTAAGCACGTGAAACTTATCGGTATCGATAATGCGAGACAATCCAAAATCAGCAATGAGCAAATCAGAGTCCTCATCAGGCGTCCGGAAAAGCAAGTTTTCAGGCTATATTTTTCTGCATCAGTCAACAAAATCCACCCTATTCCACTGGTTTCTCTTCTTACCTTGAGATCTATGTATACGCAAGGATACCCAAGAATAGATATCAACCTCTGCTTTGCATTATCATGATGTGTGTGTGTGTGTGTGTGCGCACTTACCTCGGTGAACGATTCCATTATCATGAAGGTAGGTTACTGCATCGCTCACGGTCCGTACAATGTGTGCTGCATCACGCTCAAAGTAGCTGCCCTTTTGCCAGATGCGATCGAACAATTCACCACCCATGGCCAATTCAGTAACCAGGTACACTGAAGGGATGATGTAACATTGAGATGGCTTGCATTACCCATGTGAAACATGTAAAACTTACAGTTGTTGAGCGTTTCAAAGTAGTCGACCAAGCTGAGGATGTTCTTGTGACCCTGAGATATCTTGCGTAGAATGTTGATCTCGTTGCGGATCATGTGCTCACGTCCTTCCATAAGCTTTTTGTTGATGATCTTGCAAGCATAGAACTTGTTGGTCTCGATCTATAGCAGACGATGTTTGAGTACGTTGCACAACATGGGGATACCATCCAAACACTTACGTGCAGTGCCTCTTTTTAAACATGAGAGAGAGAAAGCGTTGAGAATCACGAGACATGGGCAAAGAGACTCATCACGAGAATGAAAAGTAGGAGGTAAGCTCACCTTTGACGGTGGCATAGGTGCCATTGCCGAGTACCTTGCCAGTTTTATATTTGCAGGGAACAGTGACCGGGCCGCGTTGAGCACTCATGAGAAAACAAGTACAAGAAAAAAAGGGAAAGAAGGAAAAGCGTCCAACCTGTTCTCTCTCGATGCTGGGTTCTTATTTCGCCTTGCGCGTTTGTTGTACTACCATTCTCCACTGGTACGATCGCATCAAACATCTATTGTTGTTGGGGATCCCCTGCATGGAATGAAGCATCATCAAGTGGGATTAGCTTTCATTCATTGTTAAATTGTATTCTATTGTATGCTCTCTTCTTAAATGTTGATTTCAAAGGATGATAAACGTTGACAATGAGCTCTTGGCATTGGGCTATCCCGGGCTCCCGCCTGTACAGTGGCACAAACTGCGCTGGTTAAATACCATAGCAACGGCAATGGATTGCCGATGATGTCCTCAGCAAATTACATCTACTACTACTACGCACATGTCACCACACCACATTCTTCTTGCTATGTACATCATGTCAACTTTGAACTTGTTTATCAATAAACTGGGCGTATGCGGGTTCATCACAAGAGTTTCCTCACTCCCAGCCATCCATTTTCTTCTTTGAGTAAAAACTGGCGCTGCAATAATGAGGGCCATCCTATTCATGAGACATTAATTTAAGCAGCTGATATGATAAATGGATCTCTGTGCTTTGATGTATGCGTCAAAAACTAGCATGTTGGGATCAAAGGTGGGGAGGGGGGAAGGACAACAACAAAGTCAACGTATATAAGTTGAAACGAAGCTTTTCAATGTTTGGAGTAACAATGACGAGAATTTGAATCGAAAATGTACGAGCACGGGCCAACAACATTACCAGAAATGATGGAAAGTGGCTTGAGCGTGCACATTGCATTACACGGATGAGCATGATAACAAGACAAGCTGAGGTCTGGTAGCTAAATTGCCATCCATTCCACTTTAAACAATGACCCAAGGGGATCAAAAGCTTAAACAAAGAAGTTGGCTTGTACATAATGCGGTCTCTCTTTCTTTGTGTTACGTTTTCGAATCAGCCAAAACATGTGCTTCGCATAATAACGGGACGTTTATACGGCTACATGTAGTCTTTGTTGTGGATCATTCCTTCTCCATCTACGAGCTCATTGGAAGAATATATATATATGTCGATATCTTATATCAAGAGTGACCAGCCACTCTATGTGTGTGGAGCTCTTCAGCTAGGATGGTTTTAATATCAACACCACAAGGGTAATCTTCAGCGGCGATCCAACAACATGTCATCTATGTCCCAAATCATGTCAGCAAAAGGATCCACCAAAAAGATGCGTATCGCATGTACCTGGAGGACGTAATGTTATAGGCTGATGACGATGATGATCTTCTTCCTCATGATCCAGTGGTGCCATCCTGTGTTGGAAGGGTTGTTGTTGGTGATGCGTGTTGATGCTTTCGAGAGGTGGTAGAAAATCATAATCATCGGTGGTGGTGGATGTTTGCTGTTGTGAGGACAAGAAATTTTCAAATGGATAACCTTGAGGTGGTCGACCATGGTGATTAGGAAAGAGAGATTCCAAGGCTGCTGCTGTTGTTGGCTCTGCCAACAAGGGGTTACTATCACCATCATCACCTTCACCGCTCAAGGCAAGTTGGCTCATATTAGCGGCTTTGGATAAAAGCATATGCATACTGCCATCTGCTTGCATCTTCTTCAACCCAGGCCATCGTTGACGTATTTCATCAATGCTGTAATCCGGTGTCAGGTACCAGTAATCTTCATAAAATTGAGATGGGAATCGCCAACTTGAAGCGTGGGATGGATCACCAGCACCCTTGTATTCAATGCCTTTTAGGATACAAGCGATACAATCATCCAAGTCAAATAATTCGAAAAACAAAATCATTCGGTCTCGCATGGCTGCAATGGGTATCAAATCAATTCTAGGATCGTGTGGTACAGTGGTCTGTAATACAAGATAAAAACCCCACGTAAATCTATTAGCCGCCGCTTTTTGTACTTTTTACTCTTCACCCCACAAAATAGATGCCTTTTTTCACACACATTACCTGTAACACCGTAGGTTTAATGACAAATGTGCCGCTTTCCATTTTGGAGCTTGCCGCTTGGAGTTTATGCCGTAATTGTAATGTTTGCAAGCTGGCCATGTTGAAGGATGGTATAGGCTCACGCGTAAGCATAATGGGTCGGGCACTGAAAACAGCTTCATCCTCATCCTCATCATTGTCTTCATCCATTGCTATCACACCATGATGTCGTTTTTCCACATGTTCATCCTCACCGGTTGTTGCACTGGTACAATCTGGAGATGTGGCATCATTGTTGTGTAACGATGCACGACGATTCGAAACGCGGTGCTGACCGGCACCTGGAGGCGATGAAGAGCTCGTTGTCGTTGTTGTCATACTATGTTGCTTTAATACCGGTGTCTCGGATGTTTCGGATGATGAAGAAGAAGATGATAAGGACATGCTTGAGTCCGCTGATGATGGTGGAAGGGGAGCTGATGGCTGAGGTGGTGGTGTAGCTCGGATCCGTGTAGTGATGCGATTTCCCACAACCGTCTGGATGCTGTCTTTGTACACGAGAATCGAACCAGTCGATAGGTAGTGTTGAGTTTGATCTTTGTTGTCACTTTTACGATCATGAGGAGGATGTTTCTTGTTGTTGGAGGAGGAAAATGAAGGTGGCGTGTTGCGTTTGCAGGCGGAATTATAAGCTGAAATGACACCAGGATGAATGGATTCATTTGCAAGTGAATGCTGTTGTTGGTCAAGGTATGGGCTATGATCAGGTATAGCAATATTGTTCATAAAGCACATCAACTGTAGACTCAGCATAGCACCTTTCAAATGCCAGCCTTCATAACCAAGAACACCCACATGGCTGCGTAACTCTTTGTTTTCGGTCATCAACTTGTCTCGTTGTTCACGTAGCTGTTTACTGGCGGCCTCAAGTTCGACAATATGCTTTTCTTTACGTTCACGGAATGCACGTTGTGCTGCACGGTTCTGTGCCTTGCGTAATGCAGGTGACGTTGAAGTGGGTTTTCGACCAGGCTTCTTTTTATCGGATGATGTTGTTGAGCCTTGTTGGTTATTCATGGCAGCAAAAGTAAAGAGGGGAGAAGCGTAACGTAATGAATCAGCGAAAGAAAAGGAAGCGGGAAAACGAGGAGTTACTCGGAGAAGCGATGATGGTTTGGTCTGCGTCTTCTTTTATTTGATGTAGGAGCGCACGTTCCCAAAGTAGCCATGAGCCCGCATTCGATCCATTTGCCTCTGTGTGAAACCTTACATGATGCTGCTCAAAAAGTTCGCCCTCTTTTTCTGTCACAGATGTCTCGTTGCTCTCAGCAACCACGGCGTTGATGATAAATGGTGTTGCTATGGAAGGGTAAACCGCTATGGTTGCTATGATACCGTTGGGTGTATAAATTTCGGTCGTATCGCATTATCTCTCGTGAAATTGAATGCTGTGGGTTACGATAAACACGTAGCAGAAACAAGCTGTGAAAGGATAATTCCAGGCTTTTATGTGTTTTCGGACACATCACGTAATTCAAAGATTATCAGGAACATCCTTTTTCCATTTCCCAGAATGGCATCTACTATTATCGTGGTTTTTGCAAGGTGATCATTTGGATCGAACCCTCCTCAAAGATAAGCAATGCACCTTGACGTATGATCACCGATGGCTCCAATCGTGCGCGTGCGTAAGAAGGGATCATCACATGGCTTGTGATGGCCTTAGCTTCATTGCTATAAGCAATCACTGCATGGTTGACCTTTGTACCATTAACGCACAAACCAAATGACATCTGCGCTTGAAAGATTCAATTAGGAAAAGTGACAACATCATCCCTCGCCATGACAAATACAAATATGAAATCACAAAACAATCACACAGCATTTCTTTATGCCTGCCACTATCATCCGTGTCACAATGTGGAGCACTTTGACTCGTGAAGGCCACGGTTGTTTAATGAAGGCTACGTTTTCTTAGCGGATACGAAGCGACATGATGCATGGATGGTACATGTTACTTGCTTGAAACCATGACAACATCGAGATTAAGGAACGTCAATCCAAAAGAGGCAATTGCATGATAAGATCTCGGATAAAGCTGTCTTATTATGATACATGTATATGTGTCTGTGCATGAGGAATGATATGTAAAGGAATGAATGGTAGTGCTAAAGACTTTAAAGGAGTCCATGGCATAGACATGACAAAGAAAAAAGCAATCAAATGAAAGGCATAGTACAAGAAAGAAAATACAAAAAGGGGGAGAGATGAGCATACATGACATAATGAAGTAAAGATGTAAGGGGTGGGGGAGAGCAAAGAATGGAAAAACTGTTCACATATACAACAGCAAGGGAAAATGACCTAGTGGTTTACACCCAATGGTGATGGACCGAAGGAGGACGCATCGAAGAAGCGGATGCCAATCGCTTCAATACACGTCGAGCACCATCTGGTGGTGTAAAAAGGCTACGCCAACCTTCAGGATGTTGATGATGTTGATGTTGATGACGGCGTGGTGGTGGTGTAGTAGCAAAAGCGCTTGTGGTGGTGGTAGGGCGAGGATCAAATTGATTCAACAATGTCTGAAACGGCGGCGTTGGTTCACGTAAATCATGATCATCATCCTTTTGATCTTTGTCGTCGTTCATTTTCGGCATACATTGATCAAGCAACGTCTCGTAATTTTCAATCATGGCTGTCCACACCATAGTCCATTGAGCATTGGTTTGGACCAAATCGGTCATTTCTTCACGGCGTAATAGCTGTCGTTTCTTTTTCGTCACGTTATGCTGTAACAATTGTTCAAGACCAGTAGAAACGGGTGCTAGTACAACAGCTAATGCGTCTGCACACATCATGTTGGCATCGGCATGTTGTTGTATGGAGCCAGCAAGAATAAGGATATAGCATAGCAGGTGACGATGAAGTCGGGGTAACTCAAGAATGAGATGTGCCAAATCTTCGAGATCTAACAACGAGAAGAGCGCGCTCGTGTTATTATTTCATGGTCCCTCATGTGATAACAAAACATGGGTATTTGATGTATACGGACCTGCTGTACTGCTATCACTCAGTGATGAAGCCGTTTGGAGAAAACGAGAATGCAAGTGTCGTGGAATCACTGGCTCAGGCAACGCACGCAAATACTTTTTCACAACGCCTGTAATCGTATGGATGTCATAGGTCGACAAATCAAGATGTTTGCCGTAATAAGGTGGGCGGTCAAACTCGTTCGCAAGTTGGCGTACATCCGATGCAGCTCCTGATAATCGAAATAAACCTTCAATGTGCATACCTAATAATTGATATTGGCATTAGTTAACTGGTTATGGATGCGATCTCTAATGCTTTTTACCTCGCTTGAGGATTTCTGTGAAACATTTTGCAACAGGATCGGGAACGGTTAGACCATGCGGCTGCAGTGAGCTCCATTGAGATGCATAGCCAAGAGATGCCCCGAAAATACCTAACAATGTTAATTTAGTTAACTCATTCAAGGAACGCACGAATGTTATTATGTATGTATGTATTTACCCTTTGGTTCATCATCTTCTTCTATTGTCGAGGTGTTGAAACGGCCTTTGATGAAGTTGTAAAACTTGTGGCGTCGTTTTATGTGCGAAGCATCTTGTGACGATAGCGGTGTAGCGAATTGGGACGCTGTCATGAGGGGAAAAGTAAAGTAAGGAAGAAGAAAAGGAAATGAGGAAAGAGAAGGGGATCGGATGTTAACATGGTCAGGGCTTTAAAAAGAATAACATGCAAAAAAAACATTGGATAAAGTGAGGCTGCAAGTGGAATGCAAATAAGGGGCGTGTGTTGTGAGTGTACGTGTGTGTGTGTGATGCGGTGCAAATCACCCACCAAAAGTAAAGCGAGCATGGCTGAAAACAAAAAGATTGGCTTTTCGTTAGGTGTAACCAACATGGTCATGTTTCGGCACCATTAAAAACAGGTTACCATTTTTGTCACTTCTTTTGTTTAATGCTTGCATTGCTCTCCAGGTGCTACAAAGGCCAACCCACACGCCATCTATTGTTTTTGAATTATTGTCATGAATACAAAAACCCAAATGGATCAAGATGGAAATAAACAATACCTGTATGTGTGGCATGATGATGCTGATGTTACGCCAGGGAAAAAAAAGCACATCCCTTTTTCATCCAAAATCCGTATCAGATTGTCCATTTCAAATCCAATTGCGTCGTATCACAACATACTCTACAAGTTCAACCCCGCATTACGCTCTATGTAGTACCCTGCCTTTATTGTTGTATGATATACATGACTACAAGTCAAAGATGATAGGTCGTTGGCTGGCTCGATAGCGTCTATCACATATACAAGCGTTGATCATCAACGTCCCATGTTCTTGACTCCATCCATGCGCCTCGTGAATATGTCCAAAGATACAAACGCGTGGTCGTATTGCTTTGATCTTGCGTAGTAGTGCTTTGCAGCCGACATGCATTCCTCGAGATGTTCGATCGTGATATCCATAGGGAGGGGTGTGGGTCACCAGGATTTGTGTGTCTTGAGGTATCTTCTCCCAATACGCTAACCAACAATGACATTGTACATCAGTGCTCTTGATAGTATTTGGCATCCTCCTCCATCCCATACTTACGTGCAGTGTCTCGAGGCATGAATGCGCCACCTAAATGCATTGGAGCATATGGGCTGACAAACATCTTGAAACCACCCAAGGCTTCAGGCAATTGATATGACTCATGCTCAAGATACGTGATCCCTGCTTGTTCCATGCTTGCCAATATCTCCTGCTTGTTCGCCACATTCCCAAAGCGATCGTCTAGGTCAAAGTCGTGATTCCCACCAGTGACAATTTTGACTCTACAATAAAGGTATGTTGGTTGGAGATGTGGTATGCCACAGTTGGGTAAAGGCGCTTACGCATGCGGTAGAGATTCAATCCAAGCTATGCTCTTTGACCATTCGTCTTCATGGCTGTACTTTGTAACGTCACCGGAATGAACTATTGGGAATGCCAAGCTGGTCAGTGATGGCCCCTTTGCCTCTGTGTGTGAGAGTGTCAAGATACTTGCTAAAGACGTCGCCGTCGGGTATTGGGAAATTGAATGCTGTTTTGCCATGTGTATCAGACACACAGACAAAGCGAGTCTTGTTTTCTGCTTTGAGTGGTAACTCGTTTGGGGAATCTCCAACAAGGATCATAGGCTGGGGTTGGAAGAAGAAGGACGAAATCAAAGCCATTCATTCTATTATTCGAGGATTCAAGCCTTTTTGTCGGCGTGACACCATATCAACGTAAGGCCCTACTGAGACATGGGGTTGCATTATAGTCACCGCTGTCTATGTAATTGACAACACTACTACTGCTGCATAATAAAAATAACCCTTCCTTTTGTTTTACTAAATAATCAAGCATGACATGCTTAATATACCAGAAGTAGTCAGCGTATCTATTTATTGACACAAATTCTCGGGCCTGGCCTTTGAGATACATCGATGGTGTCATCCCCTGTACTATCAGCCAAAACAATCATCCTCTTCGACCTTACAAGAAAAGCAATTGTATGTCGCACGCTTCATTCACTTTTCTACAAGGCACATTCGAAAGCATTAGTCTTTGCTGGTTTATTAACCATCCCGCGGTTGACTTTAAATGATCCATGTTGGCTATCGAAGGCGGACCTGACTATACCTCGCTATAGAGATTGGATCCGTTATGCATACTCCACCAATAGGATCGACCCTCCAAGGCTTGCCCTCAGCTTAGTTACACAAACAAGCACCTCTGCAGCTTTGGCTCTATTAGAGTCAAGTACTCGACAATGAACAAAGGCCTCTTTTTATATAGCATCACGCTTACAGCATAGGGAAAACATAAAGACACCATTAACTCAGAACTTTACAATCAAGCGTGGGGTCTTTAATAGAACAAAATTGCTCGCCGGGGTCGAAAGCATACACTGTTCAAGTCTCATGTTCGTCATGGGCGATCCAAGATTGGGCGAATGTCGCCACCAGCCAAAAAATACTTTTGCTCGTCGTCGAAGAGGTCGACCCGCCGATCCAATTTGGCTGGTGGCGACATTTGCGAAATCTGGGATTGGCCACGATGAACTTCATACTTTGACACAAGATCGCTTTGACCCCGCCGAGCAACTTTGTCCTCATAAAGACCCCGCATTTGATTGTAAAGTTTAGAGTTACAGGCACCTTTATGTTTTACGTATGCTTTAAGTGTGATGCTATATGAAAGGCGGTCTTTGTTTAATGTCAGGTAGCTGAGCCTGATAGAGCAAAAGATGCAGGAGGACTTCTTTGTGTAACTCGGCTACTTTGCATGACTGGAAGGATGGAAGGATGATACTGTATACTAATGACAAGAGCCCATCCATTGCGAGCTATCAGCCATTTCTTCACAATCAGCATTGTTGCATACTCCATTGCATACGAACGATTCTCCTGCTCCAGTGGTTCATTTCCATGATTCAATTGCCTTGATCCGAGTTGATTTGACTGAGATACGCTCAAGCAAGATTACATCAGTTAAGCTAGATACAGCATGCTCTATGTTGCTCAACTGATGTAATCGTGTTTGAGCGTATCTCAGTCAAATCAACTCGGATCAAGATAATTGAATCATGGAAATGAATCTCTGGAATAGGAGAATCGTTCACATGTCATAGAGTGGACAACAATGCCGATTGTGAGGAAATGGCTGATAGCTCGCAATACATGGGCTATTGTCAATGGTATACAGTATCATCCTTCCATCCTTCTAGTCATGCAAAGTAGCTGAGCTACACAAAGAGGACCCTCTGCATCTTTTGCTCTGCCAGGGTCCAGCTACTTCACAATGAACAAAGACCACTTGTCATATAGCATCACGCACACAAACATAAAGGTGCCTGTATCTCCAAACTTTACAATGAAACGTGGGGTTTTTATTAGAGCAGTGGGCTCGGCTTGGCCAACAGCACCTTGTGTGAAAGTTTCGCGTTCAATGTCGCAAATAGCCCAAAAAACATTTTTTGGTCGTCGTCGTCGAAGAGGTCGACCCCCAGATCCAGTTTGGCTGGTAGCGACATTGCGAAATCTGGGATTGGCAAGCTTGATCGTGAAACTTTCACCCAAGGTGCAGTTGGCCAAGCCGAGCACATTGCTCTATTCAAAACCCCACGTTTCATTGTAAAGTTTGGAGATACAGACGTCTTTATGTTTGTAAGCGTGATGCTATATGAAGAGTGGTCTTTGTTCATTGCCAAGTAGCTAGACCTTGGAGAGCCAAAGATGCAGAAGGACCTCTTTGGGTAACTCAGCTAAAAAGTCTGGACTTCAGGGACAATGCATGACAGGTACGCAACCCTCACTTTTATGTCATACATTGGCAGCTAATAGCCACTTTTGTGCATTCCCAACTTTTGTGCATTCTATTGTAGGTGGACGATGCCCCTGCTCTAGACATTCATTTCCATGATTAAAGTAGGTTGATCCGAGCTGATTTGGTTGAGTTACGCTCACACAAGATTACTTCAGTTGGGCTACATCGAGCGTGCTTTATGTCCAGAGTGATGTAATCTCTCTTTGACCGCAGCTCAGTCAAATCAGCTCGGATCAACCTACTTTAATCATGGAAATGAATGTCTAGAGCAGGGGCATCGTTCCCATGCAGTGGATCTCGCAACAATGATGATTGGATAAAAGTGGCCGTTAGCTAGCAATACATGCCTGTTCCTAGATGATCCATAAAGTAATTATGCATTGACCCTTTCATTCATGCAAACGTAGCTGTGTTACACAACACGACCCTCTGCATTTTTTGCTCTGCCAGGGTCCACCTACTTGACAATGAACAAAGACCACTCTTCTTATAGCATCACATTTACAAACATAAAGGTGCCTGTATCTCCAAACTTTACAATGAAACGTGGGGTTTTTATTAGAGCAATGGGCTCGGCTTGGCCAACAGCACCTTGGGTGCAAGTTTCACGATCAAGCTTGCCAATCCCAGATTTCGCAATGTCGCCACCAGCCAAACTGGATCTGGGGGTCGACCTCTTCGACGACGATGACCAAAAAATATTTTTTGGGCTGTTTGCGACATTGAACGCGAAACTTTCACACAAGGTGCTGTTGGCCAAGTCGAGCCCATTGCTCCATTAAAAACCCCACGTTTCATTGTAAAGTTCGGAGATACAGGCACCTTTATGTTTGTAAGTGTGATGCTATATGAAAGGTGGTCTTTGTTCATTGTCAAGTAGCTTGGCCCTGATAGAGCGCAAGATGCAGAGGGACTTCTTTGTGTAACTCAGCTGTTTGCATGACTGGAACAACCGATACATCATGCTTTATGCACAAGTCATAATAGACTCTTCCTCCCAATCACTATTTTTGTTCAAACCAATACATGTGAACGATTGTCCTACTCCAGCCCTTCATCTCCATCCTTCAACTTTCTTGATCCGAGTGGATTTGACTGAAAAACGCTCAAACACAGAAACAGCATCCAAGCAACAGGAAGATCTATTTGATTTCCAGTTCTTCCACTCCCCGCTTCTTCCCTCTTCCTCCCATTCTCAACTGTTGCCCCATTCACGTACAACTACCACCTGCGAACGATTCCACTGCTTCAACTCATCATGTCAATCCTACAACTGCCTTGATCCGATTGTCTTTGACTGAATGGCAAGTCCATGGCGTGTGCAACCCACTACAACGCCCGCGTTCTTGACACAACGCCTTCTCTTGTACAATCCTCGACCACAATCAAACGTAACAGCGTTCATTGCAGCAGTTGTCAGTAGCAAGGTCTTTACTCCATTGTCTCAAGTTACTTGCAGCAACCTGCCTAACGTGCTTTTCATGTGGTGAACAGCAGATAGTCATTGTATAGAAGCAGCTTTATTTACGAGTAGCAACTTGTTTTCAATACAAAGGAGGTCCTATGAATACGGATCTATATATTGCTTTGATACATGGGATGGAAGGATGTGGATATGTATAACATGTGGAAAAGGAGTGTATCGTCGTCATTGAACATTATGCGTGTTGCTATCATCTTGGACGATCGATGCATCCAATTATTGTATCCCATGGCAGGTATCTTTCTGCAGCCAGTCAACCACGTACGCGATCATCACGAATCTGCATATGGTTCCTCACCACGCATTAAGTGCCATTTCACGACCATCCATCCACCTTTACATTTGCTCATCCATCGCTAGCAGATATAGAAACAACAACAACCAAAGAAACAGAGCCACCTTTGCATCATCATGATCATCAATCCATCCATCATCAGCCACATGTGAAAAGGACAATCGTCTATATACATTCACCAATACTAGTCGAGGCCATCAGCACCTGGATCCTTTGAAGAAGAACTCGCCGCAAGTGTATCACCAATGGAGCTATCAATACTCGAATAGCTTGCTGAAGGATCGTGCTTGCCATTGGTACATTCAGCGCAAGCGTGTGCTTGTTTGGCATTCTCGTACTTGTCCCACAACTGCAGGTGCTTTGCAATGAAATCATCCTCAACCTCCTCTTCGACTACATTGGATATAAGGAATGAATATGATTCAAGCTTCCCCAAATGATATACGTTTGCCATCCTTCTCCCAAAATCTCTTCAGCGATACTGCAAAGTAATCGGATGGTAGCATCGTCCTTGCGATCAATGTAGTCCAGCGACAGCTTTTGTTGAATAAAGAGCCGCGATAGAGCAACCAGTGGGTTGAGCAGATCGCTTTGTAGACGATAGGTGGAGAATGTTGTTCTTCAGCGACAATAATGCCATCAAGTGAATCACTTTGGAAAACTGTGTATGCAGAATCATCCTGCCGTGCATCATTGGGAGTGATCACATCGGCTGGTACATTTGCCTTCAATCAATAGCTTGTCAATACAAAATATCAATAAAATGGGGATCTTGCTTATACCTTTTCGCGTAGTATGTTTGGAGGCAGTATGGTGTTGTTGTAATCTTCATAAATGCTCTGCCAACTGTATGCTGAAATTCGACAACAGTCGGTGGGAGGCATCAAGCGCTTTTGGTTATCGTAACCATGGACCTTGGTACGCACCATGCAGCCCATCAAACGTGGGCACGTTGTTACGTATTGTTCCGAACTCGGGATACAATGGTGTCAACTCTAACCTCACCCAACGAGTACCACCGTACCATTAGTTGTTGCCAATCAGGTGACTTCGCTGATCAAGTGCCAGGTTATGGTATTGATGACGTGTGGATTGGGCACAACGGCTTTTGACATGAGGTCGGTTCCAGCCCCATGTATATGCACCATGTCGAATGCATCATGTCAATTTCAAATCCGACAGCAGACCAGGGCATCGAATCCAATCTTTGCATACGCCTCATGGGCGACAATAGATACATCTATGCAAAAGAAGGTAATACGTATGAGTAGTGACTCATCAAGTCATATATAAAGGTTTACCTCATTACAAGAATACAATATCACAGTACGACAATAAGAGTAGGATATAGATGAAGCACTATGAAGGACCACAAAGGTCAGCTTTCAGAGGTTGAAAGAAGATGATACACACAAACCTTGGACATTAGACATTGTAAGCAATCAAAAAAGCATGATAGAGGAAAGAGATGATATGTGGGGCGTATCATGGGTGGCGACAACATCTTTTATTTGCATGGTGGGCGTGGGTATTTCTGTGCACACAACGAGTGATAAAATGTTCGTTGAGGATGATGCATGAGCTGATAAAGTGTTGCGGCGCATATGGCAGGAGCCTAGGTGTAATGTTGTCTATGCATACATCGGCCACGCTGGGGCAGTGGTAGTAGCATAATACAAGTATCTATCACAATGGCTTTTTGACGTTTCCTAGTAGATGAAAGTGCATGATTTTTTGCTGCTTATACCATTTTTCAATGACAAAGGAGCATGTGGATGACAGGAGCATTCAAAATAAATGTGTCAAGGTCACGTGGAGATGGTGCGATAATGACGAAGGCATCACTCTCGCTGGTCATCTAAAGGGTCACCGCATGATCACCTGATGGCTTGATCCAAGAGACCTGTGGTATATGTAGATGCATGCCGTGCCTTCATCCACACACCTAGATATTGCCAACAAGGCCTTTATCCATTTCCTTACCTACGACAATAAAAGTGCAAAGAGGGATTGATATAGTGTACCTCGGAGAAAAAGCCAAAGGGATCATCAACATACAATAATCATAGGGACATTTCACTGCCCTAGTGTATGGGACACGTCTTCACATGTGCATGTTGCATGCATCCAAGTGCATAATCCAATCCTTTTGATAAGCAACATCTACTCCTCCATGGTATTTACAATGTCTCTTTGTGATGGTGGACGATGTATCTATCTTTCAAAATGGGACGCAACACAAAATAACAGCAAGCCCGGGATCAGGGAACTAGGTGTAGTCATATGATGGAGCCATGTGCGTCTCTGCAAAAGGATGATTTATCTTTAAATGTAGTATGATTCTGGAAATTAAATTCTACCTTTACCTACAACCTCAATTATCTAGCTATGGATGAAAGGTAATGGATATGAATAGTAGGGTGGTGGTAGTAGCGGTAGTGATAAAGGGGTTTTGATATCATGTGATTGAAGCTGAAACTCTATGGGGATCGACAAGGTTTTGTCGTCTCGGATACTTTGAACCCGTTAGTCTCAGATTTCTTTCTTCCTTCTTTTTACACCCTCGCTTTTTACTTTCCACCCCCCCTTGTCCAAAACTCAGAATCCCTAATGACATCGTTTCTACTCGAGTTGACCGGGTTGCAAGCAAGCAATACAACGAGCACAGAGGAGGTGCATGACTATGGAAAACAACCTGAATTGGGGTGGCAAAATGTGGCGATCGCTTCTACCTTCATTCTGATCAACGGTAAGCAACCTCATATATGCCGTGTGGTGGTGTGTTGTGTTGAGTCACGCGTACCTTGTGTCCACCGTATTCATTTTTTTATTGACATTAGGCATTATGTCGTTACTGCTTGGTTTAAAGCTTGAAAAGTCATTAATCATTGCAGCCATTCGATGTCTTGTACAGCTCACTATCATGGTAAGTCCCATCTCCGGTTTTAACAGATCCGATTGTCTTACCGATTAGTGTTAGGGATTCATCTTGGAAGACGTGTTTAAAGCCCGCCATCCTGCAATCATTATGCTGATGACCTGTAAGATGATAGAGACAATGACATGTATGCATATCCACTCATCCAATGAATATAGTTGTCCTTATCTTCCTGGGTGCATATGAAACCGTATACAACAAGTCTAAGCAAACATTCCCTGGCATGGTATGTTGTAATGGAAGGATTTTATTATTGAGTGAAAAGAGGATCCATCATTATTGACATTGGTGTATCTCTACTAGTTTATGGCCGTGTTATTATCGACAGCAGTATCAACACTTTTGATTGGTATCATTGGTAGCCGATTCGCCATGGAGCAGAACCCCTTTTGGATTCCAGAGACATTTATTCCAACCATGGGTATGTTGCTTGGGAACATGATGAGTGGTATGGCCGTTGCTCTTTCTACTTGCCTATCAAGTGTCAGCACGCGAAAGGAGCATATTGAAACCTACCTTGCTTTTGGTGCGAGTCGATGGGAGGCGGGTCGATCGATCGCTGTGGAAGCTGTACGTCTTGCTATGTTGCCAACCATCAATCAAATGTCAGTCATTGGTTTGATTTCGATCCCTGGTATGATGACGGGTCAAATCCTTGGTGGTGCTCCTGTAATGTCAGCCGTACGATATCAACAAATCATCATGTTCCTTATCTCGGCTAGTACAGCATTGGGTGTATTGACGGCGGTCATTGTAAGTTGTGTGATGTGTATGTATGCGTGACCCTTTGACTCAATGGTGTATGTAATATCGTAGGCTTGCATTCGAGTCTTGATTGATAATCGACATCGACTACGACCTGAACGTGTCATCAATAGCAAATCAAACATCTTCCGAGATATCAAGGACATCACTGTTGCCTCCTGCAAGTTTTTGGCTCGTAAGCTTTGTGGCTGCTGTCGACGTCGCAAGGATGATACAATCGATCGTGATGATACTGATCAGCGACAACCATTACTCAACAACTAAAAAGCATTCACATCGGCGTTGTTTATATCTCCTATTTATTCTCTTTTGTTACCCATCCTTTGCTGCTATCCTCGGCTATTCATTCTATTGTCATCTTGTATCTTTTTCCATTTCATTCCGCCAAAAAAAGAGTAAAGCCACCTTGAACAAATCATGTTATCATGTTCCTGAAAAAGAGGATGGGGATGTCAAGGTTCATGTGACATTTCCCAATGCTTGGCATTTTGCATGGATCGTGTGCACCCACCCAGCTTGGGCTGGACAATCGGGACCAGAAACTTAGTATGCCTAATACCCGCGTCGACACACCCGGTTGTCTTTTTCTTCCACTCATCTTGTTCTACCGTCATGTCGTATTCCAAAAGTAAGTTTCTCTACAATGTCATCTGTTGTAGACATGGGTGCATGGGGTGGCAACCATACTCATTAGCGTGAATGTATATAGAGTACACGCTCGCTCCCCTTCCTCAAACCAACCGTGGTGAAGGTATCAAACTCGGCAAGGATCCAAAGGGAAAGAACTTTGTGTATACCAACGGCAAATCCGTATTCATTCGTGATATCGAGGTAGGTTGCTATCATGTTGGATGAGACGTAAAAGCTGATGCATGGATGTATATTTTTAGAACCCTACACTTGCAACTGAATACGTGGGACACAATGCTCAGGCAACAGTAGCACGCTATAGCCCAAGTGGTTTTTACATTGCCTCTGGAGGTAGGGTATAACAAAGAAAAGGGGCTTTAGCAGCAACATCATCTCATCGGATACGTCGTAGATGCTCATGGCAACGTTCGTATCTGGGATACCGTGAATGAGGATCACATTCTCAAGAATGAAATTCGCCCTGTATCCGGCAAGATTTCTGATATTGCATGGGACTCGGAAAGCAAGCGCTTGATTGCAGTGGGTGAAGGCAAAGAACGGTAAGTTGAAAAAGGGGAGGTTGTTGTGTGCATACACATGGGGCTTATTGTACAATGATAGCTTTGGTCATGCATTTTCATTTGATACGCTCTCTTCTGTGGGTGAAATCACGGGCCATTCCAAGATTGTCAATAGCGTCAGCATTCGTCAACAACGTCCCTTCCGCGCTGTTACTGCTTCCGATGACATGACCGTTGTCTTTTATCATGGCGTTCCTTTCAAATACAACAAGACGATTCGCGATCATTCTCGATTTATCCATGCTGTGGAATTTTCTCCCAATGGCGATCACTTTGTGAGCGTTGGCGCGGATGGCAAGGTAAAGTAAAAATGTGGGCATATGCGCATCGATAGCGATCATGCTAAATAGGAGTCCTTTATGATGATTGTGGTAGATCTTTTTGTACGACGGCAAATCAGGTGACAAGATTGACGAGTTGACATCCGATTCCAGTCATACTGGCAGCATCTTTTCTGTCAGCTGGTCCCCTGATAGTACCCATTTGCTCACTTCCTCAGGTGATTGCACTGCCAAGATTTGGGATGTGGCTGCAAAGTCAGTGGTCAAGTAAGTATGCACACGTAGAATGGGCCAAACGAGTCGCCACCTTGCTCATTCATTATTCTTATCAGCACCTTTGAAATTGGATCCGAAGTTGACCACCAACAAGTTGGCAGCTTGTGGCAAGATGACTGGTTGCTTACCACATCACTCTCTGGTGAAATCAATTATCTCGATAAGAATAGCGGCAAGGTTTCTCGTTCTATCAATGGCCATACCAAGGGTATTACTGCCCTTGCCGTCACTGCTGGTGATACTCTCTTTTCTGGATCTTACGATGGTCGTGTATTCTCTTGGCCTTTGGGCGCTGATGGCGACAAAACTCAGGCTGCATCACTTGAAGGAGGCGATCACTCTAACCAAGTGGTGGCAATCCAAGTGCAAGATACCAAGGTTTTATCTGCTGGAATGGATGATGTGATTCGAACCGGTGATGTTTCGTCCAAATCCTTTAGCGGCAATGTGATCTCCACAGGTGCACTTCCCAACTCTTTGGGTTTGGCTTCCAATGGCACTACGGTGGTAGCAACCTCTGACAATGTACAAGTTTACGATGGTCAAAGCAACAAGGTCGCTGAGCTTGATAATCTTGGATACACAACTTCAACAGCTAGCATTGATCCTCAAGGAAAGATCGTCTTTGTTGGTGGGAAGGTAAATTCATTGGGAATGATGCGATCTATATCAGAGCAAAAGATTGACATCGATTGTGTGTGGCCTATTAGGATAACAAGGTTCATTTGTACACGCTCGAGGGTCAAACCTTAAGCCCTCTCCGAGAAATTGGCAACCATCTTGGTTACATTTCTGCTATTGCTCCTCATCCAAATGGTGATCTTGTGGCCGTGGGTGATAGCGTAGGCAAGATCTTTTTGTATGAAGTTGAAACTGGCAAGGCCGTGGTGCAAACCTGGGTATTCCATTCAGCTCGTATCACTGGTTTGGCATGGTCCAAGTGTGGCAATTTCCTTGTTAGTGGTTCTATTGATACCAATGTTTATGTGTGGAACCGCGAGAAGCAATTCAAAAAGCAAGTTATCAAGAATGCACACGTGGATGCCGTCAATGATGTTGGCTTCTTAAACAACAGCAGCGACGATAGCAAGATCAATGTTGTCAGCGTTGGACAAGATGCTGCTGTGCGTGTGTGGGAGGTGACCAAGCCCCAATAGATTAAATAGCGCTTTGTTTGAATAACCTATCTATTGTAAGATAAAAGCTCCCTTGTTCTATATATCGTTTGCTATGTGTGCTTTATCAAGCGAGATGTTGAATGAATCAAATCTCACAATGACAATGAAAGTATGATAACAATGAAACACCAAGGTTATCGCATGGATTGCTCACAAATCAGACCATCCACCATGGAATGTTGCCATGGTAATGGACTTGGATGCCTCATGTTGATGGCGATGTCCGCATTTGGGTTTGACGCTGTTGCATAGATACGTACTCAGCCACAGGCTTTTAAGCGGGGCGTCTCATTCTTTTAAAGCTTAACCCCTTCATCGATGGATACAATTGGCCCCGAAGTTTCACTGCCATTTGGCAAAGAGCTCGCTGCAAATGGTAAGCAAAACACGCATCACGTTTATTGACGATACTCATGTAAGCTACGTTTGTATTATAGAAAAGAAAACTCGGGATAAAGCAGTACGATCGCTAAAGAAGTTCATTGCCACTGGAGCAGATCTATCGAAATCCGATCTATTGAAGCTATGGAAAGGCCTTTTCTATTGTAAGGACAAAGAGCTATAAGAGAGGAAACGGAATACTGATGATGAACCATGGTTAGGCTACTGGATGTCTGACAAGCCTCTTGTTCAACAAGCATTAGCACAAGATCTCGGTTCCCTTTTATTGGATTTGAGCACTGACAGCTTCATTCCATTTCTGGAAGCGTTTTGGGAAATTCATTGCACACAATGGCACGGAATTGATCGTATCAGGTGAGCATCCAATCAACCAAAACAAAGAATGAAATGGCTCATGTATACACGTACGTAGATTGGATAAATACTACATGCTTTTGCGACGTATGATTTTCTTTGCTTTCCTTTATTTGGCCAATCAAGATTGGAATGAGGAGATGACTGAAGCTTATATGACCATGTTGTTGGAAGGACCAATGCAGTAAGTATATCGGGTGTGTATAAAGAGATCATGCATACTTATTATTCCATCAAGTCCCACAGATCGTAGCAAACCCGACTCGATCCGATATCACATCATCGACATTTACTTTGAAGAGTTAGACAAGATTCTCGAGTTACAACGTGAGCAAGGCGAAGAGATTCATCTCGACATGGATGCCATTAAGCGCCCGCTTGTTGTCTCCAGCAAAGATGCAATCAACAAAGTAACGAGGAAAAAGGCCAAGGAGGCTTTGGCTGCTAGGAAGCAACAAGAAAAGGAAGATGAAGATGAGGAGAAGGAGGAAGATGAAAATGTTGAAGATGCTAGTGAGGAACCTGAACAAGTACAAGTGGAGGAGGAAAAGATTGCTAGCGAGGAATCTGAACCTGAACAAGACGTGGAGGAAGAAGTCAAGCCAAAAAAGAGTAGCAGTAGTAGCAAGAAGCGAAAGGCATCCACTAAAAAGCAATCTAAAAAGAGAAAGTTGTAAATAAAGGTAATAGCATTCATCATCATCATGCACGTTGAAAGGTTACATATCCGGGAGATCTCTTCTAGAAGCCGTTATATTCACCCAGGCTTGTGCGCAATGTTGCTATCGGCTTATTCCTTCTGAAATGAACACTCACACACAAACGAGGTCTTGGTGTCATTGTTTGATGGTGTATTGTCAGCTTGTTTATCTCCGGCTCTGATTAACGCATCGACATTTCAATCACACCAAGCAATCTATCAGCTCATCGTTATTCCCAACAAACATTTTATCATTCATTGTGGTCATAGAAATACCCACGCCCACCATGCAAATAAAAGATGTTGTCGCCACCCATCGTACGCCCCACATACCTCTTCCCTCTATCATACTTTTTTTTGATTGCTTACAATGTCTAAGGTCTAAGGTTTGTGTGTATCATTTCTCTCAACCTCTGAAAACGCTGATCTTTGTTGTGGTCCTTCCTAGTGCTTCATCTATATCCTACTCTCATTGTCGTATTGTGATATTGTATTCTTGTAATGAGGTAAACCTTTATACATGACATGATGACTCATTCCTCATTTACATTGTCTTCTTTTTACTTTCGATATAGCTATCATCGCTCGTGAGGCATCTACAAAGATTGGATCCGGTGCCATGGTCTGCTGTCGGTTTCTGAAATTGACAACAATGCATTCGACATGGTGCATATACGTAGGCCTGGCACAGACCTAATCGCAAAAGCCGATGTACCCAATCCATACGTCGTCAATGTCATAGCCTCCCGCTTGGCCATTGATCGAATGGTGCAATGGCACGCGTTCGGACGCTGTCCTTGAACCAAAGGCGCTCGGTCTCCCACCCATCGTTATCGAATTCAAGCAACAAAATACTATCTTCAAGCATACGGCAGGTATAAACAGGATCTCATTTTATTGATATTTTGCATTGACAAGCTATCGATTGAAGCAAACGTGTACAAGCCGTGCCACTGGTTGCTTTTCGTTTCTTTGCGAGACTTGGGCATCTGATTGTTATATTGTAGCGGATCAAACCAAACATCCTTACGCCCTCATGCACGACTTACAGCCACTTGCCAACATGGTTGGACCCCCAGGCCAATAAGGTATGAAAAGAAGCATTGTTAACAATTGCATGACGCTTATCTGAATTTAGAACTCTGTGAATACTGCGAACACGAAAAAGAAACCAAGTTTCAAGGACTTTGTTGGCGACAATCAAGACAAGTTGGTCGATTGGTCCGTCGACATTGCCACCAACACTGCTACTGCCCTTCATGGGATATGGTTTGAGCGCTATAAACAAGCTTTACAGTATACCAAGCCCAAGCATGCCAAGTAAGCAAGAGAGAATACTCGAGTGATGTATGCTGCGCTATTTACTGATATGCATTTGGTCATAGGCCAAGAAGGCCCAACTACAATAACATAGTCTGGAACACCATCATGAGCAAAGTGACCACACGAGTAAGTTCTAAAATCATTAATTATGAGAGTAGCGTGGCGTTATGGAGGTTTCAAGACCATTAATAGCATATTTTTCGCTTAGCGTCGATTACGTTGGGACTATGTTGAAGGAGGTCTTTCTTATGTGATGTCAGCAGTATGGCTATACAAGTAGCACGGGATTTTCTTGTTGGAAAGAAGGAAGGTACGAAGATACTTATGTCACCCACAAAGAAATCACCTTTCATCCATCAAGAACAAAAGGATGTTGTCAAAATGTGTATTGTCTAGATCAAGAGTTTGCTCAGTGACCTAATTTTGTATGGAGCCATCATCAATTGTAATATCATCATGTACATCATTTATAAAAGTATTTGACCGATACAGTATCATCCATGCTTTGCAGTAGTTAGAGAGATCGTGTGTGTACATGTGTATGGGTTTGCGAAGGTGTGTGTAAGAGTGAGGGTATGTCTGTGGAAAAGAGCCAATAGGCGGAGAGTTTGGGACCGATTCCTTACACAGGCTTTTCTTCCACCACTTGCAATGGTCACCAATGGCAATGGCAAAGGAATCTATTAGCTCTACCCAGTGTTGATAGTAGTCTATGGGCAAGCCCATGGACGTCCTAAGTGAAAGTGGCAGGTAAGCCCTACACGTTTTCGGTTGATACCGTGCGTGTTCACTGTCATGAGTAGCGTATGCCAATCGTTGCTACCTTGTAACGGGGTCTCAGGTAAGGTTTCCATGACAACGTTATCGATGGATCATACGTTTGCTGACCATTTTTATTGAAACCACGGAGACCAAATATCAAGTTATGGTTGACTTCCACCGATGGCAATGGCAAAGGAATCTATTAGCTCTACCCAGTGTTGATAGTAGTCTATGGGCAAGCCCGTGGACGCCCTAAGTGAAAGTGGCAGGTAAGCCCTACACGTTTTCGGTTGATACCGTGCGTGTTCACTGTCATGAGTAGCGTATGCCAAATTCGTTGCTGCCTTGTGGTGATGGGGTCTCAGGTAAGGTTTCCATGACAACGTTATCGATGGATCATATGTTTACTGATAAACCATTTCAGACAAGAATCGAATATCTATCTTACATGCAATCAAGGCGATCATCATTATGGCAAAAATACCGGTTTCCCATCTACATTGAATTCATCAAGAATAAAAGGATGTTGTATTGACAGATGAAGCCATGTTTGAAAGATCAAAATGTGTATTGTCTAGATTAAGAGCTTACCAAATGACTGGGATTTGTATGGAGCCATCAAAAAGTGTAATCCGTTCTCCCAATTGATGCAAATGAGACCGTAATGCACATGATACGTTTTCTCGAATGCGTCAAATGAAAATTGGAATCTCCGTTAAAGTTTAATTTAGAGTCACACAAAGCAATGCAAGGTGATTTCAATAGGGTAGAAAAAGCGATAGCTATGGATAAAGGCATTTGATAGCAAGGAAGGTAGTATCACTTGTATAGTAGGGTTGCAAAAGAAAAGGACACTTGATGATGGTGCGGTGTTTAAGGGCAAAGGCGAGTGTACCTCGTGCCAATGACACGAAGCTGCTTGATGAAAGAGCATGATCTTAAAGAGGATTATCCAGTAAAGAGAGCTAAAAGAATGAATAGCATGATGTTACGTGCTCGAAGCACGTTGTCATTTAGATACGGCATCAGAAATGACATGCATCGTTCTTGTATCGCCGCCCTACTACTATTATTGGCACGCTTCTACATTATATAGAATCATGATGGAATAAAGGTAATTCAGTAATTCATCATACACACCAAGCTATACATCTTTATTAAACCAAGCCAATTAGGTGACATATGCGGGGGAACTTGTAGCAGAGGTAAGAAAGAAAGAGCCTTTTACGCGTTGAGGAACAAGCAAAGCTGTTCATTAAAGCTGGTGTAACCATTGGCCAAAGTGTCCCGTTACCATGTGGTATGTTGCTCTTTTTCGAGATCCACTTTTTTTGGTCTTGCTCCGTGTTATTGCTGTTTGCGCCCTTCCTTTTCACACTTGCAACCAAGTCAGCCCTTTCCCTTCATTTCGAATCGCCAATTGCTGGCAGGCTTATTCCATTCAGTTTCAGCATTCCTTGTCAACCAACATATGGCTCGTCTTTGCTAGATCGGGATCCACCATCTCCTGAAGAAGTCATAAGCTCTCGATACTTTTTCTTTACTATTACACTTCTCCTTAATCTTATACTTCAACTGCCACTCGCACAACCCATTGCAACCAGCATCTCGTCGGTTTCCTTGCCCTAATTATCAAACGATCAGCATGATCTGGCGCGTTTGTCTATGGACCTTGACGCTGCTAACGCTTACACAACCACAACAACATACGGCACATGCGACTTTTATTCAACATCCAGTCATTGATCTCGAGCAGTTGCAACAAATAGGGATTGCAGGACCCTATCGAGGCATATCGCTGTATACAGATACTCGACAATTGACTGAATTACCACATTCTACCGCGTCTATCGTCTCTTTCAGCAATCAAACATTCGAGCTACTTGCATCTACTTCTACTCATGGATCGATCTATGCAACATGCACCATGGCAAAGGACAACGGATACGATCTCTATGTTGGAGGCGAGTTCATGCAGCTTGGCTCATTGAATGCATCCAATATTGCCGTGATTGATCTCAGCACAGGAACGGTTTCAGCACTTGCCAATGGCCTTGATGGCGCTGTTTATACTCTTTATTGCGACAACAAATCACGTACGGTGTATGTTGGCGGTTCATTTCTTGCACCGGTTGCTGATGCACCTCAATACGCTGAATCGCTCGCTTATTTCGGTGGTGGTACAGCTGCATGGCTCAATAACACTTGGCATGGGTTGCCATGGAAAGGTTTCAATCGACCCGTTACAACAATCACCAAACACGAGAATACGGGGATCGTCTATTTTGGAGGCCAATTTGATACTTCAGCTGATGGGCAAATGTATTATGCTCCTGCAAGTCAACCAGTCAGCCTAGCATCACCCGCTGTAAGTATTTATTCCTTATTATTGCCTTTTTTGTCGTGTAATTTCATTCCTCATCTCCTGCTTTGATCATCATCATCTCTCTCTCCCCCCTTCCTTCCTCCACTTCTCCTCCTCCTCCTTTCTTTATTCTTCTTCCTCCTCCCTCTTTCTATTATGCCGTACATCTTGAAACTCATGTGTCAATTTCCTCACCCTACAGAAAATCACGGCGACCAATTCGGGCACTGAGAACAATGATCCCCAAAACGCCGTTTGCCCTGAAACCTTGGATCAAACGCCCTGGCTTGTACTCGATGACATGAAAGGCACGTGGGAGGCCTCGTTTCCTTATTCAGTTACTCCTTCTTTGATTCGCTTGGGTAATACGCATCTTGATGGCAGAGGCACAAAGAACTTTTCGTAAGTGTAGCATCTACTACTACGAATCCATTCTAAAGCCCTTTTCTTTTATATTATAGGGTTATCTCTATACCCAACAATGTGCCCTTCAACTTGACATACATTGATCCTGTGACAAAGAAACTTACCACGTGCTCGACCGATTGTTCATTATCCGATGACGTCTCCATTGAGTATCAAGATTTCCAAGTGGGTGATTCAACCTTATCCTCGGGTATTCGGATTGAAATTTCATCGTGGTATGGTCAAGGAGCTGGATTAAGTGCTGTTGAAATCTTCATGTCAGGTAAGAGGATCGTGTGTCCCCCCATGCAAAAGCAAGGTATTCATTCATCCATCTTCTTTTTATCAGAGATTTTCGTTTACGCTGTCGATTCATTGAATGGAAAAGCATGTGTATCCTCGATGGATTATACTCAACGATCCCATGTGAAGACTACGGGTTCATGGCGCTCAGGTCTTTTCGACAATTCCTACGTCTACACGCTTGCCACCACCATGTCCCAATCACAAATGGCTTCGTCCAAAGCAGCTGTCGACTTCATCCCTTATCTTCCCGAAGCGGGTACTTATGAGGTGTATCTTTATGCACCAGCATGTGGAAATAGTTGCTCAGGACGTACGCAAGTGGATGTCACGACGTATGCTTTGGAAGGGGGTCCATCAACAATGAAAACGGTGGATCTCAACAGCAAAAACGACAACACATTCCTCGTCTACTCGGGAGAGATTTCGGCTACCACGGTCGATTTTCAACCCTATGTCACTGTCAAAGTCGCACACAATGCAACCGCCACCAGCAACAATGTCACCATTGATCTTCAAGCTGTTCAATTTATTAAGCAAGCATCCAATACAACGTTGACCAGCATGCTTGAATTCACACCTGATAATGCTCAAATTAAGACCAACGCCACATTGTCAGGCTCCTATGGCCCTCTTCAAGGTAAGATAATCACCATGGATGTTGCAAACTCTCATTTCTCACACTCTTTTTCACAAAGATAATATTCCTTATGGATCAGAAGTCAAGGCACTTGATGCAACAGATGGCAATGTTTATATCGGTGGAAAGTTCTCGTCTCCAGCAGGATCCAATGCGACCTATCAAAACATTGTGCGTTATGACTTTGCCACCAAGAAACTGGTTGGTCTCAACAATGCAGGTGTGAATGGTCCTGTCATGTCATTTTTACGTGACGATTCACATCTTTACGTGGGTGGTTCCTTTTCTGGCCTTGCTAATGGAAAGAGCGATGGCATGAACAACATTGCTCGATACTCTATTGGACAAGATACATGGGATGCTTTGAGTGGAGGTGTCAATGGTCCTGTTGAAGCGATGCATTTTTCAGCGGATTCCAAGTTCATTATTGCATCTGGAAATCATACGGGCGCTTTCAATGATCCCAAAGTGACTACCACCTTCAACACAACAAGTGGCAATGCATGGTGGAGTGTTTCGAATCATACTTGGGTTCATGACAAGGAGTACTTATCGGGTGCTGTTTATGGAGTATTCCATATGGATAATAATTCTCTCCCATCCACCGTCTATGCTGGAAACCTGAAAGCAGCTCAAACGTATCAATCACGTGGATTCTCGTTTTTGGATCAGCATGATGCATTGTCGTCTTTACCCGTTTACCCCGATGGCAGCAAGTTATTGTCCATCACTGCTGGTGCTTATTGGAGCGACACAAAGCATGGCAATACGACAACCATGATACTTGGTGGCGAATTCCAATTGGAGGACAACATTGAAAATGTAGCTCTTTACGCCAACGACTCGTGGTCAGGCATTGGCGCACAATGGAACGGCCCTATATCCACTATGGCTGTCAATGGAGGTTATTTGTACATTGGAGGATCTTTCAGCGCTACCAACACAAGCGGTATTGCCATCTATGATTTGGTCAACAAGACGTTTGTCCCCGTTCCTGAATTACATAGTAAGTTGACAACATTTCACAAGGGATTTGAAAGCTAACTTTCTCTTTAAAAAGCCGCTGATAAATCTCCTGCCCAAGTGAATGCGATCCATTACCACCCACAAGAGAATGTAATGCTTATTGCAGGCAACTTTTCAACAGCCGGATCACTCTCATGTGCTGCTGTTTGTACGTTGAATCCTACCAATCATCAATGGAACAACCTTGGTGATAAAGGTATCTCAGGAGACGCATTGGACTTTGCTTTGACAGAGGTAAAAGAAGATAAAGGTGCATGATGGGTTGCATGGTACTGACGCTATGTGAAATAATAATAGACCAAGCTTCTTGTCGCTGGAAACCTGGAATTAGATGGCTCAACAATCCCTTTGGCTCAATACGACTATGACACTAAGGGCTGGAGTCCTGTAACCACCGATATGACCGATTCAGGCCTTCCTGGTAATACGACAGCAGTATCCTATGATAGTGGAACACAAAAGGCATTCATCAGTGGCCTGTAAGTACATGCTCACTTCACCCGTATTTGAAAACTATCATGCTGATGAGCGAATAGGAAAGACAACAATGCATATCTTCGAGTATGGGATGGCCAAGGCTTTGTTACTCCTGGTAAGGATGAAGATTGTTTGGCAACATGATATCATGCTAACCGGTTGAAATAAGATGATGAACTTGGCTCTGGAAGTTTTATTCGACAAGTCACTGTTTTGCCCTTGAAGGAATCGGGTCAATCAGATTTATTTGGAAATGACAAGACCGTTTTGCTTGCAGCAGGCTTCCTCAACCTTGGTGGTTATGGAAATCTAAGCAGTGCATTGTACAATGGATCGGCTTGGATTCCCTATCTTTCAGTATCCTCGGATAATGGAGCTACCAATACGTTAAGCAATGTCTTTTTCAAGTCCTATGATGTGGATCTTACTCGGCCTGGTAAGTGGGATGGGGGGAATAAAGGCGCCAAGGTCAACAAATTAACATGTATCATGTTAGATTATCTTCCTGCTCCTATTGTTGTCCTGGTCTCAGTTGCGGGAGCATTGGGAATCGTCTTTTTGATTGTGCTTTGTGGATTATGCATTCTATATGCCAAACGAAGAAAGGAAGCCAAGGTCAATCCCGCCGGCAATCCCGCTTCTTATTATGGCAAACCTCCTCAACGTCCTGAATCAGTCCTTGCAATGATTAACAATGCTGGTGCAGCTGGTCTCATGTACGATCCCAAAAAAGGCATTTCCGATGATACCACAATTGCCGGTGGTGGCGAGATGTACTCAATTGGAAAGGATAAGGTTCCTGAAATGACGGAGACAAACAATGGCCTTAAAGGTGGTACAGGTGCCATGGGAGGCTTTACTACAGGCGTAGCAGCTGCTACAGCAGCAACAGCAACAGCAGCAGGAGCAGCAGCAGCAGCGGCTACCAGAGATGAAAGACCACATGAAACCCTTTCCAACTTGGGTGCGCAATCAAGATCAGCTGATAACGTTACAAGAGACATGTCCAATAATGCACCTTATATTGCTCCATCAAGTGCTGGTGGTCTTGCTGGTGCTGCCGTTACTGCAAGTGCGCTTTCTGGTAATCGACAATCATACAATCCCTTCCGTGCTTCTGCTGTTGGATTAGCTGTGAGCAACGATTGGTCGGATGCAGCAAAAGCCAACAACAGCAATAGCAATTATGCTTCAAGAACGATCACCAATGGAGGTCAAGATTCAATGTATCTTGGCAACTTGGCACCTGAACCTGTAGCAGCCTCTTCCAATGTACGATGGACAAATGCACCTACAGCAGAAGCCACTTCAGCAACTATTATCCCTGATCCCTTATCAACATTGGCACCATCTCCTGTTCCTTCACAAGTACCATCGGCAGCCCCATCATCTACATTGACGGGCGAAGGTGCAGGTGCTGTACGATGGACAAATGTGCCATCTGGTGGTGATAACATGGCAACGGCTACTGTGGGTCCTGTATCCATGATGTCAACATCTCCGGTTCCCTCAGCAACGACCCCTGATGAGAGTAATCCCGCTGCAGTGCGTTGGACCAATGTTCCAGCATTAGATGGACCAACAACAGCAACTGTTGGACCTGTTTCAATGTATTCAACCTCTTCCATGCTTGTCACCAATGATGGCCAACCTGCTTCTTCTTCCAATGTACGATGGACCAATACCGAAGATGCTAGTGGTGCTATTGGTGCTGCTATGGTGATGGCCCCTGTGATTGGACGTGAAAACAACAATGATCATACACGATCCATTGCTGGTGAACATGAAGCATCCAATGTTCGATGGACCAATTACACAACCCATGAAGATCAAGGCGTGGCAATGCTTCGTCCTGTGACAGCCGTATCCATGTATTCGGATGCATCATTTGGACCTACACCTGAATTTGGTGGTGTTAGCAACAACAACGATCTCTTTGCTACTTCTTCAACGCGCCCTTCCATGACTGATTTCTCATCTGATCCCGATATTGTACGATGGACTACAGCACCCAATGTTGATTCGGCAAAGGCAACGGCTATTATCACAAAGGATAATACATCATCCTCATTAGCAATGCCTGCATCAGGAACCATGGCAACAGGTGTAGCAGCAACAGCAGCAGCTGCAGCAGTGGCAACAACAACAACATCAGCATCGCATCAATCACGAGATATGCTACGACCCTCAAGTGAATCAAGCATGGATCATCCTCGCTCAATACCTCGTCAATACGAATCGGGTCTTGATCTTGCATCATTGACGGTATCCGATGTCTCTGAAAATGAGTCCAATGACAAATACAGCGGCGTTGTTACAAATGAGCGACCTTTATCCCATGTTGAAGCTAATAACAGCAGCAATGACCCACCATACCCAAGCTACAACACCAAGGACATGCTATCAGAAACAGCTGCTCTTGCATCTTCATCCTCAGCAGCAGTAGCAGCAGCATCAGCATCAGCTATGCACTCATCACCATCTCAACCACAATCAACAGCTGCTGTTGCACAACACGCATCATCACAACCCTATTCAGAAGCAATGATGCCATCAACCACATATCAACCAGCATTGACAGCTATGCAACCATCATCATCACAACAACCAGAGCCTGCAAAGAGTGTGACCACTGATGAAGAAAAAGAGGATGGTGGTAAACGTGACATTGAGAGCAGCTTATTCAAAACAAGTTCTTTCCGATGGTCTGAAACGCCTTCTCTACCACCGATTGATACCAATTTGGTCTTCAGTGCACCTAGCCATCCAATGTCATCACCACTTGGTACACCTGATGATCCATCCGTACGATGGAAAGAGACACATGCAGCATCACCTATTGAACGAGGACATGCGCCACAAATTATTGGAGCATCGGCTGCTACAGTGACTGTAACACAAGCACATCGTCAAGTGAACGACGACGACGACGACGATGATGATGATACCGAAAACAGCAGCAATGATGGTGATGGGCGTGATGATGACGATATGGCAAGTCAAGGAAGAAAGAATTCTTTGGGTGCTGCAGCAGCATTAGATGGACGTGCTGCATCCAAGCGAATGGTACAAGATTATTTCTCATCGCGTGATCCTGCTTTGGCTGGCACCAAAGAGGCCCCCAATGGTAAACAATATCACAAGGACTTTGTAGCAGCCATGGAAGCTGCTGCTTTGAACAATCGTGACGACCTGCCATCTACTGAAGACCATCCACATCTTTACTATGCAAAGTTTGATTTTAATGCACGTGAACATGGTGAACTTGGATTCGACAAGGGTGATCCCATTATCGTGGTGGATAGAAGCGATGATATTTGGTGGATGGGTTACAAGGATAATGGCGAGCATGGTCCAATGCAAGGTGTCTTCCCAAGTAACTATGTCGAACGTGCATCACCACCCTCATAAAACAACAACACCTTATCATTTATTGTTTTCTTTTTGTCTCACGCACATTCTCTCACTCACACACACACACACTCTTCCTCCTGTTTTCTACCTTTATACATAGTACAACTTTTAGTCTCTCTCTCTCTCTCATTACCCAGTTTGGTTCAAAAATGGAAATATAATTGATCTCCTACGACGTATCTCGATTTGATATACATAGTTGAGCTTTTTCACGAGCAAAAGAAAGGAAAAACATTTATTGAAAAGAATGACATAATATAGTAGGACAAACATTGCGTCATATTCCTTGCTGTAGTCTAACGTGAAAGAAGCACGCACGTATCCCCCTTGATGACCACCGACCCCTTCTTTGGATTATACTCTCTCTTGAAAATTGGTACCGATTACTATATCGGCAACCCCTATTACTATATGAAGCCATCTTATCAAAGCCATTGGTTTTCGGTATCACTTTACCACATTCCCTGCCCCCATTCCCAGCCCGTTTTTCTTCCCACTTTATTTTACCGTTCTCACTGACACGAGAAAACACAAACACACAATAGGTGCTAAAGACTTTTTGCTGTCATTTTCGCGATTGGTTATCACGCACAGCTATCATCAAACGAGCTAATACAAGAAACTAGCAGCGCGTCTTGAAAAGGTGTCAGATTCCCTACTGCTGCTGCTTCTGCTGTTATGATGAATCCAGCATCATCTCTTGTTCCCCCCAAAGTCGACGTAAAGCATGACAGCAGCAATTCAGAAGAATACGAGTATGTATTGGCCATGTCCATCTTTATAGTGTATGTTGCCAGCCGATGATTCACATAACGTGTATGCTTTATTAGAGAAAGTGAGGAGAATCATTCACCAACGCCAACACATCCAAAGACACATGCAGTGTTTGTGAGTAAACTTTACAGGTACTTGTATAATGGAGGATCGACAAAAGGGAAGTTTCTAATCCAAACAACCATAGTATGCTGCATGATCCAGACGTGCAGAATCTAATCTCATGGTGTGATACGGGTGACATTATCCACATCTCCAATCCATCCAAGTTTTCTCAACATGTGTTGCCGCGTTATTTCAAGCACAACAATTGGCAAAGCTTCGTAAGGCAGCTCAATAGTAAGTAGCAATAGTAGTGGTAGTAGCCCCCTCTCTCTCTGTGTGTGTACTACGTGCGTGCGTGGTCTCAAAAGTTGTATCTTCTGCAAAAAGTGTATGGCTTCAACAAGGTCAACGATATTGTTCATTCCACATTACGACAAGACAGCCATGCATGGGAGTTTCGCCATCCCCATTTCAAACGAGGATCAGTGGAGGACTTGGCCAAAATCAAGCGTAAAAGTGTTCGTTCATTGCGCACCATGGCCCCATTGCACGTGTCGGCCTTGGAGGACTCTTCCAGCGAATACCACTGTTACCCAGCAGATCGCATGTGTCGGCATATGACTCAACGCGTAGCCCTTATTGCTCAAAACTACCAAAACTTGCGTAACGATCTCACGCATATAGGACACATTGTTCATAATCAACAAACGGTAAAAAGTTGACAATGATACTACTAGCCAATAAACCCAAAAGCTCATATGAAAGTATAGGCCATTGCAAGTATGCTTAGCATACTAAGGGCATCATTGACACCACCACCATCCTCCTCCTCCTCTCCTTCTGCAAGTAAGTGCTTACATCAAAAAAGATCTCTGTTTTCTTTCATGTATGATATAAACAAGTAATATTAGATACTTCGACAGCAACCCAATCTTATCCCAATAACGTGTCAATGGCATCCCCTTTGGAAAGTGAGTGATTGCTGCCATCATTACCTATGGATGATGATCTGATTTTCTTATATAACATTCTAGAACTTGTTGAATTGGAGATGCGATTTCGATCTCTTGAAGAGTATACGCAGGTTTTCATGAGGGGATCTTCACATACCCAACCTTGCATATCCATGGCCCCGCCACCACCACCACCACCAATACCATCACCATCACCATCAGCCCACATTACGTCGACAACCCCCATTATGCAATCCTCAGGCCCAAATCAAATACTATCACCCTATTTGAATGGATATGGCAAGTTCTCATTCATGTTTTCGATTCTTTGATTCTGACATGTCCTACTTTTAGACAAAGAAAAATGCACCGATTCAGCTGTTATGCGTTTAGGAACAGGATCACACTTGCTTAATCCGGTAAATCCAGACCCAGCAAAGCATGCATAGGCCAGATATGAATATATATACGTATGCGAAAACTGTCATTGAGAAGAGATTTACAACACACACATATACAACACCACACCACACCACACACACAAATAGGGACTTCATAGTGAGATAATGTAAAAGCGATCCATTTGGAATGAAAATAAAAGAGGCACGATGCGGGTATAAACACAATGATAGATATGGATTGTAGCGACGATCAAGGAGAGATGTTGCAAAGAGAGAGAGAGAGAGAGAGAGTTATCAAAAGGGTAACAAAGAAAACGTTCAAGCCATGTTGTCGATTACTTCCAATTCCACACCTCCTTGAGCCACGATGCCAAGTCTTGTGAAGGATCAGCACGCTCCTTGATAAAGGCATGTTCAAGCATGGCTTCGGGTCCAGGTCGGTCGGTGGGCTTCTTGATCAAGCTAGGGGAAACAGAGCATGAGTCTTAATCCTTCACCCCCCTCAATTCGCCTCCGACACGAATAATAATAATAACACTTTACCATTTGGCTACAAAGTCTCTACACTCTTCCGATCGATCATTACCCAAAGTTGGCAAGGGCTGGCTGACGATGAAATCAAGTAATTCAAACACTGAAAGATGAGGTTGGCCTGGCGGTGGTAGTGCAGGGTGATTCTGAGCAACTTCAATGATAGTCAAGCCTAGTGACCAAATGTCAGATTGGACAGAGTAAGTGGCGCCCTGAATGCGCTCGGGCTACAAAAAAGTCATTTTGTGTTACTCTCGCATATTAGGCCGTGCACGCGGTGAGCGAGAAAACCTTCCCCCCACCATCTCTCCCTAATTCTTACCGCCATGTAATACTGAGTTCCAGTAAATGTTTCCGCCATTGAATTGATCAACTCGCCCGAAACGCCAAGATCACATAATTTGATTTCACCCTTCCTTGTCATCAGGATATTCGAGGGTTTGATATCTATAAAAAAGAGTCAACGTGATGATGATAAAAGAAAACAACACTCCTCCTCACCTCTATGAATAACATTCTTGGAATGCAAGTAAATCAGACCTTTACAGACCTATTAGAGAGACATAAATGTCAATCACTGATAAAAATAACCAAAACACGTGGTGATCTCACTTACCGATTCTGCGAGTCTAGCCAAGACCGTTTCACCGATCACACCATGCATATCGCGTGCACGTTTGTAAATGTCTTCAAAGCTGCCACCGTCACAATACTCCATGCAAATAGCAATGGTTGTATCACCATCATCGAGAAAGGCACCATGAAATGAAACAATATGAGGAGATTCACACGTCTTTAGAAACGAAAGCTCACGAAGGATTTGTCGCTGCAACTGTGGTTCGGCTTCCACTGTAATTGTCTTTTTATATATAACACCATGATCAGTGATCTTCCCTTCCCTTCACTCGTATGTATACATGGATGGATAGAGAAAAAAGCATACCTTTTTGGCCATAACAAGCCCTGTTGCCTTGTAACGCACTTTCCATACAACACCAGCAGCACCTTCGCCCAACTTTTGAACGTTTTCAAAGTCGTCTGCTTTAAGTTCTTCGTCGCTTTGGGGTGCCAGCTTGCTTTGGGATCGATTTTGGCTGACAATACGAGCTAGATCCTCACGCCAGTTGCCGCTGCTTTCCGTGGAAGTCGATGGTTTCAATGAAGGTGCACCTGTTTCGTCATCCAGGCTGCAAGGTGTCGTTGGCCGCGAGTTGAGATCCAATCGCAGTCCTGAATGGTTCCTCAATTTACCAATTTGTGCCATTGAGAAAGAGTGAGAGAGTAATGTGTGTGTGTGTGTGTGTGTGTGTGTGTATGAAGAAGGGTCTATGTCAAGTAAAAGGTAAAGAAACAAAGAGGGCGAGAACAAAGCGTTTGGAAACCATGTTCTTTCTTCCGCAAACAGTCCAACAGCAGCTTGTACAACCATCAACCACGGCCGTCTTTCCGATGCATGTATGCAATGGCATAACGCCCAATGTACCTTTCTACAACCATCATCTCCTTTCCTTCATTGTTATCACACACACCTCTCCCCAATCCCAAACTCCATACTTACCATACCATGAAATCACGGTGGAAAGAGAAAACATGGATGGGCTTTGATACAAAAGGAAAATAAACATGCACCCTATGCATATCAACATCTTCATTGTGATAAGGATAAGAATAACGAATCACATCATCCAATCTTCGCGTTTCGGCTTTTTTTATTCTTTGGTACAGTGACAATGGGTTGAAATAAAAAATAACATCGCATGACATTATTCGATCTGCTGCCATCCGAGTTTTTTGTTTAGCGATCTTTTCATTATGAGCAAGATGAAGTTTCTCTTTGAATTATGATTGGCCATCATATCAAACAATGATGCAGCCGGTTAGCGTTTCATTATTAGCAAAAAGAGAAATGATCCGTTACGTACGCTAAAGCATTACTTGGGGTGGGCAAGAAAGCATCCGTTGATCCCCAAGATCCAAGCACTTGATCACTTGAAGCTTGTAGATAGTCATGCCACTGCCTCATCTTTAAGCAGATTGCTCCATCGCATGAATGCTTGATGATAATGCCATACACCTTTGTTGAAGAAAAAGGATTGGTGGGTTTAGGATCAGCTGACCAAAGTCCATGCTCTTTCCACCGTGAGCATCATATTAGTATACACTTTCACTAGTTGAACACAATGACTAGCGACCGGGGTTGTTCCCTATGCTCGTAAACATTTGATTTCTTGTTGAATGGGTTGACACTACAACGTATGGAGCAATGATCTTACAATAGGCTTACATGTTTACACAACCACATCACCCATTCTCGTAGTACTCATCTTTTCGGGAACCTGCAACCCTTCGCCATCCGTATTTACAAAAAGTAGACTACCTCTGTAAAAAGCTGCATGTTCCCATCCGTTCATAGTATCTCCCGCATTACACCCTCCCATTCAAGATTTTCATAATCAAGCGTGGAGGCTTCATGAGAACGAAATTGATCAACATGACCGAGAGCATCTTGTGTGATAGTTTCGAGTTCGCGATGCGCAATCTCGGGGAGTATGGACCTACACACTACTCGTATTCATGGCCCCTCCTGCATTTGGACGATCCCATTCAAACTTCTCATAATGAATAATACGGCTTTTATATGAATGAAGTTGATCAGAATGTCCTAGCGTACCTTCTTACCACGTGTCAGGTTCAAGATCGGGAATCCCAAGATTATTCATGCTGTTCCAAAATCAATCATCTGGCGCTGACCTCCATTTCCGACCTCCGTAGTAAACCCCACATTATACCCTCCCATTCCAAATATTCAAATGAAACAAGAGGCCTTTTTTAGATCAGCATGATCAGCATGTCCAAGAGCACCTTGTGTGAAAGTTTCAGGTTCGAGAGGGGCAATCTCAATATCAAGGTTTGATGTACAATGTCCATGCATTTGTAGGGCAATGTCTTGCCTATTTAATTTTTACTCCTTCCACTCCCACTACGTACTTCTTGACTCTTCCTCCCATTCTCAACTAGTGCTCATTCAAACACAACTACTAGCTTCGACCGATTGTTCCGCTTCAACCCATCATGTCAATCCTACAACTGCCTTGATCCGATTGTCTTTAACTGAATAGCTCGTTCATGGCGTATACACAACCTTCCTCGCACTCTTCTACAACACACGCGTTTGTTGACACTTCACCTTCTCTTGTTACACCCATATACCACGACCAATGGTGACAGCATTCATTGCAACAGTTGCTATTAGCAGGGTCTTTACTCCATTGTCTCAAACAGCATTCACAACCTTGTCGCTCTACTACAACACACGCTCTTGCACACTCTTCTTCCACGAGCAAACGTACCAGCAGCTGCTATCAGGATGATCTCAAACAGCATCCTTCACTTGCAGCAACTTGTCTTGTCTTGCAGCCTTTTTTCACGTGAACAGCAGATAGCCATTGTATATAGAGGCAGCTTTTTTACGTGGAGCAACTTGCTTCAGTACGCACGGACTCCTATGGATGATGCCATAACAATACGCCGCAATACAAGCAATCTTCATCTTGTTGAGCTGCGATGGAAAAGGACCAAAAAAGGGATTGACCAATGGAGAAGGATCAGCAGCAATATTGGACTTGAAATGTTTATGATGGATGGATGCAATCAAGTGCAGCGATGAGAAACAAATCCTGGAATGTTGCTTTGGTTACTCGGCGCGTCGTCAGCAGGATCCTATCACGTGGATACGGCTGAGGATGATGGTGGATTGGATGGGATTGTTGAGAAGGCTTTTATCTTTGGCAAAGGGCGGTTGATCACAATCAGAACACGCGAGTCAATGCATGCAGCAGCTATTTTGCAATCATGGATGAAGGATGTTTATGGCGATAGCAGCCAAGAATACAATGACACAGTTATCCCTGTTGACTCTTATATGATGATTCATCCCTGCCTTATTCAACTTGTATTGCTCTCCTTTATCATCTTTGCTTTATAAACATCCACATCACCATGTGCTATTCTTCGACTTTTCATTGAATGAAGAGGGGGTCCAACACGATATTTTACCGCATTCACAACAATGACGATTACGATGATCACCCCATCTACAACAATGACAATGATGACGACAACGAGATTCAAAAGGATGCCTACAAGATCCCATTCTCTTTAACTTGTGTATTTTGAAAGTTGGTGTGACGGATGAGATTGACGACTGGTGACGAGTACGAGTAGGAATGATGACGGAGGACGAGTACGAATGATGACGGAGGACAACTACGAGGATGGTGGTGGAAATGTAGCAAGATAGCTAGATGAAATAAAGCATTGTTTATTTATTACACGCTTGTTGGAGGTTGCTAGCTTGTGGATTACATACTATTGCTTCGAAGATGGAATAATAAAGGT